GGCAGCACCAGCAGTGTTGGAGGAGGTGAAGAAGCTTTTAAAGTCTTTTGTAAAATCAGCAAAGGTGCCAAAACTTGGGGGGTTCTTTTCCAGAGAAGACTTCTGGAAGGTAGCTGCCCAGGAACAGGCAACACCTTTCTTCATATATGACAGGGCATAGACAACCTTTTTTGTGTCACTGTCATAAATTTCTTCATTTACTAAAAGATAGGTCTGTATGGAGTACAGCCAACTCATAGCATTCTTTTGGTTGCCATCAAAATCAGACAGGGAACCAATCTTCAATTCAGTGGCTTTGGTGGCAATAGCACTGACTGTTGCCTTCAACAACGAACCAGACATCGTAATCTGTGGTAGGGGCAGGGGTGTAGGGAAAGCGGTGGTGGGCACTGGTGGGATGGGAGTACCAAGTGTAGCAAGGGACTGAGTAAAGAGGTTCAAGAGGATACCAGAGGTAAATCCTCTATCCAGTTGTTCAGGTTCATTGGAAGAGGTGTTGGTGACAGTGCTCTCCTGTCCTTCATCAGATGACAATTCTTCACAAGTGGGTTGCAACAGCACCCAACATTGATTATTTTGGGGGTTTGTGGTGGTGCACTAAACAGTAACTGGTTCAGCCAAAGGCTGGTAGACTTGAGCTTTTGTTATGCTTGACCAAAGTCAAGATGTAGGGAGAGCTCAAATGCAGACTATGGTTTCTACTGAGCAAACAGCTGCAGTAACCTCTGTAAATGACAGAGGATTTGGGGCAACACTGGTAAGAGTGGTCCTGGTTAGGGACACTGAGGGCAGAACACTGCATATGATTGAGCAGCTCAAGTCTGGGTTTCCAGGACTTGAGCCAACAGGCTAAATACTGTACAGGGAATGGACCATGAGGTGTCTGCATGTAACAAGGTAACTATGCCATTGGTTGGACAATGGTGACACACATTCTATGCATGTAATGAGAAGATAATGCTAGTGGTGGAAATAGAGAGCTGTTGGATCAATGAGAAGACAGCTCAAAAAGGAAAGATAGTCCAACAGATCAAACACAAGGTAAATGCAAGGAGAAAAGAGAAAACAGGGGTGAAATGTAACAGTATGCTTTCATAAGAACTGACCATGAGGCATAGTTGAGGCCATTAAGTTTCAGAATTTGTTTGGAAAAGCCTTCAGACATCTATTAGAAGTCCATGAGAAAATGTTTGTAAAGGAACAATTTCTCAGGATGAGTCTTTAAATCGAGAGGATTTAGAAGATGATTGGCCAAGCATTTTGGTCTGCAAGCAATGGCTCAAGCAAATTGAGACTTGTGGTTATGATGAGGTTTAGGAATGTGTGGTTGTGGATTTTGCCAAGTTTTAATGATAGGAATACCTCTCTCAGCAAATCTCCTTGCAGGGATGCAAGAGTTGTTGCACTCAAGTAGGTCAAAGTCTAAGGGACCAAAATAATGGTACCCAAAGAAAGACCACTTGCAATCATGCATTGGATTATCATCCATAAATCCCAAGTAAGGATTTGCACAACTGTATGGTATAGGAAAATATTCATATAGGTGGAAACCAGGACATTGAGATCTAGTTAATATTTCAAAGACATTATATGATTCATCAATGATGCAACCATCAGTTCCCTCATGGTACTGGCCTCTGGATGCATATAGTATGTCCATTGTACTGGGGAGAGAATAATTGTGCCCTAATGGCATGAGACTGGTGAGCTCTTTCAAGAGCATTGGAAGGTGGTCGAGTGCATTGCAGTTCTGTGAGGTAGTTGAAAGGACTATTCTGAATGGAACATTTGAGATCCCTATAAATGTCCTCCATTGAGGGCCAGCAAGTGAATTCTCTGTGACTGGCTCCATTAATCCATCCAAGATGTCAGTTAGTTGTCACATATCTGATGAGGGTACCCATATCTCCTTGCATCTTAAGTTGCCTGGTAAAGGCAAAGAGTCCACTATCGAATGCATCTCCACCCCTTTGTCTTTCATGGAACCACCTTGGGACACAACAGATGTTGGTGGTGCCATCAGCCCAAACTCCTCAGAAATGGCATTCAAGATATTCATACCAAACCCAAAGAGGCAGGATGAGCCTGCAGAAGTTTCCTTTGGTGTAGAGAGGATGGGCATTGTAAATGATATAGACAAAGGTGTCATGAGTGATAGTGGTTGCAGGGATGGTGAAGAGCATAGGATCTTCATAAGTAACTGAAGGTAGATTGCAACCATTAAAATGAGCAATTGCAGAAGGAGAAGAAGAATGGGTAAGCTTTGGAACGAAATTGGTGAAGTAACCATGATATGCAACATGGATGCTGGGACAGTAGAAGGGAGATTTGAAACTAGGGAAACTCAGCATGAGCTCCCAGGAGGTCTTGACAACAGAGAGTGGGACCAGGTAAGTAGCCAGGTTCAGCTTCTTGAAGAATGCAACTGACAATGGAACAGCCTCCCTCCAAGAAGCACAGTCTCTAATGTACATCATCTCCATATATTCTATGATCTCTTTCACTGCATACTTTCTCCATCTTGCACCCTCATACATTCCATCCTGGTGTTCAGCAACTTGGAGTTCAGTGCATTTGGCAACAATGAGAGACATTCTTTTTAAGACAGACATTAGTTCCTGTAATGACAGTGTAGGGGACAAATGAGTTATCAAAGGAGATCAAACTTGGCAAGGTCATATCCAACCACAAGAATGGGCTCTGGATTGAGTAACCCATTGAGCTCCACAACCTCCTCAGGAGCAGGAGTGGGAGCACAATGGGGAAGAGCTGGGTCTGCTGGGCCCTCCTCAGTGTATGGTGGTATAGGATCTAAGTCAGGCTCAAAGTCAACATTGGGAAGGTGAAAATGTAAGTAATGAGGCAGCAGCAGAGGAAGCATACATCTGGTGGCAATTAAGGTGTGAATCTCAATGACAGGAACAAGTTGTCTCTGTTGGAGATGCCACCAAGTAGAGAGACCTAGGAAACATCATCCAGAATGCAGTAGAACTGATAAACAGTCTATGCAAGTCACTTGGTCCAAAAGCTCCGTAGTACACTAATAAAAAGGACTGATAACAGCCCACAAGAAGTGACAAAACAGAGGTAACTACCACCCAACCTGCACATCTAGGCCTACTCAATCCATAGTGATGTACCTGTCAGCAGTGATCAAACTATGCAAACCAAGTAAATAGCACAATGCCTAGAAGGCAGGGCTCATAACCTATTGTGCAGAGGCACAGGACAGGGTGAAGAGCAAAGACAAGAACACTTGCCTTATCAGTTAGTTGAAGCAGTAGATTTGAGGAAGTCTTGTTGTTGTCTTGTTAGATGAAAGAACAGTAGATTGCTTGATGGGGAGTAAGGCAGAAATCTCCAAGTTTATATACATGTAGCTGCATGCATGGACCAGTAACATATAAGGAAGGAGCTACAGTAAAACTACCATATAGAGAATGGAATAGCAGAGAATGCTATGGAATATGACATATTATATGACATCATAGTGGAGCAGATGATAAAGCATGTCACATGACACACACATGTATCAAAACATGTAAGTCTAGAGTCAGAACTATTAAGATATTTCCAACATCCATGTCCATTCTGACCTGAGATTGCTGCAAGTCACTTGTCATGATTCAAGTAGGGGTGTGAAATGAACCCCAATAAGTCAGCTGCACCACATAAGAGCAGTGTTTCCCAATCTAGTTGGCCTGGCTCTTTCAGTCTGGCAAAAACTCAGGGGACAAAACAACTTTCAGACCTGGACCAGGATGTGTCCAGGAATAATGCATAATAACATCAGACCAGCATCTGGTACTGTGAAAAATCCAATGATAGAAAGAAACCATTATGCATTATGATCAAGTGTACTATGTGTAGTTAGGATCCTACTATGACTTGTATGCAGCACATGTTATGTATTAGAACTACATTGTAGCATATGTATTTGGTTCATTACACAATGACATCCACCAAAGCCTGGGCTTGGGGGCTTTGCTTGGCTCAGCCTGGGGCTTGAGGCCAGGCTGAGCAAAATACTGTTAAGAATGCATTCCAGAGTTATGGTAGCCTCTCAGAGTTTTTCCCAGAGGGCTTGGAGTTTCTTCCTGACCCTCAGAATTAAATTCTGATGTCACCATGCTTAGTAATTATGGTACTATAAACTTGCCATACCATTATTTTCCACCTCAGTCACTACTTCATGCACTGAGGTGAGCATACCTACACTTGCATTCATTTACTTGGTACTGACATAGTGTAGATACTCATAACTTCATTAGGTACTAATATAGTCACTACTTCATGCACTGAGATACTCATAACTTCATTAAATACCATTCACATGGATGACCTGATTTATGCTTGAGGGTATAATAGTCTTTGGATTTAGCATAGCATTCAAAGATGCACTTGACCATGGTCCAGTAAATCCCAAGCTTTTTGGCAACAGTAGTGCTAGACAGCCAATGGCCTTGTCTCAACAGATCTGAACCTTCCTGATTGGACTAGTATACTTTGTCATGGAAAGGCAGTAGAGTTGAAAATGCAGAAGTGAAGCAAAATTTCATAATACCTTCCCTCAAACCAAAAAAGAAATGCACAGCACTTTTTGATCTTTGCAGTACAGAATATCACAAAAAAAACATGATACAAAAATCAGCCTCAGTTGACTGACAAGATGCCAGGCAACACATTGCAGTAATTGTACAGGTATATAATGTCATGTTACAGGAGCTATGGATCAAATGTGTGAAAAATTGAGAGTATGCATTACTCTTTTGGGACACTGTATGTGTGGTGGACAGACATACCAACTGAATTCCAGAGATCACCCGATGCCTTGGGTAATTCGACACTACCGACTGGAAGGTGCAATGAGGAAAGCCCAGTAATAACACCCGATCGACCTGGGACGAACCACTAATAAACGGTGGCAGCCAGAGTCCAGATGCAAGCATGTCACCTGTTACTGCCATGCTAAATGCAGAAAGCGCACCATGGTCGGTGCTCTATATAACCCTTCGTTCGCAGCGCGTTTCGTCGTGTACTTGACCACAGTTCATGTCACAATACGGCATGGCACATTTTTTGCACTTGTATGCACCTTTATAGCCGCATACGGAGCACAGAAGGCGCACTGGATAGGGCGAAGGTGGAGCGGTAGCTGTAAGGTATGATGGTACTGTAGAGGGAAGGGTGGAAATTCCCTGCAATGTGTCAATGTAGGTCCAGGAAGCGTGGGCGGCACTCACACTTTCATCGACCAGCGCGGCCAATCCCTTCCTGTACAATACGGCAGTCCTGACATTCATACTGGACTTCTTCTTAGGTTTGGAGTTGCCAAACGTGCGTTTGTCTGATATGACCATCTGACGGGCACGGAATTTCGACTTCGAGTTTGTAGAAGACTCTGGTTCGGAATCAGGATCGTTGAGGGTGACTGAAGCACTGTAATTTGTACGCTTGATAGTTGCCACTCAATGCGCGCGCGATGTGACTGGAGGGTATGGAACCAACCTCGAGTTCCTCAAGGTGCCTCTTCGTGCGTTTCGTGAGGACTTCCGGATCGAGTACCTGCTTTGCGACATTAACCTGTCTGGTCGCTGGATTTCTTTGAGCCAAGTTTCAGTGTATACATTTATTGCTCCGATTTACCTTGTTCCCTTGCCTTCTTGTGTGGCGGCATCGCTTCAAGTAACGTAGCCACAGCCATCACGTTTCCAGTGGAAGAGCACGCCATTCGAGTCACGTGGCGATCGGTAAGCGATTTAACCTTAGTCCAGCTCATCATCGACTCATCTTCAACGATGACGAGCAAACTGCCGTTCGAAATTGCCACTACGAGCGTAGGGGACCTACCTACTCCAGAACCGGACTCGCCTTATCGACCCCGCCGGCCATACCGATTTTCTACGCTCTGCGCAACGGTGGAGAACCCAGGTCTAAAAGATCAATACGGGTCATCGTCAGTGCCAATATACCAGACAGCAACGTTCAAGGGTATTGGTGGGGAATATGACTATTCTAGAAGTGGGAACCCCACTAGGAGTCATTTAGGTACGTGCAAATGACATTGTCTCTACCAAAGTGTTCAATTCGCACAGAGCACCACATTGCTAAGATTTCTTCTGCTGCTCATGGCTTCGCGGTGTCATCCGGGATGGCAGCATTGGACACCATCCTGCGGCTGTTGAAACCCGGAGATGCAATCGTTGCTGGCGACGACTTATACGGCGGTACCAATCGTCTCCTTGCTTACCTCCGTACCCACGCTGGAATCACCGTGCATCACGCCGACACCACTAAGCCTGATACCCTTATTCCACTACTGAAAACGGAGAACAATGTTGCAATGGTTCTCCTCGAATCGCCTACTAACCCCCTGCTCAAAATTGTTGACATTGCAACCATCGCGAAGGAGGTAAAGGAACGGGTTCCGGCCGCACTTGTAGTGGTAGATAATACGATGATGAGCCCATTTCTACAAAGGCCACTCGAACATGGCGCAGACATTGTGTACGACAGCGCAACCAAGTATCTCAGCGGTCACCACGATCTCATGGCCGGTATCATTACCTGTAACAGGGATGATGTTGCAAAAGTAAGTTTTATCCCCGAGCACGGTTAATTTGCTAGACGTACATCCCCTTAGCAAATAGCGTTTATCATTAACGCTACTGGAAATGGACTCACACCTTTTGACTCCTTCCTTCTCCTGCGTGGATCCAAAACGCTAGCTATTCGTTTAAACCAACAATCTTCCACTTCCATGCTCGTTGCTCGCTACCTCCATTCACTCGGCTTCCCTACATTTTATCCCGGTTTACCTGACCATCCCAATAGAGAAATGCATGAACGCATTTCCAGTGGTTACGGCGCTGTCCTCAGCTTCGCGACTGGAAGTAGAGATATCAGCGAGCGCATCGTTGCTGCAACCAGATTGTGGTCCGTCAGTGTCAGTTTCGGATGTGTGAATTCCCTCATTAGCATGCCTTGTGCTATGTCGTGAGTCTGGGTTGGCTTCGTGATTCCTCTCCCTTAACTCGACTTCGAATCCTAGGCACGCCTCTATACCACCTGCGACTCGTGCTGCGCGGGGGCTTCCAGAAGACTTAATCCGCCTTTGCGTTGGCATTGAAGACTCCGCAGATCTCCTCGACGACCTAGAACGCGCCTTGATCGACGCAGGAGCTATCCGAAGAACAGCTGCCGGCCTTGTGCGTGTACAGACGTCGATCGGAGAGGCTGTCCAGAAACTGGCAGAAAAGGAAGCAGCGAAGGACGAGATTCCGCCGCATGAAAAGCCGTGGGTAGTATCTGCCCCTGGCAAGGTTATCCTGTTCGGAGAGCATGCAGTTGTTTATGGAGTCGTAAGTTCCCGCCTTTTTGCTTTTCAGCTCCTGTAGAGATCACTGTCCTTGTTTCAGCCTGCCCTAGCAGCCTCATTGTCCCTGCGGTGTTATGCTATTTCTACCCCAAGAGCAGACGATACCCTTGGCGTTCACTTCCTTGATATTGACGTCGGCCAACCTGATGGCTTCAAATATGAATGGGACTTGTCAGAATTACCCTGGGATGCTGTTCCTTCTCGTAAGTCGGGATCGTTCGTTTATGTGACATTTCGATTACCATTGGTCGCAGAACCTTCATCAGGGGAGGGAGAGGTTGCATTAAATCACCAATTTCTTGACACAATAACATCCCAAGTTCTTACTGACATCTCGAACGCACACGCGCGCCAGGCAAGCCTGGCGTTTTTGTATTTGTATATGGTTCTTGCGGCCCACTCGGGTCAAAGGTGTGCACTTTTTCTTTGAACATGGCTCCGAGTCGGTTGGGCTGGGCTTGATGTGAAAGTCCATGATTGCTAATCATCCATATGGCAGGCCCGCACTTACTCTCGCAGCCCGAGCCACACTTCCTGTAGGCGCTGGGCTTGGGTCCTCAGCATCCTTTTCTGTGTGCACTTCTACATCTCTCTTGTTTGTATTCGGACGTATCCGCGTCCCTTCGCAATCCTTGCCAGTCACGCCCAGTACCTCATCCGCGTCATCATCCTCTTCAGCACCAACTTCTAAGCTTCCAGATACCCTTGCGCAGTGCGTAAATAGATATGCATTCCTTTTGGAAAAGATCCTGCACGGGACACCGAGTGGCGTGGATAACTCGGTTGCGGTATTTGGTGGTGGTCTCCAATACACAAAGGGCCAAGGGGGAGGACTAGAAGCCATTGATGGATTCAAAGCTTTGCGATTCTTGTTAACAGACACACGCGTCCCTCGGAATACGCGCTCTCTTGTCGCTGGTGTTGCTGAGCGTCTGGCCAAGGATCCTAACGGAGTGGGTGCAATCCTCGAGCAAATTAGGGAAGTTGTTGGGCGTGCTAGGCGTACCCTTGGCGAGGAAGGGGATGGAACTGCGGTGCTCGCCGTGAGAACCGTGTTTCAGCAGTGACCTCACGCGTGGTACTAATTTGTTCATTTAGGATCTCATCGATGAAAATCATGCACACTTGGTCGACCTTGGCGTCTCACACCCCAGCCTAGAGGATGTGCGAGATGTGACTAGGACATATGGGCTCGCCACAAAGTTGACCGGTGCAGGAGGCGGCGGGTGTGCGGTCACGCTTGTGCCGGATGGTGAGTTCCTCATTTCAGCTCTCACCGAAAATGCGGCTTGATTGGCTTTTAGACTTCTCTGAGTCGTCTCTCTCATCGGTAATAACCACCCTTCGAGAGAAGGGATATGTCCCGTACCTTACCCAGGTCGGAGGTCCTGGACTCGGAGTACTCGTTTCCCAGGGGTCGTTTGCACTTCCCATGACTCCCCCCGAGCCACCCGCCTGTGGAATTGAGAACAGTGATGGGCTAAGCGAGGGGGCGCTGACAGGCCTGTTCGCGCAACAGTCCAAACCGGAGTTGGGTTCCTGGATCGATAGCCTAGGCAATTGGGCTTTTGTCTGAGGGAAAGGTCACCAAACACCAGTCGATCGATTGAGCTTGATAGCGATCGTCGTCGGGACCGTAGTGGACTTTTATTGTCTATCATTTCGCAATATGAAAATTCCGAGGTATCGTTCTGTTGTTGCCCTTTTGTCTTCGATGCGAAAGCCAACAATATCGGGTGCCTCAAGAGTCAACGACGGCATTCTCGGCTCTTGCTCAGGCTGAATGGTTGCACTGAGTTGGATGTTGAGCGAACAGTGTGATCTGCATCGTGGAAGGAAAGAAAACGATCGCATGCTTGTGCGTCACGTGATGAAGATATGTGTCGATGCTGGAAGGTGAAGAAACAAGTCCCAGTAGTACTTGCAATGCAAGGGGTTGACAACGCGCTGTTGCAGGCTGAAGTTATCGATCCAGCAACCGTCGTTCCCATATTACCAACTGGAGAAGATGAACGAACTGGGCTAAGCGAAAGGACAAGGAAGCGACTGTTGGACTTGGGAATACGCGAATTGTTTGCAGGTCAGGGACTTAGTTGTCGCCTTCGGCATGACCATGGCTGACAGCTACATTGCAGTACAAACAGCCTTCATTCCTTTCATTGTCCACCAGAATTTCGGTACGTCTCCGCTGTGCGAGACATTAAGCTATCCACGGGATGTGTGTGTCTCTGCACCAACGGGGAGCGGTAAAACTTTGGCCTACGTACTCCCTGTCATCGAGGTCATTGCACTTGTAAATTTCAGTCTCCCCGTAACTCTGATGTCAGCAGTACATAGGTGTTGTCAAGCCGGATCGTCACCCGCCTCCGTGCTCTTGTTGTACTTCCCACTCGCGATTTGGTCACCCAGGTAAAGGAGACATTCGAAGCTGTTGGTAAAGGACGTGGCCTAAAGGTACAAATCGCTGTATCATCCGTACGAGTGGAGTGCTCCTAACGAAAATTAGATAGGAACTGCAACGGGTCAACATTCATTTAGTCACGAACAAGCCCAGCTCGTTGAAGACGTCTCGACTTCGTAGGCATTCCACGGTGTTGTTGTGTCATGACTTGAATGATCTGCAGGATGAAGGGTGGTTCTAGCAAGGTAGACATCTTGATATGCACTCCCGGCCGACTCATGGATCATCTTAACGGGACACTTAATTTCACCCTCCAACACCTGCGATTCCTGGTGAGAAGCGGAGCAAACTCAAAGAGAACCTTTTTTGAAACAGCATTTTTTTCAGGTAATCGACGAGGCGGATCGTTTGCTGGCGCAATCCTTTCAGGATTGGTTAGTTCAAGTACTGGCAGCCTGTGGACCGCGACGGCGCTCCAGCGACAAGTTACCTACAACTTCCCCATTACATGACTCAAACCTTCTACCAATCTGCGACTCGCTGTCACCAGCATTGCTGCAGACGTATGTTGATTATCACACGGACGTAGACGAGTTCAAAGAGACTTCGTGCCAAAAACTCCTTTTTTCCGCGACGCTCACACAGGACCCTGGCAGACTTGCCTCGCTTGACCTGCGGAATCCCAAGTATTTCATTGTTCAGAGTCGAGCAGAAGGGGAAGACAGGTCTGATCCTTTGGACGTCATCTCCGAAAGGTTTACTATGCCTGCCACACTAACGGTAAGCGGAGTCACGAACGCCGCGGTATGTACAGTTTTGATCCGCATCACACTACAGGAACACATGGTCATTTGCGACCCGTCTGTAAAGCCTCTTATACTTCTCCACCTTATCTACAATCTCTCGATCCGCAGCGCGCTGGTATTCACCAAGTCATCTGAGTCGACCTCGCGTCTGGTTCGCTTGGTCGGGTTCTTCGAGGATGCGAGCACCGATCGCGAACATGTTGTTATTTGTGCATACTCGAGTGACCTGCCGACCGGAGAGCGCAAGAGAATTTTGGAGAAGTTCAAAGCCCAGGAGATCCATATGTAGGTTTTTTAAAAGAAATGTCTGAGAAGGCTGTACTCACTTTTCTCGTTAGATTAGTGTGCTCGGATTTGATATCGCGGGGGGCCGACATCAGCCACGTCTCACACGTGATTAGCTATGACGCACCCGTCGATATGCGAAAGTATGTTCACCGAGTGGGTCGCACTGCTCGCGCCGGGAGGACTGGGGATGCATGGACACTTGTCGAAGAACAAGAGGTGTCATGCTGTTTATATAATTTGGAGGCAGAAGCTAATCATTCTTTTCTAGGCACGTTACTTCAAGGGAATGCTGCGCGAACACTCCCATCTGGAGAGGGTAAAACGAATAAAAATTCCTCAGAAGGAGACGGAAGGGCATTCTGCAGCATATCAGGTTCGCAAATCGTTATTTTGTTGTTGTCATATATTGGAGTGATTGACCTTCTTTCTAGATCGCGCTTCAAAAGCTGAAGGAGGCGTATGCCCGCTGACTTAGTAATCTCCAGGTACTGAGTAGTTCAACTTGTTTCTGGGTTGCGACGATCAACATGGCTGAGTTGGATTCGACTTGGACAGTGTATTGGATCAAGGGTAAGTCGATCGACGGGATCTTTCCGCTACGCATGTAGTACATTTGCAAGTCCAACGCGAGTTACAAGAATCACACATTCACATTCGATTCTGATACATCATGAAAGAAAACGGGATATGGAAGGACATCGAACAAGGTACGTAGATGAGCAATGCACCTCGATGATCTATGTCCGATGGATTCAAGAAGAGAACTTTTTCCCCCCTTCTTTTCTTTTTTATCTTCGTGCAAGAGAATACTTTCAGAATTCAAGTTGATGCGATGAAGCTCCAAAAATCAAAGATTCTTCGTCAGATACACTGGTGGTTCACCGCAGAATATCAGCGTACATTTTCCCCTTAGTCGCGAACCGGCAAGTTATACACAGTCCCACCCAATTGATGGGTCGTGTTGATGGCATCGTCGACGTCCTTGTCGTTGGGCAGCGCGTACCAGTCACCAATCAGATTCCCACCGTATCCTTTCAAGGACTTGTCGAACTTGGTCTTGTAGTCCTCGCTGGTGAAAGTAGACATCTGGCGACGGCCATTGTCGTTAACGCTGAAGTAGGCGACGAGATAGGGGTTGATTGACATGCTAGAGAAGGGGATTGTTAGACCCCCAGACAGAAAATTTGTCAAGAGATGTGCTCCTACATGATGGTTGTTGTTGTGGTTGAGTGAACTGAAGGTAAAAGAGCGAGAGTTGGGATGCTTTTATACGTTAGCCACGATCCGTCCGATACTGATTAGTATCGTCCCCCTTCGACTAACCGTTCCGTAAGTCAAGCATATGGAAACCTACTTATGGCGTTGCGCCGAGGCGGTCAAGCGTGATTCCATCTTCGAGAGTCGAAAATACGGAGGCTCACTTAAGCCGTTGTGCCGGAGCGGTCTAAGTGTGACTTCATTTTCAAGAGCCGAGAACACATAAGTTTATGGCGTTGCGCTGGGGCGGTCAAGTATGACTTCATCTTCGAGAGTCGAGACCACGGAAGCTTATGGCGTTGCGCTGGGGCGATCAAGTGTGATTCCATCTGTCGAGAGTCGAGATACTCACTTGGAACATTGCCAAAATATGGTGCGCTCGAAGATTTGAATGCACCGCAATTAATATGCAGCTGGAGCGTTGCGTGGGGCGGACAGGTGTGATTTCATCTTCGAGAGTCCAAAATACGAAAGTATACTTATGATACACTGCCAGGCTCGAATTCGAAAGTACCGGATACACAAACTGAAAAGTGCATCATGGAGAGCAGTCAGGTGCCATGCCATCTTTGAGTTGAGACTAAGAGTCCGTACAGTATGTTCGCATAGTCTCGCTACACAGTTGCTTGCCGGCTTTGGTATTTTACTTTGTTTGTGATCCTGGCAAGCCACCGCTCTGCCATGCTGCAGAGTTTGTATTTTGAACTGCTCTGACGATGATGGATAGTGAACCCCTGGAACCCCTCCTACTGATTATTGCAGCACTAGTGACGCTCGTCAGTGAGTCTTGCCTCAAGCTAGTGACTGAAGATATGCCCTCTGATAAGGATTGAGCCAACTGGACTGAGGAAGAGAAAGGGGCCCTTGTTGCTTTCCTTGTTGATGAGAAAATCGCTGGCAAGATGGGTGATGGGTTGTTCAAGTCTGCCACTTGGAGTGTGGCCACTGCCCACATAAACAAGAAATTCCTGAAACAAAAAGGTGTGATGAAGACCTCTGATATGTGCAGAGGGAAGCTCAGTAATGTGAGTATCCTGTTCCCTCCCCAGCACCTGTGTAGCCTCATTGATCATTATTGGTACAGCTCAAATCCATACTGAGGGATATCAACTTATGGTGAGGTCATTCTGGAAAGCATTGGGATAATGAAAATGGGGTGAATATTATCTCTGAGAGTGAGGAAAGCGACTTCAAGGAGTGGTTAGTGGTATGTGTCCATCATCTTGGGTCCATCGCTTGACATCGATAACATCCATTGACAGGGCCAACCCAGGAATGCTATGCACCAGTTTAAAAATGTCAGTTGGCCCCTGCTTACAGTGATGGAGTTGCTGTTTCCAAATGACCAAGCCCATGGTATGTGTGCCTACCATCCTACAACTTCTGTGGCATTCATATCTGGTGCCAGTGGTCCTGGCCTCTCCATAAACACATCTAGCCATACCTCCAGTGATCTGGTGATGACCCCATCCATGTCCTCCACCACTTTACAGTTCGTTACTCCTCAGGTTGGAAGCTCTGCCAGCATCATTGAAGATGATGCAATCGATCAAATGTCCGTCGACAAGGTAGCTCCTGCTAACAGAATGAACGTGCAGTCCCAGCTATTTTCAACACAATTTAATCCACCCATGCTGACTCTTGCTTCCCCTACAATGTTACTTAGCTCATATCCCCCCTCAACTACCAGCTCTATGCCATCAAGTAGGAAGCATACACATGTGGACGCCAACCCTGCTTCACCCTCTGCTGAAATTCCATTGGCACAAGCTGTGCTCCAGTCACTCTCTATCAAGGACGATGCAGAACACTCTTCAAAGAAGTCAAAGAAGAGCAAAGAAACATCCACACCTGCTTTACTCGTCAGTGTACAGGGTTCCCTTTCACACCTTGGGTCTGTTATCAGTTCATTGTCTGCAGTTGCCACACAGCAAAGGCATACTGAGCATATGCATGCCACCATGGAGATGCTCACATGGCGAGATGACAACCTTCCCCTGTTAGCTAAGATGGCCCTGATGGAAGCGTTCCATATGGATGGGGGGGCGATCAATTTATACCTCATGTTGGATGATAAAACCCTTCATAGAAACTGGATTCAGACTTGTCTTCATAACCAGAAACTCATTCCAGATGACCTTGTGTTGTAGTACCTCCATCATGTTTGTATCCCTGCTTGCAATTTATCTGACCTGGTGTTTTGTTATGCAAAGAATGATCCAGAGATATTCATTTAGAAAGTGAGAAAAGTGTACATAAAACAATCTCTACGATCAAGTTTGCCCTCACTTCCACAGATACTCCTGGTAGTCGTGCCACATTGCCTCAGCAATAGAATCACACAATGCCCTGGCTGATAATTCTTGAGGGTCATCGTCTCCCTCATCATCCCCTGATAGCACGCTTTCTTCTTGCTCGGTGTCGCCAACTTCCCCAGTACCCCCATCACCTCCACTATCCCCCTCCAGCATTTCTCCATCAGCATCTGGATCCTGTTGTGACATAATTAAATTGTGGATAACACATAGGGCAACAGGAATAAGTGCCTGGATCTCGATAGGATATTCTTGAGGGAGAAGAAGAATTTGGAAACGATGCTTGATGACACCAAAGATTCATTTGACAACATTCCATACAGACGAGTGATGCAAATTGAAAAGCTCTTCTTTGTTTTCAGGCCTGTAAAACAGGAAGTAAATGGATATCAATCACGCAGTAAATGCATACCTTAATGATGCTTGTTGCCACTCTGCCAGGTGATAGTGTGTGTGGTGGTAAGGTACGAGGACTCCTTCTGACAATGGGAAACCAGCATTGCCAAGGAGATACTTTCCTTGGGGAATATCAAGGCTTGATGTGCATGCTTCCTGGAAAATTCATGCATCTGTAGCCAAACCCTCCCAGCCAGTCAATACATAAGTGAAATTCATGCCAAAATCACAGGCAAACATGCAATTCTGGGACATGGTGCCCTTTCAGTTGCAGTATGCAGCACGGTCATGAAGTGGCAGGGAAGCAGGAATATGACTGCCATCAATGGCACCAATTGCATCCTTGAAGTACAGCCAGAACCTATGACTCCACATGATTTTTGGGTGGACAGTAGTAGTTGAAGAGCTTGTCTAAGGGTGCTCGGAGGGCCTTTGTATTCAACGATCGAAATTCAGTTGCAAAGACCGCTCAGCAACCAGCATCATATGTGTATCTACACTTCAAAATCTTCCAACCACTCCAAGACAAAATTAATTATCTCGTAGTGAATCTTCTGGATTTCAAGAGGTTCATCTGTGATATTGCGGAGACCATTCTCGTCGTAGTGGTGCACTCCACCTTGTCATAAACATTCGTTAGCGACCCAAGGCGTCATTACACGGCGAGACTAATAGACAGATACCTGGTATGAGCTTAAACGGTCTGAGAATAGTATCCTCTCTATCATCTGCATGCGTACTGTGTGGCGTGCATGGCTTCCAGGGATCCACTATGGCACGAATAAAAAGAAAAGAAAAGAAATCATTCCATATGAGAAACAAAGGGTCCCAGTCGCACAACAAACTTACCATCCCCATCTATGAAGGCAAGCCTGTCAGTTGCAATTGCAAAATCACCGAGGGCGTTTACGGCTGTGATGTTCGGCAAAGGGGGTACAACGAAGTATTTTCCGGGAGGAAAGGCCTAGTAGGCAACTCTGTCAGGGCACAGATGTTGGTGAGTTTGATCAAACTACCTGCTGGCAGATCTTGCTCGCGTAGTCCATGGTCATCAATTTCGACACAATTCTAGGGTACTCCGGGTCAGGTGGAGCCGTCTGGTGGTAATAAGTTGTTGCTTTATCAGACTTGATGGAAGGGAGCATACGTACGAAAAAATAGCCCCATTCCGTGCAGACCTGAAATGTCCAGAGTCGCCAATCTTGATTAATAGCCGTCTCCATGAATACTGTATCGTTGTACGTTCCAAAACACTGTTGCACAGATACAGTGGAGGAAGTTTTCTAGAAGTCACCAATGTTACTTACTTCCTCCACGGTCATGTCGGCATTAAGGCAGCGTTTGACTAGACCCTGGCTTTCAAGTAAGTATCTGTTACCTCGGTGGATAGCGTTACTAGATGCCCACCTCTCTGATATACTGCGCGTAGTTTAAGATGGAGAAATCAATACGATGTCCACCTGGCAAACTCAAAAGACGGTCCTCGTGACCAACTGGGAGCGCTGAGATGTCAGTTGCACCGAAGATCGGTTTGTTTAGTGTTTCACAAAATTCGTCAAATTTCTGACTGCCCACAGCAGGATCCCAGTTCTTCGCCTGCCAATTACCAAGCGGTGTCTAATGCATATCAGTGACCTCTGTCACCGTCACAGGTGCATCGACTTACCTCAATGACCGACATAAAATCGTCATCATGCTTGAGGTCTTGCAGCCCGAACAGCGCTTTGACATAAGGATTGAGATAAGGAATCTCGAGCAGGACGTCAAGTGTCTTCACAGTATTCTCAATGTGAGCAGTACAGTTTGGGTCAGCAGCTTGGCGGATGACTTCGTAGTACTCCCAGTTGGAAAGGGTAGCATGGGTAACAGCTTCGGAGAACAGTTACGAGCAAGATCAGTACTGTCGAAAAGAGAGGTACATACCGCTGGAAGCGACGGCACCGAAGACAAGCTCAGGATACAATATCTTCATGTGAGCTGATCTGGCACCTGCATAAGAGCCCTGAAACAATAGGTTCGAAGACGCATATATTAGACAGATAAATAACTGACACCATAATATATCCAGGGAACATTTGGTGCAGTGAGGTCCTCATCTATCCCATAAAACTTCACATTTGCCATGAAGTTTGCGGAATCAGCTGTGGCTTGGTCATTGTTAAGCCACCTACAACAACACCATCGACGTGTCAGATGATGCACAGCGACGGCCCTGCACAATAACTTCGTTACCCACCTGAGGTTGTCAGTGCTGAAGTCGGAGACGGGTATTGATTTTCCTGGTGGAGGTTAACCCAGAATTTGCCTTATAGACTTGGTACAGACCATAGTACCGATGCTCAAGTACGACACCCACACCACCAGTAGCCTTCGCCAGCATATCTATAATACCGGTGTCCAAGAATGGGATTCTTTCCTCCCCACTCGTCTCCCCGCCATCGAGGACAATCACAGGTCCACTAGAACCAGAAATATAGTGACGTGTATTAACCCAGTAACGCTGACCAAAAGTCCCAGCGGTGTGGTTATGATGATCAATGGGTTGTATGAAGTACCGCTCTGGGAACTCGACAGGTTTCTGTGACGATGCGGTCGGCGAAGCGGAAAGATCGATGTTACTTGTATCCTGTAAGACGAGCGGGGAAACTGCAGGATGTGCGGCCAACAGTACCCTCTCCCGCGCGTCTAGCCTCCAAAGGTTGATGCTCTGTGGACCGAATCGAAGTTTGGAATTTGCTGCATTGGCAACGGCGAAAACACACGAGATCAAGGCGAACGACGACGCGAAACTAGCTAGCGACTTCATCGTTGTCGCGCCACCCATGTAGCGATTCTGGCTTGACGGCTAATGGAGGCAGTTATAAGCGCCTTGTGTTCGTCACTTTTATAAGCTGTTCGCTTTAAAGGCCTTATTAGTGTCTCCATCAACATTCGACTCTGCGGGCATTCGTGAACTTATCCAAAGGGCGACAAGATCAGGCCTGACGACCTAGTATCTGTATGGGTAATGGGGCACTGAGGGGACTAATAATGGATGGCCCCTGTTGGGGATACGACACAAATAAAAATTCGAAACTCAACCCGCATTCAAATCGATTTCATGCGAAGTGAAGCTGCGACCGCGAAAACAGACGGTGCAGTCACGGCTGAGTCAGGACCCCAGAGAAGTGAAGCTGCGACCGCGAAAACAGACGGTGCGGTCACGGCTGAGTCAGGACGTAAACATATCATCCGAATTGCGTCGTAGGTGCTTGGAACTAATAACGAGATATGCGCGTGAACTCCACCCGATATCCTACTCAAATCTCACTTGGCCATCACAGATACCACTCGTATGTATACCCCTGACTGAAGTGTGCACGGGCGCTAATTAATCCCTACCATCAGTATCGACTCGCATGTATCCCGGAAGCAAGTTTGGGACAAAATACAACAGCAACGTGTTGGTCAGTATCGTGCATCGCCTCTGCTGGTAAGCTATCCTGGTTGTAGTCTTCCCACATATCACTGATGGTGTGTGTTGACGGAGTCGATGTAAGGCAGAATTATACATGCAGCGGTGTTGTCCGTTTAGCCTTCGGCGGTTCGGAGACCGTGAAATGTAATGCTGGTCCATTCTGGATTGGCGGTAGCCTTGGTATTCTTAGCGCACTCGTGGCACTTCTCCTGGTGAAGCCCCTTATGCATGACGGTATGAAAGCCGAAGATAATGCGGTACGTTCTCTCCGTCCTGCTTTACTTCTCTGGGGGTTCTTTTCTCAGTTCCATCAGTGTCCGGGAGAGCATGAACTTGATGCGAGCATTATGCATCCGGCTGAGGAAGGTTACTTGTCCCTGCGTGACCTTACCTTGTCTCCGATAGCTCAGCCCACCACTGCTCACTTTAGTAACACATAGTAGCGGCACAAGTGCCAATCCCTGACTCCCACATAGCCCTTATTGATATTTGGTGATAAAAGCAGGAGTTGATGTGGTGGTAAAATGTCAATCACAAAACGCAGGTAATTCCACTTGCCTTATGTCTCTACTAGACAATCTGGTAGGGACTGAACTGGCGTCTTCGCGAGCGTAGAACTACTCCATAACTGTGACATTACTATGTTGTAAAGCCGGACATGTAATTTTTGAACCGAGACAAACAACTGACCTGAGGCGCAGATCCGAAACCTAGAAAGAAAGTGGGTCATGTGCCTAGTAGTTCCCGCGCCAAGGACAACCGATTTGGTTTGGTAAATACGCAGGTTAACACCTACTAGTCATCCAGCGTGCGTCGCTGGAATACATTTGGCGGCTGTACAAGCAAGCCTTGCAAAATGAAAGAAGCGGGAGCGAATACGCAGCATTCAGAAACATATCCGATAACTAGCATAACGGCCACTAGTCTCGCTGGGACGTGTGATTTTCACAACTTGGCCGCGACGGAGACCGTAGTAACGTGCAACTGGATCCGCGAGCTGAATGCGGGGAAGTTGTGTCTCCTTCAGGCGGCTAAACAGTGGTTGTCAGCCCCTCAGAGAGTACTAAAGTGCTAATGCGTACTATTTTTCGAGTAGTTGCTTTTTCTGTTCCGGCGAGAGGACTTCGTGACGGGGTACGAGGGTGTGGTGGGTAATATTAACAAGTAGGTCGGCCTCGGAAAACTCCTCTAGGCGATATTGAGCAGACATCGCTGCAATGACCTACCATTGGTAGATCAGTCTGTCGGATTAGCGAGGCGTTCCGACTCTAAAACTACTCACCTTTCGTGCAGAAGGGGTCATGTTTCCAGGGAAGATAATAATACCCCTCATAATAGATTTTTCTTCTAGGATACCAACCAACCTGGAAAAAGAGTGTTATCTATCCGAGCATGAGGGGGTCGCATCGTCGGTCACCTTCGCATGGTCTTCACGCCAACACTTCGTTCGTCGGAGAAGAAGACGAAGATTTGGTCTGCGGGGTTCTCTCGCGAATTTGTGAAAAAGTTGAGTTGATTTCGGCTGTGCATCGTCGGCCTCAAGGATCCTGATCAAACCAAGCAGGACGTACTCGACTACCCCTCCGTTATTCGTGTAGTGAGCACGGAAAGTTACAAGGTCCATGTGTATTTCATCGTCTGACACTTGGTACCCCTGTCAAAAGAGTCGTATACTTTGGCATGCGAGGATTAGATTTCTACTTACCCTGTCCTTGACGAGTTCGTGTATCGTCCTGTTAACTTTCCATAGTCTTGCTGTCTCGTCTTCCGCCATCGTCGTCTGCAGTGCAAAAGCGTGTATTCAAACTCAGACACTCGACCAAGCACGATGCCACCAGCGACGACGACTGCCAACGGAAACAATGCACCGTCGACAATTCCTCTCTCCAATGCGTTGATGGTAGGGACTACCCTTATTACCCGTCCCAGTGTCAGCGTGTGACCTCCGACGCAATACAGACTAAATTGAAGCCAGCAAAGGTGTTCAAGAATGCCGTCGAACCGACGCCACCACCGACACCAGGAAGCAGCTCGAGGGCGAATGCTGGTCCTCGACATGTCACTTCCATCACCTTCGATGACAGAGGAGATCAAGTGCTGACCGCCTCTGAGGATGAAACTTTCCGGCTATATAGCTGTAAATCTGGCAAGTAAGTCATCGTCATCGACGTTACCGCTCCTTTCATGTGTTGACACGCCAGTGCAGACATCTAAAAACGCTTTACTCCAAGAAGTATGGTGTTGATCTCCCGCGTTTCACCCACAAAAATACGACGGTGATACATGCGTCGACGAAGGAGGATGACACGATACGCTACCACTCCTTGCATGACAACAAGTACTTGCAATATTTCAAGGGCCACAAACAGCGAGTCATTTCATTGGAAATGTCTCCCGTAGACGACGGGTTCATGTCCGGTTCGATGGACAAGACCGTGCGATTATGGGACCTACGTGTACCTACGTGCCGAGGGCTCCTAAACCTTCCGTCATCGCCGGTGGTAGCCTACGATACATCCGGTCTCGTCTTCGCAGTAGGCGTCAACCGATATTCTCGAATTCTGCTGTATGATCAGGCCAACTATGACAAGGCGCCATTTCTTACCATCACACTGGAGGACCCTACGCTCGCTCTGGTCAGCTATCCCCCTCGACCTATTTATATGACATCGCTTGCATTCTCCTCCAATGGGAAGTATCTCCTTGTGGGTTGCTCCGGTGACGCACACTACATACTCGACGCATTTGAGGGACATCTACTCGCTAAACTCGAAGGCTTTGTGGGCTTGGAGAGACGTCGGCTTGACGCACCGCCAAGCATCGACCCAGTTAAAGGAAACAGCGGCGAGGAGGTCTCATGGACTCCAGATAGTAAATATGTCGTCGGGGGGAGTCTCGATGGTCGAATAGCAGTGTGGGACGTGCAAAACCTACCCGTTCGGACGGGTGTAGTGGATCTGAAGTCGCCACCTACACGCATCCAACCCTTGACAACTCTCGATGGACATTCAGGCCCTGCCCGATGTGCGAAGTTTAACCCCCGATTGGCGATGATGGTCACTGCCGGGACAGAGCTGGTACGGATCAATCCTAAGTGATTAGATTGTTGGCTAACATCCGATATAGGCATTTTGGTTACCAGACCAATCTGCGGATAATGAGGAGATTGCCAAGGAATTATTGAAGAAGAAATCCTGACCGCTTTCGGTGATAATACAACACCCATTCGATATATTTGTGGTACGCGAGCATCATAACTACAGTAATAAATTCAACTGCTCTAGAAATACGCTATTTGTGCTAGGCCCGCCCAGCCAGTGTCTGACTCTATCGTCATATTACATCAAGGTGCCGAGAGCTTCGCCAGCGAAATTGAGTTATTGCCAACATCAGTAGAAAAGTATGCGTTTTTCAAGAACACGTCTCCGACCTACGCATTACGTGAGTGCGATTGAGATGGGTAACCTGAAAGAAACTTACCAGCCACTGGGTTGCTGCTCCGATTTGCTGGGGCTGGATTCCAGCGACGCAATCGCCTGTCGGATTGTTAGGTTGGACAGGAAGAATGAGTAGGTCGCTCGGATTGATGGCAAACGAGGATCCTCCAAATGCGAACGCAAGGCTGGAATTGGAAGTGCAGGGAAGAGTGCATTGTTGCGAGTCGCATGTTCCGCCAAGACCTTGCATGAGCTGCTGCGCGTCAGCCGGTGGAATTACCATCACGGTAGTGCCTGTGTCAAGAATCGCAGTGCGTCCTGTTAAACCACTGTCTGCTCCGTTGATGGAGACTGCATCGATAGCGCCCTCCCAGAAACCCTGCTGATTGACGTTCGGAATGGTAACGAGGGTGTTGGCAACGAATTTGGAAGAGTCCAGTCCTCCGAAGGTGACTTCCCCGTCGTTGAGTTGATCAGAGAGACGAGAAATCTTGAATGAAGTTATTGCAGCCGGGATTAAACCATTTGAAGCAAGGGATTCCACTGGTGTAGAGACGTTCTGCTGAGACAAAGTCTAAGGTGGAAAGATTCATTGCATGTAAGGTTGTCCAGAGATTCGTAGACATACTGATTGTGCCAGACCCATGAGGCCATCGAACGGCACGGAAGAGCTCGAAAACTGGGGTGACTCGACCGACGCAACACCGAACGTGTGATTATTCAAGCTCAGGCCTGCGATGCTAACTTGATCTTGGCAGAGAGTTCCCGCCACGGCCCCGGAACCATACATGACTTGGAATTGCGAATTGCTCGACACGAAGGAGGAAGAGCTTTGTGGACCAAGGAATGTGTGATTGCCCTTATGGTCCCATCAGCAAATATATCCCCAATCAATGTCGACTGGGACTCACACAACTACCACCCGTCGAAGACTGACAGTTCTCGCTCCCAATCCCTGACAATTACTCAACAAACAAACGACAAAAAGTCTCATTCACTGGCACACTCACAGAAATCAGCACTTCCAGAGTCCATCAGAATTTTGAAATCCTGCGCAGGTGTCCCGACCTGGATTGTTGCAATATATGCTACATCGTTGGCCCTGTTTGTCTTTTGGTCAGTGACCAGTCTCATGCAATTCCGTATACAGCATACTCAATGGCCAATCCCAGAGAATTATTGGTCGTAGGGGGGTTAGCAGACGTCAAACCACCATTCTCAGCTGCTTGGATATCGAGAGGTGAGATTCCGGTACTATTTCCAGGGGCAGTTGCATTCCCCGGTGCAGTAGCGTTACCAGAAAGGGTGGTACCGTTGTTGATGGAACCCTTGCTGGGCTGCTTTCCGTGGCCCTGCGTTGCTGCCAAACCCAACCGAGTATTCCCGGCATTGAAGCTCGAGCCTGGCGAAGCCAAACTCGGTGCCGGTCGACCATCAAGAATGTATAGCCTTTTATGAAGTTCAGAACGGAGTTGATGTTCTGAAGGCTCTTGACGGCCTAGTCATGCGGGCAAGACGTTTAGAAGCATGGTTTATGTATTGCTGCATAAGCTATACAATGATCAAACAAGTAAGGGTCAGGGGGCTCCCCGAACGCAATACAGAAAACAGACCATTTGCGGATGAGTATCTTTGGGTACATTTTGGACTCGCTTAAGGGGCAGAGTGATGAGTTGTGGCATAGGAAGGACGGGCTGGCGCCGGGCCTGCTGAGGAATGACAACTCCCAGTACACAATCCAAGAAACACGCGACCAGGATAAAGGCTGGTGTCAAGAACTTCATACTGATGTGTTATGTGGTCAACGTTAACGAGAGAGGCGCGGTGCACTCAATACACCACCAAGAAAACAAGGATAGAAACGATTCCAGCGAAGGGAAGGGAACGACAACGAGGGCGCCAGGCCTTGTGAGGGGAGAGGAAGAGGAGGGTGACAGTTATGCAGGAGCCTGCGCACCTGTCAAGCGATTTGTTATATATACCGATCACAATTGCCTTTGTCTTTGCAGCGTTGCTCTAGCATGGGAAACGGTGAATGACATAAGCATACATGTGACGATGGATTCCACAGAAACCACACCCTTGGCAACGGGCAAAGCTGACAATGCACGCCCCGCCGGTATGGCCATTGATAAAAAGGCACGAAGGACTCGGGGAATGGAGTGATTTGAACATGCTTCCAAGGAACCAAGTTTGCAAACACAATGCTGCGCATTGCATAAATACTATTTTACACACAGAGGTCATCCGGGACCAATACAGTTGAACAACAAGTGCATCGGCCGCTATTCCTACATCAGTGTTGGGTGAGATGGTCTACGTGATGTCTAAATCACTCACACAGATGGGGTATGCGAAGTTGCACCCGACTACAGCCTCGCTGTTGGTAGCATCGAATGTGTTCGCGCGTCCAAACGGACAGTCTCCAAACAGTCCCTATAAAGGAAGGCTTTGATGGAACCCCAGACACCCTGTTTGGGCAGCACTGAAACCTCCTTGGCGAGTTTCATAGCTTCCTGCAAAACGTTCTCTGTCCCAAGTTCGGCCCCTGTACCTTCACAAGTTGCTAGTCGGTCCACGAGTCCAGCTGCCAGCGCTTCTGAGGGTGTGAATCTGTGTCCTTCCAAAGCAATGCGTCTTCGAACAGATGGATCAGAAACCTTGGTGTTCAAGATAGCAGCAAATGACAGAGGCCATGGTGCACCGAAATGAATCTGTGATGAGCTATCTTTGAGCTTCTGGACACCAGGCATGGCGGTGTATGACAAAGCTAGACCGCCCGTAGTCATGGACTGACCTCGTTCATACACATCCACGCACGTCTTCTGCTTCCATCAGTCATTATTCGGTAATCACAAGAAAGGGCGAGCATCATTCCCGCTGCGAAGCAGTGGCCGTTAATAGCGGCGATCGTCGGAACTGTGTGCAGACGTCAGAACAAACCGCAGCCTGATGGTATGAGACGATTCACTTGGAAAAGTCATCAAGCGAGCAATGAGCGGATTCGCAGTTTCTGAAAGACAAGAGCTGAACCAATGGGACAAAGGAGACGGTATCATGCCTTACCATTGAAGAAAGCCGGGTTGCCCTTCACGCTCTCGTACTCAAAACCGTTGCTGAAAAACTTGTCCTGACTTCGCTTCCCTATTATTATAAGAGCGCCTTCTCCACTGTCTCTGCCGGAGCTATCCTTGCTTCGCGTAGTCGGGGAAGAGCCTCTGTTAAAATTCCAGTGCTCTTCGACAAGGTCCAAGGCGGGCCGGATAGCATCATCGATCATTCGCTTGGTGAGACGTGAGTCCTCTCCGTTGTGGAGTTCGATTATCCACAGGCCATCGTGTGCTGTGATAAATGGCGTTTCAACAGCGACAATATGGACACGAAACGTTCCCTTACGATATGATATAGTGACAAGCGGCTCGGTGGACGGAAGAGAAGCAGGGAATCGCAGAGGGGTTTGACTGCTCGACGACATACTTGACCTGGTGGACAGGGATCTAAATAGACAGCCTACGATGGCCTTCGTCGGGGATACGTAGGATCATCACAACAAATGAGACGAGCGTTCCTTTCATCGAGAAGCATGTGAATTAGTGGCGGCAGTTGGCCGGTTGGCCGGTAGTAAATAAGACCTCTTCATGTCAGTCAACCGTTCGCAATTTCGCATCTCCTCGCCTCGATAGTGGGGGATTAACGTCGCCCTCTGTTGAACATTCCAAAAAGACTTACTATGGACAACAATGCCTTTGTTTATTCGTTCACTAAGCGAAGGACAAGGACTTGGCTCAGGCACTTAATAGAAAGTTATCTCGATTGGATAATACAGAAGATGGATGCGAAGATTAGATGAGTGTAAAATTATGGGACCTATGAGAAGATAGGGGCGACTAGCGAGCGAGAACAGTATAACAAGATAAAGGAAAGCCGGACACCGACATAAGAACTCTCCCCAATGGCAACCAGCCAGGAGAACAGACGAGCCGTGCCAGAGATAACCCAGTATTAGCCCGAGGTGCATGGTCATGGACTGAATATGCTATTTCAAGTGCTCCACAACTTTGTCACATGGTCGATCGGAATTTATTTGATGTTTGTAATGTTCTGTACTGCCGCCCCGGGTGACCGAAACCCTAAGTCCTGTCATATCGAGTGGCAGTATCAAGAACTCGAGCACTGGTTATCCGTGTAAACCTCGCAGTCATAGATTCTTCCACGTTCGATCGACACGTTGACATTGACATCTTTCCGTCTGGTTCTGGCACCACACCTGCAATCGATCTATGTTGGGATTGGCCATGCGGCTACCAACATTGGGAGCGTCGAGGCCCATCCGGTGTTTTTGGTCGCCTTTCGGCTGTCCAAAAATTATCGACTCCAAGGAAGGCATTCCTTAGGGGCACGTGCCTACAGCGTGTGTCGAGTGTTATTACCGTTGAAGTGGCCTCGTACTCACCTCCATTGCGGTCCCCACTGACACCACTTCGCATCCCTCGGCTATCCGATGGCAATTTTTCAAAACCTGGTGTCCAATTTCAAGAATGCTTTTATTACAGCGAAAGTTGCGGAAAATGATTTCGTAATATTGTGAGTGGTGAGACATCTCTTCATCTTCCTTCAGGGCAAGGGCTGAACGTCGCCTGCAGCGTGGTAGGACCAACAGGATCAGGCAAGAGCTGGGTAACACTGCGACTTTCCTATACGCGATCTTTTTCCCTGACCAGTGGTTAGTTCACCAAGGAATTGTGTAAGAATGATGAAATCCAAGTTGGGGAGAGGGGTCAACATCCCCGCACCAAGTATGTGCAGGCGTTGAGGTGCAACTTCAAGAACGATTTAAACAACATCATAGTTGTTGACACGCCATCGTTCCATACCGAGCTCGAGGGTTTCGATGCTGAAAAGGTCACAACTGATTGGATAAAGTCAAGGTAATCTCAGCGAGTGCATCTTGAACCCTCATTCAAATACCGCTACAGATTTACCAAAGAATGTCGTGGTTCTGGCATTCTCTTTCTCCACCCACTTGCCAGGGATCCAACACACCACGACATGTTGATGGTGCGACATCTGGAGACGTTCTCGGCGACCTTCCCCAATGGGTTCGCAGAACCATCGTGCGTTTATGTGGTGCCGACCAAAGAACCAGCCTCTATCCTTAAAGATGAGAAGGTGAACCAGCAGCTGGAGAAGCTGAAAAGCACAGTGGTGGCTTTGGAGAACAATAGTAACGGGAAATGGCGTGTGTCGATGTTCGATAAAGTGTTCAAAGGCCGACCGGAGACGGCGTGGGAGGTAGTACAGTTGCTTCTGAGAGAAATCGAGCTTACATCTGTTCGGAGATAGGGGCTGCTTAGTCGACCTTAGGTAGTGTTTTTGCTGTCACTTTATATGGTTACCCGCCTACGCCAACGTAATGGGAGCTCAGGTTTCTCAGCCTCAAGCTGGCTCCAGCAAGGGCAAGACTTGAAGGTACAGCACTGTAATTGAAGACGGGTGAATGGAAAAAAAAGAACTCCCCGACCGAAGGGTCACGTGACATCCTTGTAGGGGACACGTTGGCCGTAAAAGTTGCCTACACACTGCTACGGTTTAACTTTTGGCTACGACATGCGTCTATCGACTCTTCTCGCCCGCAGTTTCTGTTTGGCTGCTACGTTGGTGTCCTTCATTGCAGTAGGTGAGCACTTTTTGCGGGAAACCTTCCGACTTCCTCCGGAGTTGACGAATCATGTGCTAGCAAATGCCGACTCGGAGGAGCCTGAAGTTTCGGTTGTTGCAACTTTTCCGGAAAGCAACCCTTTTAGCCGTATGTTTCGCATTGCTTGGCGAGGGGGTGTAGTATAACTGGAGTGTTACAGAGGTCGTGAATGGTGAACGCAATCAAATCTTCCTTGCCATCGAGAACAAGAGCGATCGGAATGTAACCTTGCAATCCATCGGTGGTTCCTTCCATCACCCAGAAACCGGTACGCTTGTGAAGAATGTGCGTCAGTTTTAATGCAGCTCCCTTCCTGTTTGACTAGTAATTCATAGACGACCTCCCTCGCATATGGTGTTCCTTTATTTGAAGGCGCAAAACTACAAATCCCCTACGCGTTCCACTCAGAGTACGTATCTTAGTACTGTACGCTCATGTCCGACTGATTGCGGCTTAGGTTCAAGGTCTGCCGAGTTTGGTATCTTTTGCAACGTATCAACCTGATTCGATGCTCAGACAGGGGACTTGAGACTCACTATCTGGTTGGACCATATAACTGAGGTTCGTAATTTGGTTTTGGTTACTTGTTTCATGGTCCATTGTTGTCATCATCTAGGGCGAAAAGTATCGTGTTATTGCTTATGATTCCATTGTCACCATTGTCGAACCCGAAGTATCATGGTTTGACTTCAAGCTGTCAGTTCTTCCCCACTCTTGCTTGCGGTTTGATGTTCAATCAACTATAGCATTTCTACATACCTTATTGTCGCGGCTATGCTCGGCGGGGGTTCATACTATGCCTACCTCACATACGTTCCTGTACCCAAGGTCAAGAATCCCAAACGCCGACAAGAGGGAACTACACCCGCTGCTACATCGACCGGCACTAGCACAGGTGGATACGACGAGGATTGGATACCCGTACATCACCTCAAGAAGCCCAAAGCTAAGAAAGTTGCTGTTGGTAGTGGTGAGGAACCCAGTGCAGGGGAAACCAGTGGCACTGAGGGCAGGAAGAGGAAGACAAGAAAATAAACCATTAGCCTAGAGCCAGACTAGAACCACTTGTCACATGTAGCTACCATCGTCTCATAAACTAATAGGGTGTTTTGACATTAGTGGAGATGGTGAACAAGCAATTTAAACACGCTCGCTGTACCCGTCAGATCGGAGGACGTGGAGCTGTGAGCTGAAATGACCTAGTAGAGATGGTTGACAAGTGGTGAAGTGAATCGTCTAGCTTTTCGTTGCAATATCGCTGCCATGGATACCCTCACACCTCGATCTTCTTATACCCCTTGACCTAACCCACTCACCGTTTAGAGAGAAGAACAGCGAAGGGTGGAGAAAGTACGCACTCTGTTTTCCTGAAGCATTTGGATATACTTGTCTGCTAGCCACCTGCAATTCTCGAGGTGGTTAACGCCCTCGTATCGGTGACACTTGGCGAGTTCATCCCGGACAAGGCGAGTTTCCATAGCTTTCACCCAGGACTCTCTGAGGTGGTGCTCGCGCTCTTGTATCTTGGCTACGGGTAGAGTCGGAATTAGCCAGTTGGAAACAGAGGGTAGTGGGGACTCGAATATTGGGTTTCTTATAGTAGACAACCTGAGAACAGATACATACCTTTGAGGAGCTCTACCGTGTCTGTCATGGTCATTGTTGACGTTGTAGAAGTAAAGCGTATTTGTGCTTCGTTTCAAATGCTGTCAGCTCAACTTGTCAACGACTTTAACTTGACTTCTGTTCGCGTCGCGAACTTCGGACTTGGACTAGAGTCACTGGTGTAATAGATTTCTGAGCGACCTCGAACGTTACTCTACACCCAGCTCGGGGTACAATGACTCTGCTTTTGGGACCACCCCACCTCTCAGTTAACCATACGTCTTGAATGGAGCTCCTTCGCCCTTTTCTCCTCCTTCATTTGTCGATAGATGTACACGATAGTGCAGATGATGATGGCTAACACCAAGGTTGATGCCAAACTCATGACAGAGTCGACGAGTTTCTGAAGTTCGGGCTTCAATTGCTCGACGATCCTGTCTTCGTCCACGCCGAGAAATGACATTTTCGAGCACACAGATTCTGGAGGCACGAAAGTTGGGTGCTGGATGAGCTCGGTCACCTCAGTAATACCCAAGAGTCGTACCAAATAGGCCTCTTCCTTGTTCGCCTTTAACAAGGTTAGGAAACTATTGGTTTGGAGTTCAGGACGCCGTGCTAATTTGGGGGGCCTGCCACAGAAGCACTGCCTTGTGCCCACCTGTCTGGCGTCCGTTGCCTCGTTGGAGAGCCAAACCATCCAGTCCAATGAGGCAGGATCTTTGACAGCAACTGGACGGCGTATGCACCCTCACAACAAGGTGATCCTCGTTACCTTTGGAACTCCCATCATTGCCATAGCATTTGCGGGAAGTCGTACGATCCCAGCAACTCGGCTACCCTTTTTCTCTATTCCACAGGCTCGAGCATATTAGCATGGATACGATGACGGTCTATATGATACATCAATAAGTACTGCCATCGATTGGTCGATATGATCTTCCAAAGCAGTTGTGCGGGCTTCCGAAGGGTGATCATCGGCGCGGTCTTCGTTGACCAAACTTCCAGCGGGATCCGATGGCAACACGTACCATCTTCGTTTCCTTCCCCAAAAAGTCACCCGCTGTGGGACCCCCTTACCCCTTGATGAGCACCTCTCACGCCATATCACCAGCGCACGTGTGTATCACACCAAAATAAACTGCATAGACTGTGCCGGTCCCCGAAGGAATAGAATCATCATCTGGATTTTTGGGGCTCAGCTGACTGATAATCTAGAGCGAACTCGGTCCAATCAAATCAGGACTCCAGATAAGACCCAATCGTGGAACAATCTAAACAAAAATGAGACAGGGCATCATGTCAAGTGCGGACTAGTTTCGACAGCGGTTGGCAACTGCCAGGGGTCTCGATATGATTGTTACGTTCGGGATTCGGATGGTTTACCCCCCTTCGAGGTATATAAACCTTTGAAAGGTCTCTCTTGACGGTCATAACTCACGCCTCCTCATATTCAGCTGAACAATCATGGGTTTATTCGACGCCTTCTCTTCGGACTCCTCCAACGAATATAACGGTCTTGAAGTAAGGACGTCGTCATCCCCATTCCACTTCCAAACGGCTAACGGTGTGGTTGAAGAGTCATCATGAGGCCAGTGTTTCCCACGAACTCATCGCCGGCGCAGCCGCGTACGAGGTGGGCGTTTACACCTTGGGTGTTTCACGATGGGGAATAACGAGTAAACTCTGCAGGCCGCCAAAGCATATGAGAACCACGTGGCTGAGAATGGACGGCCCGACAACCACGCGAAGGCTAAAGAAATCTTGTACGACGAGGAATATTCTCCACCCCACCTAAAGTACTGACAATGGTAACTTTCCAGGGCCGGTTTCGCTGGCGCTTTCATTGACCGTGAGGTCGAAACCAAGGGCTTGGACTTCGTCGATAGGCAGAGGGCCAAACACCATGGTAACTGATATCTATTTCATCGGTATTCCTTGGTTACTGACTACAAGGTTTATAGCCAGGGAACAGATTAACGAGAAATTCACCGAGGACGTTTACCAGAATTATTAAGTGTAAATCTATGTCTATTTGATATGTCAACCTTTGCACTCGTGGAGCTTGATAGTCTCGATTCCCGATTGGCCTCATCATTAGGAAGATTGTAATATTATATCTGTATGCCATTGAACGAGTGAACCGAGTATCATCGCACAAAGTGGGGCTGAATATTCGGAATTCCGACATCGAGTGTGGCTCAGGCGCGTTTGCAGTCGTCACGGTACGACGTGATTCACGTGCAATCAGTTGGCACTGGGACGGTTCACCGTTACGCCTTGTTCTTGGAGTTTGGTTCAGTTACTACATATGTGTTCTCGCTGAGAATGCATCCGAACTGACTTCATCCCCAGCAATCAATCTATTTCTAGGTCAGTAATAGATTCGGGATGGGGACGGGGATCTCCGCCACCTCACTCTCCCTCGGCATGTAGTTCAAGCGTCTGCACACAGCTGATACGATTCGCAGATTGAATCGGGTACTTCGCTTCGACTCAGTAAGCACTGTGCTTGTTGGAGGAAGTTGCCGGGAAGTACTCATCAACGTACTCTAGTCCTGTCTCGGACGTTCTTCAGGTGTATGGACCGATACCGGCTCTGTGCTGCGACCGACCGGACGCAGTGCAATTCGTTGGCACTAAATAGTCCACAATGTATGGCCCCACAGAAGCAGTGCTCTGATGGTAGATTGAGCGGAAGTGAGTGAGTGTGCAAACACCGATTGGTTGCTAGTATCAAGATCAGTAGTTTGCGTGTTTCTAGGGTCGTACGGTCTGGTATGGTCATGGTACAATAAATGGAAAGACAAAAAAAGAAAGGTAAGAAAGAACAGGGGGTATGCACAGGTGTCAACCGATGCCGACGTTCGACGTTGCAACAGCCGGATACGGAATCAGGCCTCAGGCCTCAGGTGACTGGGGAAATAAGTTCACACTCACTCAGACTCACTCTCAAAGGTATTTAAGCTCTTCCCTGGCTCTTGCAGGATCTTGATTATTTACTGCATTTACGCTCAAGCACTCTATCATCATGGGTCTCCTCGATTTCTTCCAGAATGATCACGATGTGAGACGCTTTCTACATTAGATCCCCACTTTGTCAACGCTGAATGTGGCGGGTCCAGGACGTGCACAACAACGGTAACTTAACGCACGACGCACTCGCTGGCGCTGTCGCGTACGAGGTAATACCTGCGTTCTGTGTACAGAAGGGTGGTGACAGTACTGACCGATATTTTTCAGGCTGCCAAAGCCTATGAGAACCACCTAGCAGAGAACGGGAAACCCGACGACCACGCCAGGGCTAAAGAGCTCATGTAGGTTCAAGCACTTGACTGTGCATGCTGCATGGCTGCTGACGTTCCCCTGTATTATTGCAGTGCTGGTTTCGTCGGCGCTGCTGCAACACACCTAGCCGAAACTAAGGGCCGTGATGCATACGATAAGTACAAGGTTGAACACGATGGTGACTGATCCTCACCCTGTTGATATCCGGGTGGCTAACTATGAATCATCGCAGCCAAGAAGCGTCTTCACGAACACGTCGACAAGGAATACCAGTGATTTAGCCAACATCATATTACTTGTGTTGTATATCGAGCTGTACATTAGACTGCCACACCTAACTGTGGAACATTTCAACTAAGACAACCTAAACATTGTTGTGCGACACACTTGCACCACGTTGACGTACTCTGGTTAACCTTCGTTGAAGCAAGTTATCTCGTGAAGCGGGATGCGGGGGGATCTGGCGCGATACCAACTTAGCAGGTGACGAAATGAAAGGCTAACTGCCGTGGACATGAACGTCCACGAGATCACTTGCCCTTAGAAGAACTAGCCTAACAGAATATGATAAGCACAGACATTTTTTCTCACAAACGCCAGCAGATTATCGTGGGAGTATGATCGATAAGATCACTGATCCTAGTGGGCCACCGTGCAGGGGACTGTGGACCGTATGTAGTCAAATCAAGTCCGTCTCGGACAAGTACCCACTGTACGTATATGATCGAGCGATGTTTGCGCCAATTGTGATCTTCTAGCCGGCTGCACACCATTCTACATCTTATCGACGCAATCGCATGTCTATACTTGCACATCCCGTTAAGGAGACCGTAAGTGCTACTCCGCTGATCGGGTGCATCGCCCCGAGCTGGGCATGATGCAATTGAGAAAGATACACTGCGAAGGCTTCCCGAGAGTCCGCACCCAAAATAGAGGTTACGGTTAATGAACAGGCCGGAGTCCGGACGGTCCGGCCGCCTGCTTCCCCAAAGTGCTGTGCAAAAACGTTTCGTTATTATGTAATATAATGGTTACATCGCTTACATAGTTTGCGATAAGATCTGATAAGATTTGAACCTCTACCGAGACAAGCAAGCTAAGCAGAAATCAATGACACCTTTCCAACTCAGTGAGTCAAATATGGTATCAAGAAGACAAAACAGAAGGGGGTGTGCAACAAATAGTTGATGGACAGATGTCAAAGCGACATACCAAGGCATAAGTAATAGTAAGTCAGATGCGCGGTAAAGGGGGCCCGCAGTAAAAGGGAGGATCATGTGATAAGTACCGCCCCAGCTTCCCTCCGTGCATATAAATCCCTCTCCCCCTGCCATCCGTGGGTTATACATATATCACATCCTCATTCATCCTAACGAAGTATCAAGCAAATATGGGTCATCATCACGAACACGAGCGCCAATACGACGAATACCAGGTGAGCCTCGCTCTGCCCCCTGATAGTATCTGTATGGTGCTCAAGTCGTGCATCCAGACCTACAGCGCAGAACCTCGAAAGCACGAGGCTAAACTCTCACATGAGCTTATCGCAGGGGCTGCAGCATTCGAGGTACGATTTTACTATGATCGATCTAGTACGATAAACTGGTAACCCGCCGCTTCCTCCTCTATGCGTATGCAGGCCGCTAAAGCGTACGAGGACCACAAGGCAAGGAACGGTGAACCCGACAACCACGCGACAGCCAAGGAGCTCTTGTACGTTTGGGCCGGGTATCATGTAACCTGTTCTTTTGTGCTTACAGCAACATTAGGGCCGGTTTCGCTGGCGCGTTCATCGACCGTGAGGTCGAAACCAAAGGCTTGGACTTCCTCGACAGGCAGAAAGCTAAGAATCACGGTAAGCACTCTCTGAGCTGTACTAGCTTGAATTTTTATTTTTATTTTTAACATCGTTAACAGCTGCACAACAAGTTCACTCGCGTTATGGCTACTGATGGAATTATATCCTGTAATCCAAGTGTGAGATTATATGACCAGATTGTACAAGACTTGAACCGGTCCAATAAATAATATTCATTTGAGCTAGTGCGGTTTCGGGTCGCTTCAAGTGCCGCGGTCAGTACGGTGGTGAAAAGAAGGTTAGCAGTAGATAGTCTGAACGTTGGGATACCTATCCAAGGCCGTTCACTCTCGTTGGCCTTGACATACCCACGTGACATACCCGTTGACGCTGGTCCCAAGGCAATCTGTTCAGCACACATACCTCTTCACAGATGAATAATGTCCTTAACGTCAGCAGCTAGTTGCCGCTGAGTTTACATGTCTTCTAGGGGACATGTGTCGAAACTGCATGAAACAGGGACAGTTCCAGGTAAGTAGGCGGCTTCCATTGGATACATAGTTCCAGATCCAGCTTTTGTGGGTGACAAGTCGCGGGAGTCCCCGTTCGTACCTGTATTAGCCTTGTGACGGCCGCCAGAACCATTTAGGGTAATGTTGTTCAATTTTAAGCCCCACCGGAGTGGTTTGACCCTTCAAAGAGACCCGTCGGCTTTGCGATGCGTTTGGGTAGCGTTCTTTATCTGGGAATAGTCACACAACCACTCCAACTTGAACCGGAGGTACACGTTTCATACATACCTGTTTTACTTCCGGTGCCACACGGGGTACATTAGTGTTCGTTCCGCGCGTCACGGGGGGAGGCGATGGCACACCACTCGTTACTTGTGTGAAATGTATCTTCCCAGGCAAGGCAGTTTCCACGCTGTGGCGACCAGTTATCCCAGTTACCATTATTCTTGCCATGTCCGACCGCCTACGCAGAAAATAGGAGTGGCATATCACAGTGGTAGGAAACAGGCCAAGATGGTCTTGTGTGCAACGTGCACAGGGAATATGTATGTTACTGCTTGAAGAACAATGAGATGAGTAAAAAATTACTGCACTCGCTGGGTAGTGTGGACTGTTGTGGGCAACAAAGGAAGCTAGAATCAGACATAGCGCTGCAACGACGATGCGGATGATTTGGAGTTGTTACAAGGCCCTAGACCGAATATAATAGCACTTCCGACGACATGTAGAAAACGATGGGAGTGAGGGGGGCAACCCGGAGATTAACAAGTAGTGAACAGAATGAGTGTGAGGGCGGGTTGGAGGATGAGAGGAACTGTTCAAAGCGTGATCTACAAACAAGAAATGATAGATAACCTGTGTGATGTGGGCTACAGCTCTTCTGGAATCTGAAGGGAAAAGTATGGGTGGTGGAGAGCATCACGGACTGTTATCCGTTGTGCAGGGTCGAAGGCAAGTAATCGCCGTACAAGGTCCAAGAACTGCCGATTCATATGATCGGTAGGTGGTATAACATCCTGTCTATGCATGAGATCCAGCGTCATCGAGACATCGTAGACATCACCTGGAGGGGTCGTGTGGCACGGACGTCCTTCTTACTTTGTCGTGAAGCCTTGGGCTTGGGCCAGTCTAGTCGTGCGCCCTCCTTAAAGAATTCTGGCTTTGAGCGCGCACCCGCACGAGCGAAGCGCTCAGGCATCTTCCCCATGACCATCTCCATCATGGCCAGATGCTCGAGATTATCATGTGTCTGGTAGAGGGCGACACCAGTGTAGAACTCCACAAGGATGCAACCCAAAGAGTATGCGTCACATGGGTATGACCAGCCCAAGCCTGTGCGCAGGTTTAACAACGCCGCACAAGGACCTATGAAAGAACGCTCATACCAAGAATGATTTCGGGTGCTCGGTAATGCCGCGTTGACACAACTGTGGAGTGGTACTCTTCTTCGAATGTTGCGGAACCGAAATCAATGAGGCGTATGTCAGTAGACTGAAGTATCCGTTTGGTCCGTGGAGGGGCATTGCGCTACGGGCGCGGTTAGTACGTCAGCATACGCATAAGCGATATGATGCGAACCTTGCCAGGCACAGGGACGACTGCGAGTCTATACTCATTATTGACAAGTAAGATGTTCTCAGGTTTCAGGTCGGTATGAATTAGGTGGAGGTCGTGAAGAACTGCACCGAACGACATCAGAAATAGAGACAACGGGAGGTGAGAATGACCCACAAGCCACGCTGCCGAGTAATTGCCGAGCGAAGGATTGTATGTGATGTCGCGGGAAGGGGGCGAATTCGTTCTCTTTCAGAAAGTCATACACGCACATGCCTAAAAGCTCCGATACTAGGCAAATGTGGTTCCGGTGGTCAAACCAATGCAGTAGATGAATGCATTTGCTGACAAAGCGCCGTGAGGAAAGGGCCCATGTAAGCGCTCTGGGAAAAGACGTACTGAACATTTGTGGGATCCTTCTCCTTGAGTTTCTGGAGGACACGGATTTCGATCTTGCTAGCGTCACGATACTTGGGGATAGCACGGATGATTTTAATAGCAACTCTGTTATGGGTCTGGATGTCGACGGCTTCTACAACTTTGCCGAAGGTCCCTTGACCCAAGAGGCGAACGGTGCGATCTGTGGAGCGGGTCAACGGATGAGGATGAAGAGGGGAGAAAGCGAGCCTACATCGGTTATGGATTATGTCATCTGCGACGATGATGTAGTGACCCTCCTTATCGTCACATGGAACAACGCCGTTGGTTGTCTGATGATGGTGCAGATAGACACGAGGATAAGCATCCTAAGAGAAGTTGATGGCTAAGAAATGAGATTACGTACGTCCAGAGCGGCAGGACCGCTGCCGCTTGCCCATGACTTAGTGGAGGGTAGGGCGGCCTGTTGTTGCAGGCCGGGGGCAGGTCTCTTTGTCAGAGTCCCACGAGGATCATCTGCCAGGTCTCGCTTCCTCTTTTTTGGCGCTGGGGCCACTGGGGCGGCAGAAGATGTGCTCGCGGACAGGGCCATTGCCTCTGCGGCGGCGCGGGCTCTAGTTCTGATTGGAGCGGAGTACAAGGGGGGTTGGTAAGAAGCGGAATAAGCGTTGGTGTGGGTTGTTGCGGGAGATATGGTTGATGGGGGTGGAGTATCGTCAATGACGATTACTTCGCGGAGTCGACCTTCGTTGTCTACTTCTTGTACTTCGCTGTAGCTGACTGTATACTGGTGGACTCGCTTTCTCTTGCGAGAGATGACTGGGGGTGTGGGCATGATGGTTGAGTTGGTTGTGAGAGGAGAACTAAGCGATGGGAGATGATATTGGGTGAGGATTGGGGGAGGCAAGTGGGGATGCTGAACGACGACGGCAGCCTGCATCGCTGGTGGTGGTGGTGGGACGAAGGAAAGCAAACGAGATTGAAAGCCAGCACCGTGGCCCTGCTAAAGTAGTCTCAACGGGCCCGCTCAGTTCTGTCAGTCAGATGGCAACACGGGTGAAGTGCTGGTTTGTTGGCTGTTGTTTGGATCCAACACCCTCCCAGCCCTGCCAGCTGTCTCAACGCATTTTCTAATAAGAATTGGGTGCCCTCTTCCCTGCCAGTCCAGCACGGGTCAGCTGGTCCTGCGTCGAGTCCGCGCCATCACAGCGTGACATCCCAATCCGGCGAACAGTGGTCACAGCCTTACATTCCCAACTCTCTGTCATGTGTACAACTCACGACCGTACATGCATACCACCGTGCTCTACTAGGGCACTAGTAAGACATCAGAGACTCAGAGTGGAGTCGCCTAAGTTTGTGGCAGAAAAAACGTTTTTTAGTCCGGAATTGTGACCTGGCACTTTTCCTGTGGGCACGTCACGCTCGGCCGTGACGGAAACAAGCTGAGGCAGTCGCTCGGTGGGGACGTCGACTGCGCCCAGCTCCAAGTCTCAGCTCACAACGGTCAGCGCTTCTCGACGGGGTCCACATTCAAAGCTTCGCAACATGCGAGGTCTGCCATTCCCCACAAATGCTCTCTTCGACCGTGAGACAACCAGCGAAGTAGGAACCCCCGCTAGCCACGTCGACGACATTCCTATCGATCCTGCGCTCGCCGGCACGGCCCTCACCGACACAGCCTTCGAGCGGCACTCAAACGCGCCTCTGTGTGATCCTGCACAGGTAAGATTTGACTCGCACTGTTGCCTTGAAACACGGACGGCGCCGCCGAACGCGTCGCGTTATGGTGCTTAACCAGGCGTTTGAACCGGGCAAAGCGTGCTAATCGTTGCGCTGATCAGCTCCGGTCCGTCATCCCTCACCACGATCCCCGCCCCGTGTGTCGGAGGCACTACTCCCAAGAACCCTCTCAATACGACCAGGGGCCCAGGGGTGATCCATTCGCACCCCAACCATCAGCTACTTATGTCCCGATCCAGGAAGTAATTGCCCAGGCTCCAAAACCACAGAAGAGAAGAAGGAAGCCCAGGAGAGAAGAAGAGTGTGGATTTTGTCAGGGAAACGATTCCAAGAACAAACTAGGAGAACCGGAGTTGATGGTTTCCTGTGACGAGTGTGGGCGAAGCGGTGTGTTTTGTATTGCTTCCCACCCCGATGGCAATGCTAAGCAGATCTCGTCTGTAGGCCACCCCAGCTGCATGGAACTCGCTCGTGTTGCCGACGTGATGAGATCCTACCCTTGGAGATGTATCGAGTGCAAGATATGTGAAGTGTGCCATGAGAAGGGCGACGATGCGAGTGTTTCTCCTTTTGTTCTGTCGTGTTTGCTCATTCTCCGACAGGAGAGAATTCTCTTCTGCGACTTCTGTGATCGAGGTATGACTAACTGTTTGACTACATAGCTTCAATTCTTCGCTGACCATCACACAGGGTGGCACATGGACTGTCTCGACACTCCACTGGACAAAGCACCTCCTGGACAATGGCACTGTCCCGAATGTCCTCCTATCGAGTTTCTCCAACCTCCTGATGCTTCCCTTACCCAATCAGACACGGTTCCCACCGAACCACCTCAATATTTTCATGCCTCCAATCCAAACGACCCCATCTGCGATCTCGAACCCGAGCCTGAAGTCGATGTGGAAGCCGGAGCGGAAGACAGCGCCGAAGCGACCGAGGAAGATGAATCCGAATCCTGAGTCCGAATCTTCCAGTTCCGATTCAGGCTCAGACGAGTCTACCGTGGGCGCTCCGACACCGCGCCGTCCATCGGCTGTCAAGAAGAAGCGTCCGAAGCGCAAGTCAGAGCCAGCGCGTCCGCCAAAACGCATGCGTCTCACCGTGCGCCCTTCTGCACCTCCGCTCGTCGTGCGGCTTCGCATTCCCCCGAAGGGGAAGGGAAAGGATCGCGAAGAAGATCCAGAAAAGAATATATTTGAAGATCTGCTGGTGCCAGCTGAGAGGGACGTTTCGAAGACTGCCATCGAGAGCACGGACAGGACTCGATTTGATAGGAGTAGACTGGCCGCAGACGTGCGTGTTTCGTGGCTCTGAAGATTATTCTACGTGGTAGTTGATGGTTTTCGCTGTATAGGAGAAGCTGGCACCACCTCCCCCTCCAACTTCGGCCACCGACGTGACGGATTCGCCGGTTGCCGGCCCGTCCTCCCGGCCCCTCCGCTCACACACTTTACACCAAATATCCATTCCATCTACTATACCAACGCCCTCGCCCGTCCCCTCCACTCCTAGTCTTCATCCGAATACGCCGGGTTACAATTTCCAAAGTCCGAACACCCCCGCTGGTCACGAGCAAACACCTGTCTTACGTATACGAATCATTCGCTTTGGGCGATATGACATTCATCCCTGGTACGATGCACCGTTTCCCGAGGAGTACGCAAATATTCCAGATGGGCGTCTCTGGATATGCGAGTTTTGCTTGAAGTATATGAGGAGTGGCTTCGCTTTTGGTCGTCATAAGGTGAGGGATCCAGAACTCGCGCAGTGAGGACTAACTCAACTGTCTGCTTTCATAGATGAAGTGCAAAGCTCGACATCCGCCAGGCGACGAGATATACCGCGATGGCCAGGTTTCCATCTTTGAGGTAGATGGACGGAAGAACAAGATATACTGTCAAAATCTCTGTCTTCTGTCAAAAATGTTCCTCGACCACAAATCCCTTTTCTACGATGTTGAACCTTTCCTCTTCTATGTTATGACGGAATTTGATGATATCGGGGCTCGGTTTGTGGGATATTTTAGTAAGGAGAAATGTTCGCCCAAGGACTACAACGTGAGCTGCATCATGACATTGCCCGTGAGGCAGCGCCAAGGATGGGGAGGCTTTCTCATCGACTTCAGTACGTCAACACACGTTCCGCGACATGTTCAATTCATTTAACACCATTGCTTAGGTTACCTGTTGTCGAAAAAGGAACGACGTACCGGTTCCCCAGAAAAGCCTTTATCCGCGCTTGGAGCGCTTGGTTACAAGAACTACTGGACTCTCGCAATAATGCGGTACTTGAAGACGGCTCCTCCCCGGCCCAGTCTTGAAGGTTAGCCGTTTTCTCCGTTGTCCATGGGTTAATTCTCCCTCATACCAGGCATCATTCACTGCTGTCGTCAACAGATATAAGCCGGGCGACCTCCATGACGCTCGAAGACATCTATAACACCCTCGTGCAGCAGGATATGATCACTCAGGCTGCCACTCCTCCGCCAGTTCGTCCTTCGCCAGGGCAGTCGATAAAGTTTCCTCGGGGTCGCAAGAACGGGATTGCTCGACGGCACCTGCAGCGGACGAACACGCAGAAGGAGGAAGAGGGAAGTAAGCAAGGGTCGCCGTTGGTTCTTCCCACGCGTTACGAGATATCGTGGGACCCGGACGTGGTCGATCGATGGCTGGAGAGCTGGGAACAGAAGGGGTATCTGAAGGTCAAACTCGAAAAGCTGAAGTGGACACCGTTCTTCCTAACGAGAACGAAGGCTACTGGGGAGATCTTGCAAAGCGAGATGGGGATCGGCATCGAGGCTCTGAGTGGCGGCGGCGCACCGAAAACGCCAGTTCTGCCATCGGAGAATGGTACCCCTGCAGCAGCAGTAGATGAGAGTAATAACAGGGAGAAGTTGCCCGCTCCAGACCCTGTAGAAGTGGCCGAAGAGAACAGAGCCGCTATTGGTGACGCACTCACTGACGTATCGGAAGCATCCGCGGCACGCCTCTTCGACGACCTGTTGATTGATTCTGTTGCTACGCCGAAGAAGCAGCTGCGGAACAGGGTTAAGGATGATAATAGTACCGCTCGTCTGCCCGACTTGCGCACGCGGTCGAGTATAAAGAGACACGAGGACCACCATCTACCGTCTTTGCGGCATACGCGGTCGAGCCGTCGACTAATAGTTGACGAAGATGATGATGATGGAGACGTACCAAATATCGTTAATGGCAGCCTTGCGGACGACCTCGCCGCTGTTCCTGCCAAGCGACGCGGTGGTCGGTTATCAAGGAAACCCTCCTCATCACCACCTGAACCATGCAACAGAGTAATTGCGGCAACGCCGCAGTCACGGTCGCCGCCACCATCAGCGACATCATGCAAACGCAGGAGGATCGACACGCCTTCTCGTAATGGTTCACTATCACCATCCGAACCTGCATCGGACGAGCGGCGGGCTGACCCATTCATTCATCCCATGAAACCTGTTATTAATCTCACCAATGGCCAATCAAATCAGTCAAATGGAGTTTCCTGGCCCCCGAGTTCTCCTGGACAGCGGTCAGCTACTGATGCTGAGAAGGGTCAAGAGGAGCCTGAGCGTGATTGTTCTCACGCCGACGGCGCGAACGGGTTCTGCGACGACCAGGATGTAAAGACCGAGGACGTCGGCACTCCTCTGACTGGATTGACTTGCCAACAGAGCGCTTCGAGCGACTACACCGTCGTTGTCACCAACCAGGTGAATGGTGGAGGATTGGTTGATAAATCCCCCAATGACATACGGCAATCTACAATGCTTCCGGAGCCATTTCATTCTGTACTCATTGATGGACCCGTTAATTTCGGCGAGGTCCATGATTCCGACCTGGACGCTGAGGGAGACACAGATGACGAGATGTGAATGGGGAGGGGGAGAGGACGTTCCAACGGCATTGTGTACTCATATAGCTCTCTGTAATTATTGTCACATCCATTATTAGGTTACCAGGGTTTTTTTTCTTTCTCTTACTGTAGTCTACATTCTTACGAGATTTCGAATCAAAGGCTGCAGATCGAGGAGCGAACTGGAACGAACGGGCGAGCTGTGTGTTTGTCGGTGTTTGTCCTCAGCTGCCGCGCTGCCACCTGGTGTGTGTGTCTTACGAGCGAGCCACATCGAACGCGAGCGGTTCACGGCTGGTTCACTGCAGTTCGCTGAAGAGAACACAATCCCCGCCCTGGATGGATAATTCGCAAGCACACGGGTAAGCACCTTTCGAAACGTTCGTCATCTCTAGGCCAGTATGAGGGGCGGCGTTCGAGTCGGTGCCACATCTTACGCCCTCTTGCCTGCTGTGTAGTGATCCCAGCATGGCTTTCAGTCACCTTCCACGAGATCCGACGCTTCAAGGCACCATCGGTAATGTGAGCACAGTACCCGGGATTGCACACTAATACCAACTCTCATCGCATCATCCATCATCTCTTCCCTTCACTACAGAGTTTGAACCAGGCACTCGGATCACACCTTACGCCAGGACTGAGCTCGGCACGACCCACATTAATCCACGAAAGTTCGTATAGGCTGACAGACTCACCGCCGACACTCATCGATGCGAACGGGAACGCACGACCCAATCCAGCTGTGACGACGAACTCCCCACACCAAGCCATCCACGATTTTGCAGTTGCGTTAGCCAATAATAATAATAATGCTAGCAATGACGGTAGTTCAACTTCCGCCGCCATCAACGGAGTAAAGCGAAAACACGTTCATGATGGTCCAAACACCCTATCATCATCAAATACCCAAATTGGGAAACGGCGGAGGGATGTCATCGAAGATTTGGGGGGAGATTTCGCCGAAAACGATCCAAACCATGGTTCGAAACATTGGACTGAGGAAGAAAAGACTGAGCTGTTCAAGTGGCTCATGGGGGATGGAGAAGACGAACATTGGAATACCCTTCGCACTGCTAAAAATTCATGCTTTCGCAAGGTAGGCTTCTTCTCTTCAAGTTTTTTCCGCTTCTCGGGGGGTGGAGCAACGTCTTGACATAAGTGACAGTGCGCTGCTGAGGTTTTCGGCGGAAAGAAGACGTATCAAGCACTTAAAGGCTGCTACGAGCGTAATTTTAATTTGTTCAAGTCCATCCATGCTTTTGAAACGTTTCATGGGAGGGCGGGTAACCCTCCGGTGAATGGAGTAAACGAGAGTGACAGGCTGCGGGAGTACGAACGTCGTATACAACTCGCCCGGAAAGGGGGTTGTGACATCGGCAACATCAATGCTCGAACTATCGATCATTGGCATCGAACGGGCTGGTATGACCTGTTCTGCAAGAGGTGAGATTCTTTGGAGTGGTTCCGCGGATGCTGACTGACCTCGTTTAGATGGAATGACGATCCGGCCACCACGCGCCCGTCGGGGAGTCGGCAGAGCGGATCAGGCATTGGGTTACCCATGGGTACCGATGATCTGGATGACGATGACCGCATGTCGGATATGGTGGATGCAACACCGAACCCACCAAGTATACCGGTACAGCCTCTTGCACGTACTTTCACCCATCCTCAATCAATTGGTCCACTCGCATCAGCCATCCCCGACATTATCGTCCCTGAAACACGGCCATCCAGCACGTGTAGTCGAACACTTGCCTCGAATGTAACAGCTATGCAATCACAGGCAGCGGATCCGTCACCTGTTCCTGCTGTTACCGTGCCTCAATCCATGCTAGCTGCTTGTTTGCAACTTCTTCAGGCCCAGGCCCAACACAGCAAGCTAAAGCTGGAGTATTTGCGACGGCGTGAAGAACGGGAAGAGAAAGAGAGTGCGGCCCGACGAGAGATGGAACGGCTGCGGTCGGAGCGTGAACAAGCGGAATGGGAACATAACAAGGAATCTGTCAAGATGAAGCAGCGAGCACAGCTTGCCACTGAACTCTTGAATAATCCCGTAGTCGATGGTTCAGTGCGTCAGGCAGCGGTGGATTACCTCAAGAAACTGTTTTCGGATTGATGAAATACCATACTGATTCAATAGCTTTTCTTACCCCCTTACGTTCTTGTATGCTATTGTCGGGTCTGCTTTTTGTGTTGTACGTCATGCTATCACTGTTTTCATTGTGTTGTTTAGTGTACTTCTCTTGCTAGTAGTAGTCGACACGAATCATATTTACTACTGCTGTAGGCTATTATGGGCTTCCCGCTGTAGTTGTATCCTCACGTTCGGGAAATGACACATGTCTTGTAATTGAGAAGAATGTTGTACACGATGCGAAGGGTGGGCAGACAAGTTGGGTACGCCCCACAACGAATAAAAATTAGTATAGAGTGTGCATCATCGTTCAAAAGTCGTCAACAAGTCACTCTCATAAGTTCATTTCCATCTCTAGTCTCCTAGCCAGTTCCCTGTCTGCCTCTTCGATTTCCCTTCGCCTTGCCTGCTGTCTTCTCCTCTCCAGCTCCTCTTCGTGTGCTTGTTCCCTCCTAGCAACTGCTTCGTCTGCATCCTCCTGACGTCTCCTCTCCCTCGCTAGCCTCTCTTCCCGCTCAGCCTCTTCCTGCGCCTCTCGGGCCATTGCAAGATCGGCCTCTTCCTGTCTGAGACGTTCAGCTTCCTCAGCCTCAAATTGAGCACGGGCAAAGGCTGCGTCGGCAGCTTCTTGTTCAGCGCGTGCTTGAATCCGAGCCAATTCCTTCTGCCATCGACGCTCGGCCTCGGCTTCCTCTTCAAGACGACGCTTGCGCTCTTCCTCTTTCCTAAGTTCTTCTTGGCGTTTCCGCTCCTTTTCCTGCCTTTTCCTTTCCTCTTCCTCACGTTTCAACCTCTCCTCTTCGAATTTGCGCTTGTGTTCAGCCAGTTGTCTTCGCTCCTCTTCCTCGCGCTTCAACCTCTCCTGTTCAAGCTTTTGTTTGCGTTCGGCCTCCTGCCTCCGCTTCTCTTCCTCTACTTGTTGTTGACGTTCTTCTTCCAGGCGCCTCCGTTCTTCCTCTTCACGTTGTTTCCTCTCCTCCTCTTTACGCAATCGGTTCTCTTCAGCTTCGCGCCGGACACGCTCCTCTTCCTCCGAGTGTCGTCGAGCTTCGGCTTCGGCTTCAGTCTGCAAGAATCTTTCCCTTTCCTCTTCCTGCTTCCTCCGCGCCTCTTCATCCTCGAACCTCCTGCGGGCTTCTTCCTCTATTCGCTTCTCCTCTTCCTCCTCCTGCCGTTTGCGCTCTTCCTCCTCCCGTCGTTTGCGTTCTTCCTCTGCTTTCCTCTCTTCTTCTCGCCGCCGTCGTGCCTCAGCCTCAATCTCCTTCTTTTTCGCCTCTACTCGCCTCTCCCACTCTTCAGCATCGATCTTCGACGCAGTGTCCCGTACGGCTGGCTTCGGTCCTATATCTGACTCTACCTGGGCACGTGCCTCTGCCTCTTCAGTGGTTGCAGGAGGCTCGCCTGGGAGGGGAACAGCTGGTGGGGCAGGCGATGAACTGGAAGTCTCAGCTGTCGTGCTGGGCGGCTGGCACGTTGGAGATGCGACTGCAGGTTTGGGGGACGTGGTGGTAGGTGGGGGAGGAGAAACAAGAGGTTTTCTTGCAGGGAGTGGAGATCCTGTGGGAGACGAGGACACCTCCAAGTTGTGCAAGGGTGGTGGCGGCGGGGGTGGCGGGGGCGATGGCGGGGGCGATGGCGACGCATGAGACGCTGGCTGCTGAGTTTGTTGTTGTGTCGGGACTGAGTGAAGCGGTGGTGGTGGTGGAGGTGGAGGTGGCGGGGGCGGTACTGTGAAGCGTGGTTGCGATTGAGTCTGTTGGGAGGGATAATATAGTTGAGCCACGGGTTGTGGATGAGAGGTAGGTGGTGAAGCGTATGGTGACTGTGCCTGGAAGTGAGATTGTGGAGTTGCCGCTGGAGGCGGAGCGGGTGGCGGATAAGGTGGATGAGGCAGGTGGTAGGGCTGCGGCGTTCCCGGAGTTTGAGGACCATGTAGAGAATATGATGGTATCTGCGCAAATGGTGGACTTTGCGATGCAACGGGCGGAGGTTGAGGTGATGGTGAGTAAGAGTGAGTTTGCAGGCCTGGCAAGTATGGCGTGCCGGTGGTTGGATAGCCTTGCGGCAAAGGCGTCGAAGGAGGTTTCGGAGCTTGGTTCAACAGAGAATACTGTGAAAGCGGTCGAGACTGGGGAATTGACCCTGGAGGCGAATACTGAGTGGGTGATTGGTTGTATGATTGGAAGTGTGCCTGAGTGTTATGCTGATCGTACCCTTGGAATGGTGCTCCCTGCGCGTGAGATGCATCCGGTGATTGTACCGATGGAATGGGAAGAGGGAAAGAAGGAATGTCATCCTCGCCAGATTCTTGGATAAATATCGCTGGAGGTGGTCTTCCGTGATGTTCCGGCGCAGGTGTCTGCAATGTCGGTGCTGGTGAAAAAGGCACAGGAGTCTGTGCGGGTGTTGGCTTGCGATGAGGATGAGTTGTGTCAGTGTCCAGAGATGATACAGTAGTGGTGCCAGAGAGTCGCCGAGAATCCTGTCCAAAAGCTTGTGATGGCCGCCCTCCGCGTCCAGGGCGGAGGATAGTGGGAACATGTCCAGGCTTCTTTCCCATGGGTTTGTTATTGTTCTGGTCTTCTGGAAGGGGAGGCAGCTCGTCACTCTGCTTTGGCTTTGGAACGAGTGGCTGCACGGCATTACCCGATGATTGCTGCGATGATGGATTCATTTGAGGATGCAAGGATGCTGGTAATGAAGGAGGTGGTGGTTGGCTTGATGTCCTTTCCCTTGGTCCAGAGAGGGGCGGTCGGCCGGACAGGGGCACATCGGTCTGCGGAGAGGGCAAGTTGATGGATGAGTTAACATATCGATCTCGTAAGGTGAAGTGGGAGGCTGGTCTCGTTAGCCGGTCAGGTGTAAGCTTAGTTGGACGACGGGTGGGTGGTGGTGGTGAATTTGCGTAGAACGTCATCTCGAGATATAATTCGCCTCTCGCCCCGGCTGACGTTTCTAATTGGACCCAATCTGAGACGATCATGCTCATTAGCAGAGCAAGTGGGATCAACATCAAGTACAATGCGCACCATCAAACTCGCCAGTTTTGAGTGTTTCCTCGATATCCACCGTGCCCTTCCCGAGAAGCACATCCTCCGCCTTGGACTCCTGCTTGTAGCAAGCCACCTCCAACGTTCTGTTTGCTCTATCCTTCCCAGGATCGGCATAGACAGGGAACCGGAATTCATCGTCCCATTCCGGGTGCTGACCGCCTTTCGGAGCGACGTTGGTCTTTTCCGTCCGACCGCAGAGAGTCACCTGGGCATAGGGGTCTTGCTTGAAAAATGAAGGTTGGTGGAGGTGCCGCGCCTTCAGTACCACGACGACGAGGGTGCCGATTTCTTTCGGCTGGGACATGATGGAGGATAGTGTCTTGTCAATTTTCGAGTCCTATGCCTAGTATATTAAGCTGCGGTGAGCTCTCTGTGGGGCTGTACAATCCGAAGGTAGTTGGCTGTGCTCGGCCTGGTGACCTACTACCGGGCCAGGTGGATATCTAGGATTAACGGTGAAAAGACCGTTAACACCTCCATCCCATACGCAGGAGAGTCGTACCAAGTAGTAGCTTTCAGGCCGCGGCAGCGGACAGTTACCGAGCAAGTACTAGCAGACTTGAAGCTTGAAGTGGACGGCCACCCGAATTCCCACTGCTCCGTCAAGCTTTCAATCACTGGCAGACGTCATCCAAACACCGACGAACAACAAATCATTTGTTCATGAAATCACATAACTACCAACTAACCAGTGAGAGTCCGACGAACGACCAGCTAATGCATGACATCTACAACAACGTATGTCCATCTATCCGTCAACGTTCAATTCCGTTTGGTCTATTATATCAATTTAGCAGCTTCGTTGTGGTAGTCATCCTGAGTGCAGTGCGCGCATAGAGGCAATCGTAAAGTCATCAAAAGATATCGAAGATCTCTCGCACATTCCACGGAATATGCCGTTCGGAATGGAGTAAAGGTTCGCAGGTGTATCGAATTCCTGAAGTCTGCGTCAACCCACGATTCTTCAAGGCAAGAAAACAAAATGCTCACAGCAATCGTTCCTGCGTCAAGGACGCAGATTTTATCATAAGATATAATAGTGCGCAGACGGTCTGCAGCTCGTGAGCTCTTGCTCCAGAAGAGTCATGTTGGTACCCACGGGCAATGCAAAGAATTGTGCGGTCTTTGAACTCTGTGGCAATGGTGTCTTGTATCTTACGATCGGTTTCATAGTCCACCGATGCTGCGAGGTAAGGTGAGTCGGTTTCGTCAAATGTAACAAGCATGAGGACACACCAGTGGCTTCGTCTAGAATGAGTATTTTGGTATCATTTACCAAAGCTCGCGCGAGGGATACTAAAGAACGCTGTCCAATAGACAGGTTACTACCATCTTCATCTATAGGGCTATCAAGGGTGAAGCGGGGTCCATGGGCTGACGAATCATTCGACTGCTCTGCTTGAGTTGAGTTAGACTGCAGCTCGCGTGAGGATTCCACAAGGTATGCCCGCTTCAGAGCATCCCAAAGACGTGCATCATCATACAACCCAAAGGGGTCCAGGTTCGTCCGAAGCGTTCCAGAGACTGTGGATCTTCAGACAGCTGCACGGTTTCACAGGAACACAAACTCACAGAGGAAAGCATCCTGAGGTATAATGGAGAGGCTTTTCCTGAGTTGGGACAAGCCAACCGCTGCGATGTTCACACCGTCAATCTCAATAGAACCCGACGAAAGTTCGACAATGCGGAATAAAGCTGTCATTACAGACGACTTTCCCGCTCCAGTTCTGGGTGCACATTAGGTTACTCCCTGCCTATGCGTACAACACCCACCTTCCAACGATACCAATCTTCTCGCGTGGGGCGATGGTCATGTTCAACCCCTTGAGCACAGGTGGCAACTCTGGACGGTACTTCATCACGACGTCGTTCATGGCGATTCTGCCTTCGGAGGGCCAGTTCGCAGGGACAGTAGCATTGTCCAGGTCGTGGGGTGCCTCCTGGTCAACCTCATCTGCATAATGAACAACACGTTCCACACTGTTCATGTTGTTCTCTACATCTGCAAATTGGCGGACAGCCCACCCAAATGACTGTGAAACAAGTTCAAAAAGAGAAGTCGCATTGTAGAAAAGCACCGACCTGTTGCACGCCGAGAACATATGACAGCACGACACCGGTTTGCGCCGGTGAAATGCTGAAACGAGTGCCGACTGCTAGAAGGGCGACAGCAAAAGTGAGGGTTGTGCCGAGAAGATCGAGCCGTATACCGAGCCACCGCTAGTTGATTTCGCATTATCAACTCACATTTTTTCTGTATTCTATAAATGCCCACCTGATTCGTTACCGTTAACCAGTATGCTCTAAGAATACATCAGGAAGTCAAACGTTATATGTAACTTTGGAAATCAACCTGTTTTCAATATCGACCAGTTCATGATTCTCACTCTTGAAACGGTCAATTTCGCCGTAGGCTCGGATTGTCGTCAAACCTGATAATGACTCTGAGAAGTGAGCATAAAGGGAACCCCTCAAAATCGCATCTACGGCGAGATCAGTACAAATTTCTCATAGTTCCTATATCAAACGTACCAATGCGCTAAAACCAAACCAGGCTGATCAGCCACTCAATTTGATAACAATGCTGAACTTCTCACCTTTAGCTCTCTCGCACTTGTTCGGTAGAAAACCGCAACGTGACAGTAGACAATCAAAACAAAGAAAACGACAATCAAGAACCAAGGTAAGAGAACGGAGATCAATATGATGGCCCCAAGAATCTGAGAACCAGTAGCAGAGAGCATGCGTAATGCATCTCCAATGAGGTTATCAATGGAGTCGATATCTGCACGCGACGTGAGTTCTGTCGTCTCACCACACTCCGAGGTGACAATACCTTTAGCAAAACGGTTCATGATACGGCCGAGGGGCTGATGCAGTGCGGTGAATTAAATTCCATAGCAGGTCGGAATGGAACTCACCGTCGTCTCGAAGAAACTCATAGGGGCGTGAAGGACACGGCGAATAGCTCTCTGCGGACGTTCAGTGGCATTCACGGGGGAACACAGTTAGTCGCACCTCATGCAAATTTTGTGACGCGTAGTAGGTAAGCAATGCAAATACAAAGCCCACGAAGAACATGGTAAAGGCCTGCGAAACGCCAAGAGCAGCATAGATGCCCATCTATGACCACCAAGTTATCAGAAGGGTTGCAACCTAGGATGCTTTAAGTTTCTTACATAGAACCCTTGGGGGTAGTTCCACTTCCTGAACAGAAGTCAGTCGACACTACCGTCGTCACATAGTCACCTACATTTCCTCCCAGTAGACGAGCCTACAAATTCGAGAGTCGGAATCAACGGAGACTCCCAATAGGATGTCAGGCTTACCAGTAGGCAGACATGACATTTGCACCCTGCATGAGAACCAAAGATAAGAGCAGAAACGGCACTAATATTAGACCGTGGCCCGCTGAAAGGTATTGCTGATAGATCTGCCAGCGGATAGCACCAGTATTGCGTTCTTCCCCCTGCATCATTCCCTGGCCCTTGACAGCATCTTTCTTCACCGGCTCTTCTGAGGGTGCTTCCTTGGCTTCTTCCGATTTCGCGGAAGGGTCTTCTTTCGATCCAAATTCCTTTATGAATTTGGCGAAAGTACCATCATTAGTCATCAATTCATGGTATGTCCCGCGTTCGGCAATCTGCCCGTCGACAATCGTGTAAATGCAATCCACTTCCGGGAGGAAATGCAATGCATGAGTGACAAGGATGCGGGTTTTTCCACTATTGTTGTTCTTCAGTACGTTGTAAAAAACCTCTTTTCCGACGTGAGCATCCAGAGCAGATAGAGGATCCTAGACCCAGATATGAATAGCAAGTGCAGGATCAGCTTGGAGATGACGCACATCAAAAATCTGGATATCGGTATTACAGTAGATGGCGCGACAAATGTTGATACGTTGCTTCTGTCCACCGGACAAGGATATGCCCTAGACTTATGGTGAGAATCGAGAGATTTCAGTGTTCCAGCATGCGGCTTACTTTCTCACCAACCTCGGTGAGGTCGTAGTTTGGGAGTATCTGAAGATCAGCTTCCAAACAAGCGTCGCGAACAGCCTTCCAATATCTCTGCTCCTCGAAAGGTCGTCCAAAGCAGATGTTGTCACGAATGGTAGCGTTCTTGCAAGAACTAATTAGTGTTGTTACTGAGCAACAAGGAAGCGATAGAAATATACCTGTATCCAGGCGCTCTGGGCACAATAGGAAACGGTACCACCAAACTCGACGGAACCGGCACTTCTCCGCATTTCACCGATGAGACCTTGAAGTAAAGAAGTCTTGCCCATACCAACTGCACCAACGATGGCTACCAGCTGGCCATGGGGGATCTCCAAATTCACATCTTTTATTTCGAATATAGTGGCAGGGTCCACCGGTTTCTGTTGCGTTAGCGAGGAAAGCTTAGAGCTGCCCCCTTTGTCAGGTTCGACCCTCTTATCACTCTTCAGTTTCTTGGGATCCTCCGGTTGAGGAGGTGGACTATCCCAGCTAAAGGATGCACCCTTGACTCTAACGGCAACATCCAAGTCTCGACTGTGAACAAGGGTTTCATCTGACGTCTCGGCGACAAAAACGTCATACAAACGATCACATGCAGTAGCGGCATCTGAAATCGTACTGATAGACATGGCTACACAAAGATCAGTTCGAGCAACGTAAAATTGGTCAAGGCCCACATACGGAACATCATGAGTGGCATTCTAAGCAAATTGAAGAGGGTCAGCGAGGAGAATACTGTCGCTGCGTCGAGAGGGTGGCCGAGCAAAGAATATGTAATGAATGCGATTACGGAAGCTAATGCAGGCAGAGACAGTGCTACTGCATTCATAGCGGCACGCAAGATGAGAAGTGTGCGGATGTAACTGCAATTTGCCGTGAAAGTGAGTCCCACGATCCGAGAAATGTGGTACATACCCCATCTCCAAACGGCGGAACTCAGAGATGCGTTTCAAAAATGGAACCTCCCACGCGAAGAACTTGATAACTTTCATGCCCCCCAACATTTCCTGGAGTGATTTCGACCGCTTGTCCGTCCACAGCATGCTTTTCAGTCTGAACGAGAACAAGCGTTTTACTGTATACGTGTTAATCGGGGTTACGACGATGAAGAGCGCAAAACCGGCCAAAGCACTGGGGCCCAAGTTGATAAGGAGGAGGATCAGACAAACGATGAGCTGTATCGGAGCCGTCCATGCCATGTGGAAATAACCCATGCAATAGTCGATGCGCGAAACGTCTGTCGAAATGTGATTAACCAGCCGCCCGTTGCTTAAGGTAGCCCTAGAACGCGATGTGAGGTTAAGAGATCGAGAGTAGATAGCTGTTATCAAGCCTCCACGCAAAAGAACACCGCTGGCCATGCTCCGGTAGAAGAAGTGATTCATACACCAGGACGAAATCAGTTGCATTGCAAGGAGCACGAAGGAAAGCCCTGCACCGAGCCCAATGGATGGTGGGCGTTGTCCCGCTAAGTGACTAGTATAGGAATTGGTGGCAAAAGTAATGATGCTCTAAAAAGTTTCTTTAGGACAATCGAAAACGTAGATAGTATTGTGTGCCAAACCTTGACAACAAGAGGGCTCGTAACCTGGGCTGTATCAGCGATAACTTTAAGAACGCCGCCAGACCAGAAGAACCATTTGATGCTATCGTTCATAGCAAGTATAAGGCTCGCTTTACGTTTACCGTCTCGCTCTCTCCAAAGCTTTTCTCTCTCACCCCTATTTCCACGGATAGCCCACCAAATAGCCCTCAGACCAGGCTTAACCTCGCCACTTTCCAGTCTGGCATTGTACTCCTGGGCTTCCTTGCGTCGCCTCTGGAAAGACTCAAGTATAAGGGTAGAGATGCGAACTGAAGCACGATGATCCTGTAACTTGTAAAGATCAGGTGCTTCTAAAGGTCTCGCGTAGCCCAAGGACAGCAACGGGGTAACCCAGGTGAATAGCAGCAAACTGAAGAAACCAGCCGAAGCCTCCGGAGTCATGAGAGCATCGTGGACAGACTTTGGAGGAGGGGGTAATTCATCAGCTTTGGGGAACGTGAAGTATCTGTACACGATGGACTCAAGGGGCGTTAAAAGTTCGGTGAATATCCTTACCTTAGGATCCGAAAGCGACGTAATGGTCGTTCGGCCTTTTCAGGGTCTGAGATACCAACCGTTGTTTCCACTTCCTTCGTTTCATTCTTCGAGTGTTGCATCATCGAGTACGGAGGAGTGCCTCCTATGGCGGGGGATCGCAGTTAACCGGAAAACCATGACTTACCCAGATTTTGAGCTTGTGTCTGGCTCAGGGGGGAAGAAGATTACGAATCCTGGATGACAATCACCGCATGGCACAACGGCTTTGAAATAGCATGGACATTTCCGCTCACCTCAGCAAAGTGAGTTACCATGTTTGACAAGCGCTCGCCATGGTGGCATCTATTTACCTACGCTGATCCCGTAGCATAACAGCTATCTCCTAAAGCACGGTATATGTATGCTGCAAGTTGCGGCATTGTCATTAGCCTGAGGAAGAGATCTGAGAGGACTATCTAGAGAAGGAAAATATCTGATTCTGCTTCAAGGAGGCCACCCGGACCCGGTGGGGGTTGCCATACTAGACGTCACTGTTGGTACCTGACATGTCTGCATAATAATGCTTACGGCGCTCCCTTTAGCGGAGCGCTTGATAAGCTCGACATAACAAGGTCAGCAAGTTGCAACAGAGTATATGCTTACTTTCTGAAAGGTTGCATTCGCTCGGGGTGGCGTGCCTGAGAAGGAAGAGGATAAAAATTTTACAAGAACATCGTATAGCTATCTCTTGCTCTTCCATTGATACGATGCTGCACATCTCACAATTCTGAAATAGGGTCTCAGACTGCAGATGGCATTTTTTGTTGTGCGTCTAGTAGTGGGTGTGTTTGCTTACAAATTCTTCACTCGACCAACTTGCCTGAAACGGACGATAAGTATGGAAAGCCAGACACTCGCGCCACATAATTTTTGAACTCAGCGCCGTACGCCCAAGCACTTACCACTTTAGGAAAATAATCTTCCAGCGAGACCTTAAACACCATCAAACATTAAGTGGCGCAAGTGTCTGGCTTTCCATAGATAAGCAACAGACTAACCTTTCGTGCTGTCGTTCCAAGTTGCCAGTAGACATGAGCACTCCATTCATCGTTCAAGCAGCAAAGAGGCACACGGCCACTGTTATCTTCGTGCATGTATGTATTATATATGCACTTATGCCGTAGCCCACCCCGCATACAGGTGATCTAACCCACGATTCCCTCGCAATAGGGTCTTGGCGATTCAGGGTACGGATTGTCGCATGTCGCACAGATGTTGCGGAAAGATCCTCAGTTACAGCATGTCAAGTGGATTTTGCCGCATGCTCCAACGAGGGCCATCACCGCCAATGGTGGCTACCGGATGCGAGGCTGGTTTGACATATACAGCTTTACTTTCAAGGAATCAGAAACAGAAGATCGTGACGGGATGCTCGAATCTGTAAAAACACTGGAAGCTCTCATACAGGAAGAGATCAAAGCAGGGGTGGACGCAAGTCGGATTGTGTTGGGAGGATTCAGTCAGGGTGGCGCCATGTCACTCTTGACGGGCCTGACTTCGCCAGTTAAGCTGGGAGGCTTGGTAACTCTCAGTGGATGGCTACCTATCCGGAATGAGGTCGAAGAGGTGAATCTCTGACACCATAAAATGATATTATACTCACCTGGAGCCACTTCAGAAGCTCGCTTTGCATACACCTTCGCTGCCGATCTTCATGGGGCATGGCGTTGAGGACCCCATCGTGCCTGTCAGCATTGCAGAGCTGTCTGCTCGGTATCTCTCAGAAAAGTTTGGAGTTGCCTCGCAGGAAAATATCGGAGAACCCGGATTGAAGTTCAAAGAATACCCTGGACTTGAGCATTCAACATCAGAGGAGGAGTTGGAAGACGTTGCAGCGTTCCTTAGACATGTCGTTCCAGAGTCACAGTAGGATGGCGCGCGCCTGTCGCATAGCCGTCGTTAAGTATGTATTTGACGATTGATGTCTAATCCATCGTGCGCATGATATATTCCGGCCTATCCCGCTAGGACTCTCCATGTAAGCCACTTTGCGACTCGCCATTATTGTCAGACACATACAGCCAATCGGAACCACGCGTTTGGGAACACTGTGGGATCGTTCCGAAGATGCCGACTGCTCTCAGGCCTTCTCAGGCACACTCCAAATCGGCCTTCGCCCGACGTCACGCCTGCCAGATATTGAATTCGCAACTGCTAAGCACATAGGTATTACCTGTTCTTACACTATGTAAATAGGTCTGACTAATTTCTGGTTTTCTCAGCGGTGAAAAGTGAGTCAGCCGCTTTCCACTCCATCTTATCGGTCCTTGCGGAAAAGTCGTGTTGATTATATATAGACAGGGGGAGCGCAAGTCGTCCCCCTTTCTTGTATTGCGATCTATCTGTCTGTGGTGTGTCTCCAACATCGCTCTAACCCCACGTCCAAGGAGCGTGCTTGATCTGCCCTCTGAGTACGTGTCCCTATCCATGCCATCCGATTCTACGCGCAGCGAACCCAAACGAAGGGGAGAGAAAGATATCCTAGCACGTGGCGAAGGTGCTCCGCTGCAGTCATTGCATATTCAGCTAGATACTGGGAATGAGTATGTGAACTACCGCCGCAAATTTTGGCAGTTGTGGTATGCCCTCCTTGTGTGGTGTTGCACAAGGGAATGCGTAAGTCCTTATTTGGGCTTACAGGTTACCAAGGAATCCGCCAGCCCCACCCCCTGCTTCACTGGAGGACGCAAAAGTAGGTGGATTTGTTTGAGAGAAAAACATAGCTGCTGACACTATTCCTCTATGCAGCTAACGCCTCTTGCTAATGCATCCCTCTTTTCTCGCCTGACATATTCCTGGATCACAGACATATTGGTGCTCGGCTATCAGCGCACTCTCCAAGCCTCGGACTTGTATAGACTTGATGCATCCCGTGAAGCCGGTCCTCTGGCGGAGAGGCTTGAGGCTGCATGGTTCAAGCGTGTCAAGGTAGCAGCAGAATGGAACGCCAGGTTAGAGAGTGGCGAAGTACACCCTTCCATTTTAAGACGCTTAGCATGGGCAATCATTGCGATTCTTTCTCAAGTAAACCGTAAACATGGGTCGGAGAAACGGAGCTACTCGGAGAGACGGGCGGCTCTGGAGAAGCGCTGGAAAGAGGTGGATGGGAAGAAAGCAGCAAGCCTCGCGTGGGCACTCAACGACGTATTCGGGTGGTCGTTCTGGCTTGGCGGGGTATTCAAGGTATGTAAATTGCACACGTGTTATGGAAGTCGTCTACGGATAACCACATATTTCCGAGAACAGGTGTTCGGAGACATGGCACAATTGATGAGCCCACTTGTACTCAAAGCCATCATATTGTTTGCGGAAGAACGTTCAGCAGCGCGCGCGTCTGGTGCACCCCTCCCGAATGTCGGCCGTGGAATTTCCATGGCTCTGGGTCTGTGGCTATTGACAATTATGTCCAGTGTATGTACCAATCAGGTGCGAAATTTCACGCTTGATTCTACAACCCCCACTGACAAATTGTACCGTGGACGACGCTTTACGATAACTGATTAGTTCTTCTGGCGTTCAATGTCGACAGGGGTCCTTGCGCGCGCCGTCCTCATTGCGTCCATTTATGAGCGCGGCGTCAATCTCACAGGAAAGGAAAGGGTTAAACTGACAAATGCAGCTCTGGTAAACCACATCTCTACGGACGTAAGTCCTTCCCCGCTCTGGCAACAGTTCGTGTACACGTACGTTTTCAGGTGAGCAGGATAGATGCATGCGCACAGTGGTTTGTGAGTTTCCTCTAGCGTAGCCCGAGATAATACGTGCCTGATCTCCCTATCTTTCAATTTAGCATGCAGGTCTGTGTTACTATGTCGTTCTTTCAGCGTGGTAACGGTTCTTCACAGCGTGGACCACACCGATTCAAGTGACCGTTTGTCTTATTATACTCCTGACCGAGGTATGCGGTATTTGCCTGCATTGATTAGATGCCTAACGCTTGCCGCCAGCTGGGACCCTCAGCTCTGGCAGGTTTCTCCCTATTCATTTTTATTATTCCATTACAACAACAGCTGATGGTACTACAACATCGGACCCGTCTACGTTCCATGGTATGGACAGAGCAAAGGACCAAAATATTACTAGAAGTTCTAGGTGCGCATCACTCCTGTTTCCAGAAATCTCCATTCATATGATGGTGCGATGGGAATCCAGGGGCAATGCGTGTTATTAAGTACTTCTCCTACGAGGTGCCTTATTTGAGGAGTGAGGATGTTCTATTTGTGCTTCTCAAGTATCCGATTTTATTACCATCTGTCAGAGTTATCTGAGCTACGCAAGAAGGAGCTACGGGACATTTGTAGAATCCAATTCTCAACGAGCGCAAAGTCCGCAATTCCCTTCTTCCTGCTAGCATGACTGATGTATTATCTAGTCTCGCGCTAGCCTTGTCACTTCCAGTTCTTGCGGCAACGCTATCGTTTGTCACGTACACACTTACGGCGCACGACTTCAGTTCCGCGATTATCTTTTCTAGTCTGAGCTTGTTCCAAGTGAGCCGCTTTCAACTTCTGTACGCCACACTGATCTATTTTGCACTGGACTAGCTCTTGCGTCAACCGATGATGTTCCTGCCACGCGCACTTTCTTTGATCTCGGATGCCGCTTCCGCGATTCAACGGCTATCACGTATCTTCCATGCAGAACTTATCAAGGGCGACACGTTCGTGATCGACAGGACCCAGGAGTATGCAGTGGTTGTCCGCGATGCAACATTTGAGTGGGAGTCGCCCGAAAAGATTGACGAGAAGGTCCCCGATGCCTCACACAATGACAACCGTGGTGGTGCACGTGGTGACAGAACTGTGAGACTGGATGGACAAGGGAGTCATGATGGAAGTCACGCTGATGCGAAAGAAAAGGACAGCCTGTTTAAAGATGCACCTGTGTTCAAAGTCAGAAGTATCACCTTGAACATCCCTCGTGGTCAGCTCGTTGCCATCGTAGGTCCCGTAGGGAGTGGGAAGGTTTGTCACCTTGCAAGGTTTGCAAGGATGGAGTAGACTCATTTGCTTGCAGTCGAGCCTTCTGCAGGGCATCATAGGTGAGATGAGAAGGGTCTCCGGCCACGTTTCACTTGGCGGAAAGGTAGCATACTGCCCTCAGACTGCATGGATCCAGAATGCTACGCTGGTGAGTGCCTGACTAGTCATTCTCGGTGGACTGGTCCACACTTCTCAGTACGCAGAGGGAAAACGTACTGTTCGGACAATCTTTCGACGAGGAGAAGTACTGGCGGGTGATTGAATTGTCGTGCCTTCTGCCTGATCTTCAGCTATTGCCTGATGGTGATTTGACAGAGGTATTTTTCACGGAGTTCGCAGCTTGGATCTGGTTAACCTGCATGCACAGATCGGTGAGAAGGGGATAAATCTAAGCGGCGGCCAAAAACAGCGTGTCAACATCGCTCGGGCCCTCTATCACGACCCCGAAATCGCCATCTTCGACGATCCGCTCTCCGCTGGTATGTCTGTAGTCGTACTTCAGATATCTTCAATGACTGATCTGCCGATGGTCACGCACTGCAGTTGACGCCCACGTTGGCAAATCCCTCTTCGAGGACATTTTCATTGGATCGTTGCGCTCTCGGGGGATCACCACTGTTCTGGTCACCCATGCCATCCATTTCTTACCCCAGGTCGATTACATATACACAATCAGTAATGGAACAATTGTGGAAAGCGGGACGTACCAAGAGCTTGTCACGAAGGATGGGGAGTTTGCGAGGTTAGACCGGGAGTATGGCGGACGAACGGAGGATACTAAGGACGAGAATGAAGGAGAAGAAGCCTCCGAGCGCTCTGTCTTTTCTCCGAAGATGGTAACTATCGAGGACGTGAAGCTGAAGTCTGCCCAAGCGCGCGAGAAAGCGACTGGCAAAGGAAAGGTGGAGGGTCGGTTGATCGTCAAGGAAGAGCGTAGAACTGGATCTGTGTCGATGAAAGGTACGTCTCGGCTTGGGATAAGCTCGCGTCCTGGAGCAGGATAGCTCACCACAGTATCTCAGTGTACTGGGCATATCTCACGGCCGCGCATGGTGCTGTCACCCTGCCTCTCGTTCTATTGTTCATCCTTATGATGCAAACGAGTCAAGTCATGAACTCATACACCCTTGTTTGGTGGGAATCCAAGTAAGTCAAGTGAATGTCTATGCTGTCGCTACTCAGCCCTTGGCAGTACTTGGCATCGATCCAACTCCTTTTACCAAACCCTATATGGATGCCTGGGAGTTGCGCAAGCGATATTCACATTTTTCCTGTGTGTGAACTTTCCTGTTCTGTCTCGGTCGTTCATCGAAACACGATGTTAAAACAGCGGCGCAAGCGTCGATGTTATGGGATATCTTGTCTCGCAGAATCTACATCACCAGTCTGTCCAGATGGTTTTCTATGCGCCCATGTCATTCTTCGATACTACCGTAAGTTCTGCGTGCATTACACATTTGGTATGAGCTTGATTCGCAACGGTCATTAGCCACTTGGCAGAGTTCTCGGCGTCTTCGGAAAAGATGTAGATTGTGAGTCTTCGCTCCTTCCGAGTGCCCCGGGGATTACTTAGAAGGCATGTAGCAATAGATAATCAGCTTACCCGTGAGTTTATCGCATACGATTCCCTATTCGTGTATTGCTAACCTACCCCCAGTCTCGATCAGATTGTGTAAGATTCTTGCTGATGTTAATCATACGTGCTAACTCAGTTCTGTTACCAGTTTATCTTACAACGGCCTCTATTCTAGGATCAGTCGTTATCGTTGCAATTCTGGAGCCCTACTTCTGTGAGTGGTGTATCTCCTGTGAATAGTTTTCACTGAGCAATCTTGTAAAACAGTGATAGCTGCTGTCTTCGTTGGTATAGGCTACAGCTACTTCGCTGGATTTTATCGTGCCAGTGCTCGAGAAGTCAAGCGACTAGGTGCACTTTGTTTCTGACATGTTTTCCGGCCGCATTTATGTACTACATCTTGCTAGACTCCATGCTGCGATCGTTGATGTATGCTCACTTTTCAGAGACATTCACCGGCCTCCCAACCATCCGCAGTTACGGAGAGATGAGACGCTTTATCACGACAAACAGATATTACATTGATCTCGAAGACAGAAGTCTGTACCTCGTAATCACTAACCAGAGGTGGCTGACTATCAGGCTTGATTTCATGAGTGCCATGCTCATGTTCTTCGTGAGCGAAATGCTTCATATTAGATGTATCTATCTCTAATTCTCACCTCAAGGTCGCACTTCTCACCGTTACGGACGTGTCTGGAATCAATGCCGCACAAATTGGTCTGATTCTGACGTATACCAGTATGTTGTCCCTTTGTTCCATCTGTAGAGCTTTTATAACTATTCGCAGTGATGCTGGCGCAATTTGTTTCTCCAATGATGAGACAGTCGGCGGATGTCGAGGTGACATATTCGTTGGTTTTGTAGTATCATGTTGGTTCTGACGCTACCCAAGAACAATATGAATTCCGTTGAAAGAAGTGAGACATTCATGTCGCTTGAGAGGTGTTCGGTTGTACTAACTCGATGGAAGTTGTTCAGTACACACGGAAGGGAACGGTACCCCAAGAGGCGCCCCATGAGATTCCAAGCAACAAGCCCCCACCTGAGTGGCCCCGATGTGGAGCAGTTCAGTTTAGAGATGTTCAAATGAGCTACCGACCCGGACTGCCACTTGTCCTTAAAGGAGTCTCACTTTCTATCGAAGGAGGCGAAAAGATTGGTGTCGTTGGAAGGTATGGTGTGACACACATATCAATCACGGGGTTAACAGGTGCACAGAACGGGCGCCGGGAAATCATCTTTGATGTTGACACTGTACCGTATCGTTGAATTGTCGAGCGGATCCATTGTTCTTGACGGGTATGGCCGGCTCTCATCTGTCTGACTGAATGAGTTAATTCAATTCTATTCCAGTATTGACATATCGACACTCGGTCTCAAGGACCTTCGCACCAGAATATCCATCATACCCCAAGATGTGCGTTTTCGATTGTATGGTACTGATTGTGGCTGATAGCGTTTACTGCCTAGCCTCTCCTCTTCAGCGGTATGCAGCCGATCCAATGTGGATATTTTCCAGACCATCCTAACGCTGTGTATAGGGACTATCAGGTCAAACCTCGATCCGTTCAGCAAATACGACGACGCCAAGCTGTGGGACGCACTGCGCCGATCTTGCCTTATAGATCCGCCATCTGCGAAAGATGGGAAATGCGAGTTCGGCGAAGAGACGCGCGCGAACCGTTATACACTAGACAGTACTATCGAAAGTGAAGGCGCCAACCTGAGTGTTGGCGAACGGTCTCTGCTCAGTCTTGCACGTGCGCTCGTGAAGGGTTGCAAAGTCGTCGTACTAGATGAAGCTACGTGAGTTCCCAGCATATCTTATTTTTGATACTGCAGCGGTGATTAATCTCATATGCGGAACAGTGCATCTGTCGATCTAGAGACCGACAACAAGATTCAGAACACTATCAAAACTGAATTTCGCGATTGCACCCTACTATGCATTGCCCGTGCGCATTCTACGTCCACGTCACAATGATGTTGACTCACCTGTTATATTCAGATCGTTTACGCACCATTATTTCATATGATCGCGTTCTTGTTATGGACGCCGGGATGGTAGCCGTAAGTCGAGACTCACTTGATATTTCTTGTTTGAACTTGATGATCTTTCCCGAAGGAATTTGACACACCCTACAACCTGTACCAGAAAGAGGGAGGGCTGTTCCGTGGGATGTGTGAGCGGAGTAATATCACCCTGAAGGATATTGAAGCGCGTGGACATGAAATGGTAAACATCGGGTCTTCGTGAATACCGTCAATCGGAACGAGTTCACCGATTTTTTGTGAGTGACCCGAAGAGCACAGATACTAGTGTTCATAGCCTGCCACAATATGGATACCAGTTTTGCACTGAAGGTTTCGGTTTTGGTCACTCCGGTGGTGAAATTTAATTGACATGGCTTCCCTCATTGTCGGGCGAGCTCTGGCCCGAACAACGCGCCAAGCAGTTCTCACCTCGTCGAACTCTCGCGAATTCGGTTCTTAGGTACTTAGTCACGCCTCATCTCCAAAAGCTAAGCGTCAAGTTGGCTGGCCAACTTGACGCTTAGCGTTTACCCGGTGAAGTAACAGTGCGTGCCGAGCTCTCAAACAATTCAAAAAACTGTCCAATGGATTTTGCACTTTACAACCCATTCCCGATGCAAATTTCCCACTTTTCGTTGGTTAAGAGCATAGATAAACATGTGTAGGACGTGAACAGAGTGCCTCGGCACCCTCCCGAGCCATCCCGCCCGAGCCCTGACATTGCAATGCCCAGCAGGGCCCACTCGAACGCTCGAACCCCCTCCCACCCACCCGCCTGAGGGCGGACTTTCCTTTTAAGGAAATTCCCACGGCATCGCCACCTGCAAATTTTTCGAACTAAGTGTATGCTGTAATTCGACCGTTTTACCGATGTGATGTCTGGGTTCCCACATCGGTTCCGCTCTTCTACTGCCATTGTTATCATCAACCGCACCGATCGGCTTGCCTCTTCCGACTCGTACGTTGGGCACTCTGCAGTCATACTCGGTAGTAATTGTAGCGGACCCATGGGCAAGGCCAGTTAGATCACGGTAGAAGCCACGAGGCCAGCAACACTTGGGCCGTACCGAAAACAACCTTGCTAGCAACCCCTTGGACTAGCAACTGCTACTAGACCGGGTAAGCCTAACGAGGCCTAGCTAGCTCTGGACGCTTTTGCTGTTCGGGTCGGGAAATGAGTCAGCTCCTTTCTAGTACTTCAATCTACTGTCTCGGTATCCTGCCGGGAGAACCGTGCTCATTATATAGGCAGGGTGACCGCAAATCGGGGGATATGGTTTTGGCTCCCAACCCTAAGCCTAGCTGGTACGTGTGTATTGTAATCCATCCGTCTGTAGTATGTCTCCAGCGTTGCTCTAACCCCGCGTATGTTTCATGTTCAAAAGACATACCTGGACTGCCCTCTGAGTACGCGCGTCGCTAACCATGCCATCCGATTCTACGCACCGCGAACCCGTACGAGGATCGAGAGAAATAGACATCCGGGCAATCGGCTGGCAAGGTGTTCCGCTGCAGTCGTCGCGACTTCAATTAGATACTGGGAATGAGTATGTGAACTACCGCCGCAAATTCTGGCAGTTGTGGTGTGCCTTCCCCGTGTGCTGTTGTACGGGGAAATGTATGAATCCTTATCTGTGCTCACAGGTTACCAACGAACCAGCCAGCCCCACCCTCTGCTTCACTGGAGGATGCAGAAGTAGGCGGATTGGTTATAAGAGGAAAACATAGCTACTGACACGATTCCTTTATGCAGCTAATACCACTCGCCAGTGCTTCCCTCTTTTCTCGCCTGACATATTCCTGGGTCACGGACTTGATGGTTCTCGGTTACCAGCGCACTCTCCAAGCCTCAGACTTGTATAAACTTGATCCATCACGTGAAGTTGGTCCTCTCGTGGAGAAGCTTGAAGCTGCGTGGTTCAAGCGTGTCAAGGCAGCAACAGATTGGAATGTCAGGCTAGAGAAAGGCGAAATACACCCTTCCGTTTTAAGGCGCCTAGTGTGGGCAATCACTGCGATCCCTTCCGAAATGGACCGTAAACATGGGTCAGAGAAACGGAACTACTCGGAGAGACGAGCAGCTCTGGAGAAACATTGGAAAGACGTGGATGGGAAGAAAGCAGCAAGCCTTGCATGGGCACTCAACGATGTATTCGGGTGGTCGTTCTGGCTTGGCGGGATATTCAAGGTATGATAGATTTCATTTTTATCATGCTCCAGATGACTATATGTATCTGAGAACAGGTATTCGGAGACACGGCACAATTAATGAGCCCACTTGTGCTCAAAGCAATCATATTGTTTGCGGAGGAACGATCAGCAGCGCGTGCAGCTGATGCACCCCTCCCGAATGTCGGCCGTGGAATTTCCATGGCTCTGGGTTTGTGGCTATTGACAATTACATCCAGTGTATGTATCCATCAGGTGCGAAATTTCATGCTTGATTCTACAACCCCCATTGACTAATCATGCCGTGGATGACGCTTTATGGTAAATGATTAGTTCTTCTGGCGTTCAATGTCGACAGGGGTCCTTGCGCGCGCCGCCCTTATTGCGTCTATTTATGAGCGCGGCGTCAATCTCACAGGAAAGGAAAGGGTTAAACTGACAAATGCAGCTCTGGTAAACCACATCTCTACGGACGTAAGTCCTGTCTGCCTTTGCCAAGCAGTTCGTGTACACGTGCTTCTTTAGGTGAGTAGGATAGATGCATGCGCACAGTGGTTTGTGAGTTTTCTCATGCATAGCTGGGCATAACACGTACTTAGTCGCCCTATCTTTCATTTCAGCATGCAGGTGTGTCTTGCTCCGTGTTGTCCTTCCAGCGTGGTAACAGTTCTTCACAGCTTGGACTGCGCCGATTCAAGTGACCATTTGTCTCATCATCCTGTTGGTTGAGGTATGTAGGGTTGGGCCTACGTTTGTTAGATTTCTGACCCTCGTCACCAGCTGGGACCCTCAGCTCTGGCAGGTTTCTCTCTATTTATTCTTATTATTCCATTGCAACAACGGATGATGGCGTTACAACATCGGACCCGTCTACGCTCCATGATATGGACAGAGCGAAGGACCAAAATATTACTAGAGGTTCTAGGTGCGCGTCAATCCTGTTTCCAGGGATCACCATTCATATGATGGCGTGGGTGGAAATTCAGGGGGAATGCGTGTTATTAAGTACTTCTCCTATGAGGTGCCCTATTTGCAAAGTGAAGATATTCTTTGTGCTTCTTGCGTGTATTCGATTTTGATGCCGTATGTCAGAGCTGTTCGAGCTACGCAAGCAGGAGCTGCGGGGCATTCGTAGAATCCAGTTCTCGGCGAGTGCAAAGTTCGCAATTTCTGTCTTCCTGTTACCATGGCTGACATGTTATCCAGTCTCGCGCTAGCATTGTCACTTCCGGTTCTTGCAGCAACACTATCGTTCGTTACGTACACACTTACCGCGCACAACATGAGTCCCGCGGTTATTTTTTCCAGTCTGAGCTTATTCCAAGTGAGCCGCTTTCAGCTGCCGCTCCTCTTGCGTTGAACACTAATCTCTCCTGCACTGGATTAGCTCTTGTGTCAACCGATGATGTACATGCCACGCGCTCTCTCTTTAATTCCGGATGCCGCTTCCGCGATTCAACGGCTATCACATATCTTCCTTGCAGAGCTTATCAAGGGCGACACTTTGGTAATTGACAGGACCCTGGAGTATGCAGTCGTTGTCAGCGATGCCACATTTGAGTGGGAGTCGCCCGGAAAGATCGATGAAAAGGTTTCCGATACCTTACTTAGTGACAAAAGAGGTAGTACTCGTGGTGATAGAAGTGCAAGACCAAATGGACGACCGAGCCATAGTGGAAGACAAGGAAATACGAAAGAAGAGGACAAACTGTTTAAAGATGCATCTGTGTTTAAAGTCAGGAGTATTACCCTGAATATCCCCCGCGGTCGGCTTGTTGCCATCGTAGGTCCCATAGGAAGTGGGAAGGTCTGTTGCCTTGCAAGCTTTGCAAGGGTCCAGTAGACTTACCTGCCTGCAGTCGAGCCTCTTACAGGGAATCTTAGGCGAGATGAGAAAAGTCTCCGGCCACGTTTCACTTGGCGGAAGGGTAGCATATTGTCCTCAGACTGCCTGGATCCAGAATGCCACGCTGGTGAGTACCCGACTAGTCATTCTGGGTGACCTGGTCCACACTCCTCAATACAGAGGGAAAACGTACTGTTTGGAAAAGCGTTCGACGAAGAGAAGTACTGGCGGGTGATTGAATTGTCGTGCCTTCTCCCTGATCTGCAGCTATTACCTGATGGTGACTTGACAGAGGTATTTTTCACGGAGTTCGCAGCCTGGATCTGGTTAACTTGCATGCACAGATCGGTGAGAAGGGGGTAAATCTAAGCGGCGGTCAAAAACAGCGTGTCAACATCGCTCGGGCCCTCTATCACGACCCCGAAATCGCCATCTTCGACGATCCGCTCTCCGCTGGTATGTCTGCAGTTGCACTTGGATGTTTTAAATAGTTGATCTACGGACGGTCATGCACTGCAGTTGACGCCCACGTTGGCAAATCCCTCTTTGAGGACATCTTTGTTGGATCGTTGCGCTCTCGGGGGATCACCACTGTTCTGGTCACCCATGCCATCCATTTCTTACCCCAGGTCGATTACATATACACAATCAGTAATGGAACAATTGTGGAAAGCGGGACGTACCAAGAGCTTGTCACGAAGGATGGGGAGTTTGCGAGGTTAGACCGAGAATATGGTGGACGAAAGGAAGATATCAAGGGCGAAGATGAGGGAGAAGAAGCCTCCGAGCGCTCTGCCCTACCTCCAAAGACGGTAACTATCGAAGACGCGAAGCTGAAGTCTTTCCAAGCGCGTGAGGAAGCGGCTGGGGAAGGAAAAGTGGATGGTCGGTTGATCATCAAGGAAGAGCGCAGCACTGGATCTGTGCCACTCACAGGTTCGTCTTAGTTTCAGATCAGCTCATGAGCAGGATAGCTCACCACGCTACCTTAGTGTACTGGGCATACCTGAAGGCCGGGCATGGTGCTGTCACCCTGCCTCTCGTGCTGCTATTTATGCTCCTGATGCAAACGAGTCAGGTCATGAACTCATACACTCTCGTTTGGTGGGAATCCAAGTACGTTAGCTTCATGCACATTTATGCTGCCCCTACTCACCCTTGGCAGTGCGTGGCATCGATCCAACTCCTTTTACCAGACACTATATGGATGCCTGGGTGTTGCACAAGCGATATTCACATTTCTCCTGTGTGTGAGCTTTGCTATGTGTCTTGGTCGCTCATCGAACCATGTTATAACAGTGGCGCAAGCGTTGATGTTATGGGATATTTTGTCTCGCAGAACCTACATCACCAGTCTGTCCAGAAGGTGTTCTATGCTCCCATGACATTCTTTGACACTACTGTAAGCTTCACGTGCATTACACAATCCGTGTGAATTTCGCTCACAACGGTCATTAGCCACTTGGCAGAATTCTCGGCATCTTCGGAAAAGATGTAGATAGTGAGTCTGCGCTCTTTTTTGAGTGTGGCGGATGACTGAAAGGCGTGCAGCAACGGATAATCAGCTTGCTTGTGAGGTTATCTGACACGAATTCCTATCTATATATTGCTGACCCACTCTTAGACTCGCTTAGATTGTGTAAGATCCTTGCAGATTTCAACATACGTCATACTAAGTATTGCTACCAGTTTATCTTGGATTAGCATCTGTTCTAGGATCAGTCGTCATCATTTCCATTCTGGAGCCCTCCTTCGGTGAGTAGCGTATCTCCCGTCAACATTTCCCCTGAGTAATCAATCTTCCTGTAAAACAGCAATAGCTGTAGTCTTCGTTGGCATAGGCTATGGCTATTTAGCTGGATTTTATTGTACCAGTGCCCGAGAGGTCAAGCGACTAGGTACATCTTGTTCTCGTCACGTTTTGCGTTCCATTTATGTGCCACTTCTTGCCAGACTCCATGCTCCGATCATTGATGTATGCTCACTTCTCAGTGACGTTTACTGGGCTCCCGACCATCCGCAGCTATGGAGAGATGAAGCGCTTTATCGCTGCAAACCGATATTACATTGATCTCGAAGACAGAAGTCTGTACCTCGTAATCACTAACCAGAGGTGGTTGGTTATCAGGCTTGACTTCATGGGTGGCATGTTTGTGTTTTTCGTGAGTAAGAAGCTTCGTGTTAGATGCATTCATGTCTCATCGTTATCGCCAGGTCGCAATTCTTGCAGTTACAGATGCATCTGGAATGAATGCCGCACAAATTGGACTGGTTTTGACCTACACTAGTATGTTTTCGCCTTCCTTCAATCTGTAGATCCCTTATATCTTTTTGCAGCGATGCTCGCGGAATTTGCTTCTCTAATGGCGAGGCAGGCGGTAGATGTCGAGGTGAGATATTCTTCTGTTTTGTAGCGTCATATTACTTCTGACACTGCCCAAGAACCATATGAATTCCGTTGAAAGAAGTGAGACATTCATGTCACTTGGGAAATGCTATACTGATTCAATCACAGTTACTCGGTACACGCAGGAGGGAACAGTTCCTCAAGAAGCACCCCATGAGATTCCAGAAAAGCACCCCCCTCTTGAATGGCCGCAAAACGGAGCAGTTCAGTTTAAAGACGTTCAAATGAGCTACCGACCCGGGCTGCCACTTGTCCTTAAAGGAGTCTCATTCTCCATCGAAGGAAGCGAAAAGATAGGCGTTGTTGGAAGGTATGATGCGACGCTGATATCAATCATGGAGCTAATATGTGTACAGAACGGGCGCCGGAAAATCATCTTTGATGTTGACACTGTACCGTATCGTTGAATTGTCGAGCGGATCCATTGTTCTTGACGGGTATGGCCGGCTTTCATCTGTCTGACTGAATGAGTTAATTCAATTCTATTCCAGTATTGACATATCGACACTCGGTCTCAAGGACCTTCGTACCAAAATATCCATCATACCTCAAGATGTGCGTTTTCGATCGTATGGTACTGATTGTGGCTGATAGCGTCTACTGCCTAGCCTCTCCTCTTCAGTGGTATGCAGCCGATCCAATATGCGTGTTTTCTAGAGCGAAGACCACTCTGTATATAGGGACGATCAGGTCAAACCTTGACCCTTTCAGCAAGTACGACGATGCCAAGCTGTGGGATGCGCTGCACCGATCTTGCCTCGTAGACTCGCTATCTGCCGAAGATGGAGAATGCGAGTCCAGCGAAGAGACACGCACGCACCGTTATACACTTGACAGTATCGTCGAGAGTGAAGGCGCCAACCTGAGTGTCGGCGAACGGTCTTTGCTCAGTCTTGCGCGAGCTCTCGTGAAGGATTGCAAAGTCGTCATTTTGGACGAAGCTACGTGAGTTCTCTGTACATTTTGTCTTTGATACTACACCAGTAATTGATCTCGTGTGTGGAACAGTGCATCCGTTGATCTAGAGACCGACCATATGATCCAGAATACTATCAAAACCGAATTTCGTGATCGAACCCTGCTATGCATTGCCCGTGCGTACTTTGTGTCCATGTCTTAAGAATGAATGCTAACTGATCTGATGTATTCAGATCGTTTGCGCACCATTATTTCATACGATCGCGTTCTTGTCATGGATGCCGGGATAGTAGCTGTAAGTCAAGGCCCACTTAGTATTTCTTGTCTGAACTCGACGACACTTTCCCACAGGAATTCGACACACCCTACAACCTGTACCAGAAAGAGGGAGGGCTGTTCCGTGGGATGTGTGAGAGGAGCCATATTACTTTGAAGGATATTGAAGCCAGTAGACATGAAATGGTAACCATCGGGCCTGAGTGAATGCCATCAATCGGAACAACTTCACCAACTTTTTGTAAACGACTTGAGGAACTGGAACTCACCACTGTGGGGTGAGTACACTCAGAACGGCTCACAACGACGACAGAACGTGGACAGGCGTGTGGGGATTAGACGATCAAGCGTATACGCTGATACAAGATGCTCAACAGAGCAAGTGAGAGGGAAGAGAGAAAAGAAGAGACGACCTGCGCATACATGCAGCACCAGTATATATATCCCCGGGGTCCAAACAGTACAACACAGCAGGAGGGATCCGCATGCCCAGACGAGGGCACGACCGAGGGAATAGGAGATGTGACGACGTGAAGCGATAGCGTGAACGGTGCGTATGGTGTGTGAGTGGCAAGCGGTAAGCGGCAAGGTAAGCGAACGCTTACAGGAACACAGATACTAATATCCATAGCTTAATACAATGTACATACCAGTATTGCATTGGTTCTTTCGGTTTTGGTCAGCTGCCCAGCAGATGTGCAGATTGACCACTGCTGCGATGTCACCAACACCAGCATGGGCGTATCATCATATAACTGGCGGCGCGAATGGCCCGGACGGCGCGTCAGGCCGTACCCTCCGCGGTCACACCCAAGTCACACCCCCACCATCGAAGTCGGGTCGATACTTCACCTCGGTTCAGCTCGTTTCACCTCGCGGCAATATTACCGAGCGAAGAGTCAGACTTCCTGGCGATTTCCAGGTCGTGAAGTGACCTTTGCGAGCCCTCGCTATTACCGAGCTGTTGAGTCAAGGCCCAGCAAGGCTTGTCAGACCATTTAAGGACTAGCGACCTCTACTAGGTTGAGTAAGCCCAGTAAGGCCTTCGTAGCTAGGTGAACAAACAGAGATGGAGAGATGAAGATACAGGTTAAGAGATCAAGAAGAAGAAAAGGGCAAAGGTGAGTAGAAAAGCGTAGATCACAAAGGAGAATGCGATCTAGTGTGTGGGGGGAAGGCCGCCGAACGCTATGCTCTGGAATCGAGCGAGCGTACCGAGACGCCGAGATGCCGAGACTGCACGTGCACAGAGCGGAAGTCACGTGACTGCGAGACTGAGAGATTGAGGGTGGAAGAGGTCACGTGACCCGGTCGAGGGAGGGATCGAAACGGAAGAGTGCGCGGAAACAAGCGGCGCGGCCTTCTGAGCGTGTAAGAGCGGGCGAGTGGAAGAGAGGAGGAGAGGCCACAGGACCGACCATAACCGAGCTAAGCTCACAACGGAAGTGGCCTCGAGACACCCCACACACTGGAGTTAAGCACAGGAGCAATCAGAATAGGATTCCTAGCAAACATATACAGAACAACGGTACTAGGAACAGGGAGCATCAAGAACGGGAAGGTACTGTACGGAGATTGGTACGACGAGCGAAATTGTCCATGATTGAATCGAGAGAAAGTAAACGGGCGGAGTCAGCAGATGAAGAAATGAAGAGAGGAAGTATGCTATTGATTTGACGCCAGTAATCTAAAAAGGCCTGCGATTTCCATCTTCCTTGAGTGGCGACCACGTCAGGAGGCACTCCTTGAAGTAAGAGTTCTGTAGCTCCCCCGATGCGAAAGGCGTGACCAGGCATATCAGGGAAGCCGGCAGAAACCCAAATCTGATTGCAACGGTTGAGAAACCATGCGCAGGTCATGGGAGACCAACCGGAAGACGTACGAAATGCGAAGAGAGGAGCGTCCGATGGAATGCCGAGACTGCCTGTGCAATGGTTCAATAAGGCTAGAAGGGGACAGGTGCGGTGATCACGAGAAGTGACAGAAATGTCCGCACCGAGAGAGAGGGTGGTCTTAGACCAGGGGATGTGGAAAGTAGAGTGACGCGTACCATTGTCTAACGAAGAGATGGAAAGAGGAAGGATTCGCCGGGAGACATGTTTAGATGGGTCAAGAACATTCTGGGAGGGAATGAGAAGTTCGCCAAGGCGACAGCAAGAGCAAAACGCTACCGAGGCAAGAGCCCAAACAGACGCATCAAAAGTGTTGGCCAGGTCCAAACGATCGTGAAGGATGCAGAGAGTCTCAATGGTAACAGGGGGGGGTTTGTCACGTTTGGAAGATGGGGGGACAAGTTTAGTGAAGCCTCTGCGAACATGGCGAAGCATGTCATCTCCGTACCAAGGGGCGCCATTGACAATATGCCAAAAATGGAGGCCAGCAAGCCAGTTATTAAGTGTCTTTTCCGAGGCGTGTCCAGCATGATGTGCGGAAAAGAGGGAAATGATCTCGGGTGAGGCTGGCATGCGGGACTCCTCCGGGAGAGCGAGTAAGTCACAGAATTGAGTAAAACGGAGAAGACCCGCTCCATAGTTGGAACGGGTGCTATGGTCTAAGGATTGGAGCATGACTTGAAAAAGGCGGAAGACCGATTGTTGGGGAAAAAGGCTCTCGAGGGAGGACAAGAAATCAGCACCATGGGGGGAAGACCAACATATGAGACGGTCACTGGCGACAACATGTGGACGCCATGGGGAGGGTTGGATGGAGGAGCCAGGACGAGGTCGACGGGGAGTTTGGAATGGATGGTGCTTAAAGAGGAAGCGACCGTGCGACGAGAGAGGGAGTCGGCGTTAGCATAAAAGGCAGAGGCGGCAGCATCGAGGTCGACGTCTGAAAGGAACTCTTCAAGAGGAGAAGGGAGGACCATGCTGAAAGGGGGAGGCGATGGAGGAGTGGAGCGAAGGAGGGTCAGGGATGCGTGTAGAAATAGAGGGAAGGATGCCGCGGGAAATCGGATCCGCCAAGTTGTCAGCAGATGGAACATAAGAGAAAAGAAAGTGAAGCCGTGCCTCGTGGGACAAGAGAGCCGAGCGGCGGATGGCTAGATTGGTCATGTAATTGCGACAATGACCCTTTTCGAAAGCAGCAATTGCACCTTGATTGTCACTGCGTATTAAGATGTCCAAGTGGGAGAAGCCACGGTTAATTACCAATTGGATGGTAAGTTCGATAGTGACAGCTTCAAGCCAACCAATATCACGGTGTGAGTCTCGCCAATGAGTAGCCAGGGGCCAGGCCATCCACGAGTCACCGAAGATGATACCGATTCCAAAATCAGTAGAAGCGTCGACCCAAATTTGCAGATCCAAGGGAGAAGAACGAGGTGAAATTGAACGTGGGGGTTGGGGGGAGCTAAGAAGATCGAGCCACCAGGAAAGATCGGAAACAACTGAAGGGCGGATGAAGCGAGGTTTAAACTCATCAGGGAATTCGGAGATCCAATGATACAAAGGGGAGATGAACGAGCGAGCATGAGGGAAGACAAAGGAAATGTGGTTTAGAGTACCAGCTATCTTCTCAGCGTCGCGCTTGAATATGCGAGAATTGTGAGAAGAGAGAAAGGTGGATAAGCGGAAGGTGTATTTGCGACGCTTTGACTCTAGGAGCGTAACTGATTTGTGAGGGATGTCCCATAGGAATCCGAGATACTCTACGGTATCACCAAAAGGCTGGCCTTTTTCTTTATGCCAAGGAACGCCTAAGGGAGCGATAATGGCTTTGGCATGTTCAAGGTCATAATCGTAGCGATAAACTTCGCCACCACAGATGCCTAGAAAGGGACCGGAAGGAGAAGGAGAGCGAAAAAGGGTGAAATCGTCGACCCATTTGATAGACGGGCCCACGCCGTGAGCATCCCAAATATCTACGACTGCGTCTGCGACTTCACCTTGGAGACCGGAGGCAGGAGAAAGACCAAAAGGAAGAACATGGTCTAAAAAGAATTGATCGTCGAACATGACAACCAAGAAGCGCTTATGATCGGGGAGAATAGGAATACCGCGGTAAGCGGCTTCAATGTCAAGGGAAGCAGATTGTGTGCCCGGTGGGGCACGAGCGATCTGAATGAACGAATGAGAACAGGGAATCATGAATGAGAGGAGCAATAGAAAGTGGGGGGCGAATGACGAATGTGTCATTGAAAGGCAGCCCAGAGAAGAAGAGAGACGGAGGGGAAGTGTGCCTTCGAACCATCAGGAAGGACCCAGAGAGGGGATGATCCTTCAGGCAAAGTGCATCCACACCCAGAACTCCGAAGAGAGAAGAGGAGGGGAATGAGGGTGAAACTAACCAGAGAAGCGGCAAGTTCAGCTGAACCCCATCTAGTGGGAAACTCATCTGGATCAATTTGGTCATTGACTGAAAGACCAGGAGTGCCTTTGTGGGAAAGGTTCCGACAGACACGAATCTTAGAAGGAGAACCTTCGACACCAGGTTTGACGACAATCTGGAAAGGTGACGATATAAAGGGACCAATCTTGTGAAAAAGTTCGACAGAAGAGAAGGGTCCGGAGAAACGACCGAGAGAAAGCTATGCATGGAGGAAGGAGTTGAATGCGAGTGCTGAATAGGGCGTGATGATGCGAGAGAAATCCGGATCCGAGTCATAGGGAGATGAGAGAATGTGAGGACAGCCAGAGAAGATGAAACGAGGAGGAAAAATGTCAGCTGGACGTAGAAAGGGTAAGGGAGTGTGGGATTTAGGCCGACTTGTGATTAGAGGCACCGTGGTCTCGGGAACCACAAGCGGCACAGAGATGTTGGTCAGGATGGTTGTCGCGACAGGGCTTCCTGGCAAGCTGATAGAAGAAACACAGTGGGGAATTGTTGTCACGACGGACAAGCTTTCCGTCTCGAGATTTCGCAAACGTTTGTTGACCTTTCTGCGTAGTCTCTTCGTTGCAGGATGAGTATTTGTGGCCTGATCTGAGGCAGATGACGCAAGTGGGAGAGTTTGCTGACCGTTCCGAAAGGAATCATCGGGGGAGTCATTACGAACTTTGCGGTCGTAAGGCGAAAAACGGTGTCCACGAGAAGACTTGTCTGTAGGAACAGTGGGGGCAGGAGGGGCTTGGAGGATGCCAACTTGTGTGTGGAGATATTTATTTTTGTATTCCTCAGTGGTGAGGAAGAAGTCAGGGTCAGATGCTGCAGTGGAGCGAACGTCCATGTCGAACTGAAGGATGGCTGGGAAGCGCTCGCGGAACTTATGAATACGCGCGAGAAAGCGAAAGTGGCAGGACCACATGCACTTTGCAATGAGACCCTCTCGAGTGCCGATCCAATCGATATAGCGCTCCCAGGCTGAATGCCAGTCCAAAGGGAGCATCTCCTCTTCAGGAGGAAATTGGGTGACGTCGAGAATATGAACGTTCTGACCGTTCTGGTGAACCTTGACTGTTTAAACGGCGAGGGGTTGGTTATGGAAGCCGGCATCGGCGAGGTTGTTAATAAGTTTGGGGATGGGAAGGCGCGTGCCGTCCGGAGAGAAAATGGGAGCATTGTCCGAAAGATCAAACGGGAGAGCACATTGAACCTTGGACCAATGAGTTGAGGTTGGGGAGTTGCGGTGGTTCTCAAGCAAAGAGTCTAGCGCAAGCTGGTCTGAGGGGGGAAGCAGCATATATGCGGCCAAAATTTGCTGGGAGGGGTTACCAGCATTGCTAGCGGGCGTAACCACCGAAGAAGGTGGGGGCTGAGTGGTATTAGCGGACGAAACAGGGGGAGCGGGGACTGAAATGGTGGGGTTGGCAGAGGTAGATGAGATTGGAACAGCTGCGGCTACCGGAGCAGAGGTGGGAGCAGCGGGAGCGGACTGTACGCCAAGACCAGCTGGGACTGCGGGAATGAAGGGGATACCAGCAGGGGGGCCAGACATGATGTAGAGCGAAGAACTGAGGAGTATATGCGCGAGAACGATGAATGCTTGGATGAGAGACGACGAAGGTCGAAGACGAGAGAGGCGAGAGACAGGGGAAGTAATCTAAGTCTGAACGCGTCTTAGATTACATAATGTTCACGTGATCGCTACGAAGGCCCTGTTGACTGCGTCCAAGATCGCAGGCTCACTAGTTAGCAGTAAACGTCCACCTAGCTATGCCTAGCTAGCTCTGGATGCTTTTGCTGAGGCGGGGAAGTGTACGGGTCAGTCAGAAAAGCTATCTAATTATATAGGCAGAGAAACAGGCTGCAGGCACGGTTTTGGCTCCAAACCCTAGGCCCAGCCTGTACGTGCATACTGCGATCTATCCTCCTGCTATGTGGCTCTAGCATCGCTCTAACCCTGTGTCTATTTCGCATACCTGAAGTGCCTCTGAGTACGTGCGCCCTAACCATGCCATTTGATTCTACTCGCGACGAATCCGAACGAAGAACGGGAGAGGAAGAGATCCAAGTGATCGGCCAAGGTATTCCACTGCAGTCATTGCGTTTTCAGCTAGATAGTGGGAATGAGTATGTGAACTACCGCCGCAAATTGTGGCAATCGTGGTATGCCCTTCTTGCATACTGTTGCGCGATGCAATGTGTGAACCCTTATTGGGGCTTGCAGGTTACCAAGGAATCCGCCGGCTCCACCCCCTCCGTCATTGGAAGATGCAGAAGTAGGCAAATTTGTTACAAGAGGAAAACATAGCAACTAACATGATTCCTTTATGCAGCTAACGCCTCTTGCCAATGCTTCCCTCTTTTCTCGCCTGACATTTTCCTGGATCACGGACATAATGGAGCTCGGCTATCAGCGCACTCTCCAAGCCTCGGACTTGTATAAACTTGATCCATCACGTGAAGCTGGTCCTCTCTCTGAGAGGCTTGAGGCTGCGTGGTTCAAGCGTGTCCAGGCAGCAGCAGATTGGAATGTCAGGTTAGAGAGTGGCGAAATACGTCCTTCCGTTTTAAGGCGCTTAGTGTGGGCAATCATTGCGATCCCTTCTCGAATGGACCGTAAACATGGGTCGGAGAAACGGAACTACTCGGAGAGACGAGCAGCTCTGGAGAAACACTAGAAAGGCGTGGACGGGAAGAAAGCAGCGAGCCTTGTATGGGCACTCAACGATGTATTCGAGTGGTCGTTCTGGCTTGGCGGGGTATTCAAGGTATGCTAGATGCCACATGTATCATGGAAATTGTCACTGGATGGCCATATGTATACGTCTGAGAACAGGTGCTAGCAGATACGGCCCAATCGATGTGCCCACTTGTACTCAAAGCCATCATATTGTTTGCGGAAGAACGATCAGCAGCACGTGCAGCCGGTGCACCCCTCCCGAATGCCGGTCGTGGAATTTCCATGGCTCTGGGCGTGTGGTTATTGACAATTGTGACAAGGGTATGTAGCCATCAGGTATGAAATTTCATGTTTGATTCTACTGTCCCATTGACTAATCATGCCTTGGACGACGCTTCATGATAAATGATTAGTTCTTCTGGCGTTCAATGTCGACAGGGGTCCTTGCGCGTGCCGCCCTTATTGCGTCTATTTATGAGCGTGGCATCAATCTCACAGGAAAGGAAAGGGTTAAACTGACAAATGCAGCTCTGGTAAACTACATCTCTACGGACGTAAGTCCTTCCTCCCTTTGACAACAGTTCGTGTACACGTACGTTTTCAGGTGAGCAGGATAGATGCATGCGCACAGTGGTTTGTGAGTTTCTTCATTCATAACCTGGAATGATATGTACTTAGTCTCCCTACTTTCCAATTTAGCATGCAGGTGTGTCTTGCTCCGTGTTGTCCTCTCGACGTAGTAACAGTTCTTCACAGCTTGGACCGCACCAATTCAAGTGGCCGTTTGTCTCATTATACTCCTGATCGAGGTATGCGACATTTGGCCTATAACGATTAGATTCCTGACGCTCGCCACCAGCTAGGACCCTCAGCTCTGGCAGGTTTCTCCTTATTCGTTCTTATTATTCCATTGCAGCAATGGATGATGGCACTACAACATCGGACCCGTCTACGTTCCATGATAGGAACAGAGCAAAGGACCAAAGTTTTATTAGAAGTTCTAGGTGTGCATCAATTCTGTTTCTAGGAATCACCATTCATATGATGGCGCGGATGGGAATCCAGGGGCAATGCGTGTTATTAAGTACTTCTCCTATGAGGTGCCATACTTGCGAAGTGAGGATACTCATTTTGTGCGTCTCGTATCTGAATGTGATACCATCTGTCAGAACTATTTGAGCTACGCAAGAAGGAACTACGGGGCATTCGTAGAATCCAGTTCTCGACCAGTGCAAAGTTTGAAATTTCCGTCCTCCCGTTAGCACGACTTACTTGTTATCTAGTTTCGCGCTAGCAATGTCACTTCCCGTTCTCGCAGCAACACTGTCGTTCGTCACATATACGCTTACTGCTCACAACTTCAGTTCCGCGATTATCTTTTCTAGTCTGAGCTTATTCCAAGTGATGCGCTTTCAACTGCCGCACGGCGCATTGATCTTTCCTGCACTGAACTAGCTCCTTCGTCAACCAATGATGTTCATGCCACGCGCACTTTCCCTGATCCCGGATGCCGCTTCCGCGATCCAACGGCTGTCACGTATTTTTCATGCAGAACTTATCAAGGGCGATACGTTGATGATTGACAGGACCCAGGAGTATGCAGTCGCTGTCTGCGATGCAACATTTGAGTGGGAGTCGCCCGAAAAGCTTAACGAGGTCTCCGATACCTTACTTAGTGGCAGAAGGAGTGGTGCACGTGCTAATAGAAGTCCAAGCCCAGAGGGACAAGGGAGCCATGGTGGAAGTCATGCTAATGCGAAAGAAAAGGACAGATTGTTTAAAGACGCACCAGTGTTTAAAGTTAGGGGTATCACCCTGAATATACCCCGTGGTCAACTTGTTGCCATCGTAGGTCCCGTAGGCAGTGGCAAGGTTTGTTGCCTTGCAGGCTCTGCAAGGGTCAAGATGACTTACCTGTTTGTAGTCGAGCCTTCTGCAGGGGATCATAGGTGAGATGAGAAAGGTCTCCGGTCACGTTTCATTTGGCGGAAGGATAGCATATTGTCCTCAGACTGCCTGGATCCAGAATACTACGCTGGTGAGTGCCTGATGGGTCATTTTCGGTGAATCGGTCTACACTTCTCAGTACGCAGAGGGAAAATGTACTGTTCGGACAATTTTTCGACGAGGAGAAGTACTGGCGGGTAATTGAATCGGCGTGCCTTCTCCCTGATCTGCAACTATTGCCCGACAGTGACTTGACAGAGGTATTCTTCACGGAGTTCGCAGCTTGGATCTGGTTAACTTACTTGCGTGGAAAGATCGGTGAGAAGGGGATAAACCTAAGCGCTGACCAAAAACAGCGTGTCAACATTGCTCGGGCCCTCTATCACGACCCCGAAATCGCCATCTTCGACGATCCGCTCTCCGCTGGTATGTCTGCAATTGCACCCCGGATGTTTCAAACAACTAACCTACTGATGGTCATGCAATGTAGTTGATGCCCATGTTGGCAAATCTCTCTTTGAGGATATCTTCGTTGGATCGTTGCGCTCCCGGGGGATCACTGTTGTTCTGGTCACCCATGCCATCCATTTCTTACCCCAGGTCGATTACATATACACGATCAGCAATGGACCAATTGTGGAGAGTGGGACATATCAAAAGCGTGTTATGACGGATGGGGAGTTTGCGAAGTTAGACCGAGAGTGTGGTGGACGAACGGAGGATATCAAGGGCGAAGGTGAAGAAGAAGAAGGCTCCGAGCGCTCTGTCCTGCCTCCGAGGATTGTGACTATCGAGGACGTGAAGCTGAAGGCTGCCCAAGCGCGCGAGAAAGCGACTGGCAAAGGAAAGGTGGAGGGTCTGTTGATCGTCAAGGAACAGCGCAGGACTGGATCTGTGTCACTGAAAGGTGCGTCTCGGTTTAGGATAAGCTCGCTTCCAATAGCAAGGTAGCTCATCGCGCTACCTCAATCTACTGGTCATACATAAAGGCTGGCCGTGGTGTTGTCACGTTACCTCTCGTTTTGCTCTTTTTCCTTATTATGCAAACGAGTCAGGTCATGAGCTCCTACATCCTCGTTTGGTGGGAGTCCAAGTAAGTCAAGTTGATGAGCAACTACTTGGCACTACTTAGACCTTTGGCAGTACCTGGCGTCGATCAAACTCCTTTTACCAGACCCTACACGGATGTCTAGGTGTTGCGCAAGCACTATTTACATTTTTCCTGTGCGCGGACGTTCCTGTCCTCTGTCTCAGTCGCTTATTGAAATACGGCGTCATGACAGCGGCGCAAGCGTCGATCTTATGGGTTATTTTGTCTCGCAGAACCTACATTACCAGTCTGTTCAGAAGGTGTTTTATGCTCCCATGTCACTCTTTGATACTACCGTAAGTTCTACGTGCATCGCACATTCGGCATGCGCTTGATTCACCACGGTTATTGGCCACTTGGCAGAATTCTCGGCGTCTTCGGCAAAGACGTGGATAGTGAGTCTTTACTCCATTTTGAGTGTACGAGTTCTCCCAGTGACGCGTAGCTATGGATAATCAGCTTGCTGGTGAGTCTTTCGGACACAGTTTCCTATCCACCACTAACCCCCTCCTAGTCTCGATCAGATTGCGTAAGATTCCCGCTGATGTCAACCATACGTGGATACTGAGTTTTGCTACCAGTTTGTCTTACATTGGCATCTGTTCTAGGATCAGTCGTCGTCATTTCCGTCCTGGTGCCCTACTGCTGTGAGTGGTGCCTGTTGTCAACATTTTCCTGGTTAACGTTTCTGCAAAATAGTCATAGGTGTAGTCTTCGTTGGCATAGGCTACGGCTACTTCGCCGCATTTTATCGTGCCAGTGCTCGAGAGGTCAAACGACTAGGTGCGATTTTGTTCTTGTTACATTTTACTACGCATTTATTCTCCATTTCTTGCTAGACTCCATGTTCCGATCATTGTTGTATGCTCACTTCTCAGAGACATTCACTGGGCTCCCGACCATCCGTAGTTATGGAGCGACGAAGCGCTTTATCATGGCAAACAGATATTATATTGATCTTGAGGACAGAAGTCTATACCTCGTAATCACTAACCAGAGGTGGTTATCTGTCAGGCTCGACTTCATGGGCGCCATGCTCGTGTTCTTCGTGAGCAAGAAGCCCCGTGTTAGATGCGTCCATGTCTCATTGTTACTCCCAGGTTGCACTTCTTACAGTTACGGATGTATCCGGAATCAATGCCGCACAAATTGGTCTTGTTCTGACATACACTTGTCTGTTCTCACCTCCCTTCCATCTGTGGAATCCTTAATTTTATTCACAGTGACGCTGACGCAGTTTGCTTCTTTAATGACGAGACAGTCGGCGGATGTCGAGGTGAGATATTCTTTAGTTTTGTAGTATCACGTTGGTTCTGACGCTACCCAAGAACAATATGAATTCCATTGAACGAAGTGAGACATTCATGTCGCTTAAGAGGTGTTCGGTTGTACTAACTCGATGGAAGTTGTTCAGTACACACGGAAGGGAACGGTACCCCAAGAGGCGCCCCATGAGATTCCAGGCAACAAGCCCCCACCTGAGTGGCCCCGAAGTGGAGCAGTTCAGTTTAGAGATGTTCAAATGAGCTACCGACCCGGACTGCCACTTGTCCTTAAAGGAGTCTCACTTTCTATCGAAGGAGGCGAAAAGATTGGTGTCGTTGGAAGGTATGGTGTGACACAGATATCAATTACGGGGTTAACAGGTGTACAGAACGGGCGCTGGGAAATCATCTTTGATGTTGACACTGTACCGTATCGTTGAATTGTCGAGCGGATCCATTGTTCTTGACGGGTATGGCCGGCTCTCATCTGTCTGACTGAATGAGTTAATTCTATTCCAGTATTGACATATCGACACTTGGTCTCAAGGACCTTCGTACCAAAATATCCATCATACCTCAAGATGTGCGTTTTCGATCGTATGGTACTGATTGTGGCTAATAGCGTTTACTGCCTAGCCTCTCCTCTTCAGTGGTATGCAGCCGATCTAATGTGGGTGATATCTAGAGCGATGTTAACTCTGTGTATAGGGACGATCAGGTCAAACCTCGATCCGTTCAGCAAATACGACGACGCCAAGTTGTGGGACGCATTGCACCGATCTTGCCTTATAGACCCGCCATCTGCGAAAGATGGAGAATGCGAGTCCGGCGAAGAGATGCGCACGGACCGTTACACACTTGACAGTACCATTGAGAGCGAAGGCACCAACCTGAGTGTTGGCGAACGGTCTCTGCTCAGTCTTGCACGTGCGCTCGTGAAGGGTTGCAAAGTCGTCGTACTAGATGAAGCTACGTGAGTTCTCAGTACATCTTATTTTTGACACTACAGCGGCGATTAATTTCCTGTGCGAAATAGTGCATCTGTCGGTCTAGAGACCGACCACAAGATTCAGAATACTATCAAAACCGAATTTCGCGATTGCACCCTGCTCTGCATTGCCCGTGCGCGTTCTACGTCCACATTATAAGGATGTTGACTCACCTGTTATATTCAGATCGTTTACGTACCATTATTTCATATGATTGCGTTCTTGTTATGGACGCCGGGATGGTAGCTGTGAGCCAAACCTTACTTGGTATTTCTTGTTTGAACTTGACGATCTATTCCCAAAGGAATTCGACACGCCTTATAACCTGTACCAGAAAGAGGGAGGGCTATTCCATGGGATGTGTGAGAGGAGCAATATTACCTTGAAGGATATTGAAGCCAGTAGATGTGAAAAGGGTGAATACCGCGAGCAATAGCCATGCTGCCGTTGTCATTTCCATGTAACAATCAAGCTTTCGATACATTGCATTTAGAGGAGCATTTGAATGTAGTTGCTCCCGTGAACAGTACCGGTAACCATCAAACGTTCTCCATAGCAGAGGATCGAACTGTCACGTGGTGCATCACTCATTCTCATACTAGTAAGTTACCAATATTGTCGGTTGGATATGTGAAGTTCGTCGTCACCCTGTGTATCTGCCATATCCTGATCGGACATGGTGGGGCACTGGTTGTATTATGGTGCATACCGAGTATGCTAATTTCTTTGGGCATTAGTTGGGTATCTGAATCGCTGGCCGGCTATACCATGTAAGTATATACAATCTGACAGTGCGCTTCAAGCCTACTTCTATCCGCAGGCTGAACATTTCCACAAATCTTGGAACATGGCAGCAATGCCGTACCCCGTTCTTGTCGTTCCAGCAGCTGGGAAACATACGGCAACCATTTTCTTAGTGCACGTGGGTATCAGCGTCGTCATGTGCTATGAGTTTTTCACCCGGCGTAACTTACAACTTTTCCTTGGTTTTTCTAGGGGCCTAGGTGATCCAGATAACGGATGGACAGCTGCCGCAGAGTCACTTCCCCTCCCTACAGCACGTTAAATGGGTTCTTCCTTATGCCCAAAGCAGGCCTGTGACCGTCAATAACGGCAACGAAGTACTCGCCTGATTCGAGTGTGCTTTGAAGGGTCGGAAGAACAGTACGAGCACCCCATCGGGAGAACAAAAGATGGCGCACAATGAGTTCGAGGATCGTGAGGGTACACTTCGATAAGTGCAGATCCTCAACGATATCATTAAGCAGGAAATTGAAAGTGGACTGGGTGCAGATAAGATAGTATTAGGAGGAGGATTCAGCCAAGGATTGTCGCTCTCGACTGGGTTGACAGACGAGCATAAGTTGGGAAGTGTGATTGCACCTCCAGAAAGAGTTCAAGGGTGAGTGATGGTTTACGAACATCGATGATGGCGAAGTCAACCTGGTGCGCTCTGTTGCCAAATGATCACTCAGCATGCTCGGTCTGCATCAATCCTTGGGCCTACATGGATGTAGATCCGCTCGTGCCCACCCTTGAAGCTGGTGGATCAATACGTCAATTTCCTCATGATTTTTGGGATTTCGTGCCTAAGGCAGGAAGAATTCGGAAAGCCTGGCGTTGCTTTGGTCACCTACTGCTGGACTTGGACACTCTTTGTCTGAGGATCTTGAATTGACTCGATAACGAAGTAGACCTGAGGCCGAATCCTTACAGAAACCCAGCACTTGTTCGTCGAGTCTGCCAGTGGCTTCCATGCCGATCGTACAGTACTTGAAACAGGCTTAGAATATTATCAAAGGCGCACCAGCAGCCTTCGCCTCTGAACAAGTATGTACAGTCACTTGCGAAAGGCATCATTGCGGTGGATGTACATATTACGAGTATCCCGCCTCTGCTGAATCATTTGCGACGACTCATCAACGTTTGCCGTTCTAAATCTAATCGAATTACTACATACGTCAGACTCACTAATTAGTAATACCCTGGCCTCCATACTAGATCCGAAGGCTCCGGATTCGGAATCGTGCAGTACTGTTCGCCTCCAACTACATCCGTGTCTTGTTCTTTTTGCTTGGGACTCTGCGCTCTATCAGTCGAGGGAGACCTACAACGCCAGCAGCGTTCTCTGACTGGGTGCACGAGATAGGGTGTGATACTATTTGTCCTCGAACTGGTTCCAGTCGATTTGATCCCTGCCATCGTTGGTAAGTCCTTCACGTGTCTTGCCAGCGCTGTTCCGTGATGTGTCTCCGTATAAATTCGAAGGCGCCATTATACACCTGGTCGTTTATCCTCGAACTGGTTCCAGTCGATTTGATCCCTGCCATCGTTGGTAAGTCCTTCACGTGTCTTGCCAGCGCTTCTCCGTGATGTGTCTCCGTATAAATTCGAAGGCGCCATTGTATACCTGGTCGTTTATCCTCGAACTGGTTCCAGTCGATTTGATCCCTGCCATCGTTGGTAAGTCCTTCACGTGTCTTGCCAGCGCTTCTCCGTGATGTGTCTCCGTATAAATTCGAAGGCGCCATTGTACACCTGGTCCACATACCAGAGATACAAGTTTCTCCCGGTCGCATCAAGGTCGACTGACAATGCCGGATTCACTACATAATCCGTCCGAAACCAGTGTACCTGAGAAAGAGGAGGGACCCCCCGCTGATATGACCATCGTCCCCCAATCCCTGCGTCTCCGACTAGATACTGGTAATGAGTACGTTAAATATCGTCAGAAGTTCTGGCAGCTATGGTGCGACCTCCCACTCATCCGCGTCCGACAAGCAGATCAAATGATACTTATTTGTCTTGCTCATGTAGGTTACCCGGGAACCCACCCCCTCCTCCACCCCCTTCCTTGGAGGATGCCCAAGTGGGTGAACCAGTTGCGGTGGTAGTCATCTATTGCCTGACACAGGCATTCTCCCCGTAGTTAATACCCCTCGCAAACGCTTCCATATACTCTCAGCTCACCTACTCGTGGATGACAAACGTGATTGCACTTGGCTACCAGCGTACCCTCCAAGCATCAGATTTGTACAAGCTGGACTTGTCGCGGCAGGTTGGCCCACTGGCGGAAAAGCTCGAAGCTGCGTGGAGAAGGCGTGTTAAGGCAGCAGCTGATTGGAATACTAAATTAGATCGGGGCGAAATGCACCCTTCTATCGTGAAACGGCTGAAATGGGCTATCCGTGCGATTCCATCGGAGAGGGGACCTCGAAAACGTACTTATTCGGAGCGTCGTGCTGAATTGGAACAGCACTGGAGGGAGGTGGGAGGGAAGCAACATGCAAGTCTTGCATGGGCTCTTAATGATGTGTTTGGCTGGTCTTTTTGGCCCGGCGGAGTTTTCAAGGTATGCCAGCTCAAATACCTTTCTTTCTGGACGATAAACGATCATCCGCGAACAGGTAGTCGGAGATGTGGCTCAGTTAATGGGGCCCCTCGTCCTCAAAGCCATTATATCGTTCGCTGAGCAACGCTCAGCTGCGCATTCAGCTGGTGAACCGCTTCCTAATGTTGGTCGCGGTATCGGAATGGCGATAGGATTGTGGGCCCTAACGATTGTGACTAGTGTGTGCACCAATCAGGTGAAACACCGTGCATTCATTGCGTTACCATCGAAGTGACCATTCTTTTGCAACGTTGCTCGTTGCTTACTCTCAGTTCTTTTGGCACTCCATGGAAACGGGCATCCTTGCGCGTGCTGTTCTTATTGCTTGCATCTATGAGCGTGGTGTCAAGCTGACTGGAAAGGAGAGAGTGAAACTTACGAATGCCACCTTGGTCAACCATATTTCCACAGATGTGAGCGACCATTATTTCGGAAAATTAACGAGGTATGGATTCCTTCGTAGGTGAGCAGGATAGATGCATGTGCACAGTGGTTTGTGAGTCTTTTGCCATTCTTCGTCGAAGACATACATATACATATACATTTGCGATTTAGCATGCGGGTGAGCTTGCAAGCAATGCAACTTTTCTGTATCTTGATACTTATGACCTGTCGCAGCTTGGACGGCACCAATTCAAGTGGCTGTCTGTCTGATTATACTCTTGGTGGAAGTATGTCGTACCCATGCATTCATCCGCTGATTCCCTGATCCTCCTGCTGTTAGCTAGGACCGTCCGCTTTGGCGGGTTTCTCTATGTTCATTCTTATCATTCCCATTCAAAAGCGGTTGATGGCACTACAACGCCGGATCCGTCAGCGGTCTGTGGTGTGGACAGAGCAAAGGACCAAGGTATTACTGGAGATTTTAGGTGCGTACCGATCTCACTCCGGAAGGATACGTTGCTAACGGGAGATTCAGGGGCGATGCGCGTTATTAAGTATTTCTCCTACGAGATGCCTTATTTGCACAGTGAGTATATGGGTTGTTTGCGTGCAGTCCTACCGTAACTCTATGTTGCAGAGCTGTCTGGTTTGCGCAAGAAGGAGTTGCACGAGGTCTGCAAAATCCAATTCCTGACAAGTGCAAGGTACGTCTTGAGTACCCCTTCCTTAACTGCGCGGATTATATGTGCCTGTTGTATCCAGTTTTGCATTGGGAACGTCTTTACCGATTCTCGGAACGACGCTGGCTTTCGTCACGTACACGCTCACGTCGCACAACTTCAATACGGCAGTTATATTTTCCAGTTTAATCTTGTTTCAAGTAAGCTATCCTCAGTGTAAGATGTTTCATGCTCACAAACTTGTCGCCTCCCGTGGTTTTCAGCTCCTCCGTCAACCAATGATGTACATGCCCCGCGCCCTTGCCGCAATACCAGATGCTGCCTCTGCTCTCGAACGGCTATCAGATGTTTTCCGCGCGGAACTCATTAAAGGCGAGACGATGGTAATCGATAAGTCTCAAGAAGAAGCAATCCTTATCCGCGATGCGACGTTCGAGTGGGAGTCGTCTGAGAAGATTGACCTGAGTATTCCCGATTTCTCGTCCAGGGGTGGAAGAGGCGGAGCACGTGGTGGAAGAGGAGGGCGCGGCGGTGGGCGTGGGGGCCACAAGGGTGGTCACGCGAAGACCGGCAAGAAGGACGAGTTACGTAAAGACACGCCCGTATTCAAGGTGCAAGGTGTCAACTTAACCATTCCTCGTGGTCGTCTGGTCGCCGTCGTGGGTCCTGTTGGCAGCGGGAAGGTACGCCAGGTCTCGTACATCGTGCTGCAGCAGCTAAATGAATCGATCTGTACAGTCGAGTCTTCTACAAGGTATTATAGGCGAGATACGGAAAGTGTCTGGCCATGTCTCGGTCGGTGGTAGGGTGGCATATTGCTCTCAGACAGCTTGGATCCAGAACGCCACGCTGGTATGTGTGTTTTTCCCTCCCTCCGATGGACCACTAAATGGACACCGATCCAGAGGGAAAACGTGTTGTTCGGACAACCTTTTGATGAAGAGAGATACTGGCGTGTGATTGAGTTGTCGTGTTTTCTCCCTGATCTAGCATTACTGCCGGATGGCGACTTGACGGAGGTAGCTTGAATGTTTTGCGACTTGTTATTTGCTTAGCTTACAGATCTTCACAGATCGGAGAAAGGGGCATTAATTTGAGCGGCGGACAAAAGCAACGTGTTAATATCGCAAGGGCACTGTACTTCAATCCTGAAATCGTCATTTTTGATGATCCACTTTCCGCTGGTCTGTCTTCGTTCCCCGTGATAGCTGAAACTACTCATAGCCCTGTCGTAGTTGATGCTCATGTTGGCAAGTCTCTTTTTGAAGGCGCCATCCTTGGGTCACTCCGCAATCGTGGGATTACTGTTCTTTTGGTCACACATGCCATCCACTTTCTCTCTCAGGTCGACTACATATATACAATGAAGGATGGGATGATCGTTGAGAGCGGGACGTTCGGCGAGCTGCTTGAACAAGATGGAGAATTCGCAAGGTTGGCCCGAGAGTACGGCGGTCATACTGAGGACGCGAAAGAGGACAGTGAGGAAGATGAAGCTGTTCCGCAACATAAGAACGTGACAATCGAGGATGTGAAACTCAAATCTGCCAAAGCACGTGAACGGGCGGAGGGGAAGGGAAGGGTCGAAGGCCATTTGATGGTCAAGGAACAGCGTAATACAGGATCTGTATCTCTTAAAGGTGCGTCGGGCGATTACTTCGAGCTGTGTCGGGACACTCACACCCCTTCCTTAAGTGTACTGGGCATACCTGGCTGCTGGGCGTGGCGCTGTTATGCTACCGCTCATTATAACGTTCATGGTCTTGATGCAAGTAAGCCAGATTATGAACTCGTACACTCTCGTTTGGTGGGAATCGAAGTGAGTCGATCATCTGTCCGTTTGGGATACAGTGTTCATGTTTGGACAGTACTTGGGACCGTCCCAACTCATTTTATCAAATCCTATACGGGTGCCTCGGTGTCGGACAAGCGTTGCTCACTTTCATCCTGTGGGTGTTTGACTTATCCCTGGTCATCGACACTTAATACGATTGTCCATACAGAGGTGCAAGCGTAGACTTCATGAGTTATTTTGTCTCCCAGAACCTACATCAGCAGTCCATTAAGAAGGTGTTCCATGCGCCCATGGCGTTTTTTGACACCACTGTAAATTTTCCTGGTTACTCGGGAAGCATATGAATTAATTGACTATGCTTTTCTCAGCCGGCAGGCAGAATTCTGGGCGTGTTTGGAAAAGATGTGGACAGTGAGTGGTTCGTTGCTCTCACCACGAAAGGATACTAAGAGGAGTGCAGCGATGGATAACCAGCTAGCTTGTGAGTTAATGAACATAGCCATCTCGTTTATTAGCTTAACTCGCGTTTCCAGTCTCGATCAGGTTGCGTAAGACAAATGTCCACATTCATCTGGCCCTGCATCTGATTTCGCAACAGTTTGCCTTACGATGTCTATAGTCATGGGGGCTGTTATTATTGTTTCCATTCTGGAACCATATTTCCGTGAGCTTGCCGCACGTTCCACCACTTTTTTTACTGAGCCGGATGTCGCATTTGATAGTCATCGCTGTAGTGTTTCTAGTTCTAGGTTACAGCTACTTCGTCGGGTTTTATCGCGCTAGTGCCCGAGAGGTCAAGCGATTAGGTATTCGACTTCTCAAATTTCTGAATCTGCTAAAAACTCAGAAATGCTTTGCTAGATTCGATGCTCCGCTCCTTGCTATATGCTCATTTCTCGGAAACGTTCACCGGCCTTCCTACCATACGTAGTTATGGAGAGATGAAGAGATTCGTCGGGGCTAATAGATATTACGTTGATCTGGAGGATAGGAGCTTGTACCCGGTTATCGCAAACCAGAGGTGGCTTGCTGTCAGGCTTGAATTCATGGGCGCGATGCTTACGTTCCTCGTGAGTAGTAGTAGTCACCTCTTCGTCTTTTCGTTCTTATGGGTATACTTTACGCAGATCGCTTTGCTTGCGGTCACCGATGTGTCTGGCATTAACGCTGCACAGATCGGCCTGGCATTGACCTATACCAGTGAGTGCGCTCTCCAATGGATTCTGTTCGTCGGGCATACGTATTTTCCGTGTAGTGATGCTGTCGCAAATGCTCTCCTTCGTGACTCGGCAGACGGCGGACGTCGAGGTAAGGGTGTTTCGTGTGATCGTGCTTGCGTCCGTGATCTTTGACACGCACTTTGAAAAAGAACAACTTGAATTCGGTCGAGAGGAGTAAGGTTCTGTTACTTGCAGTGACTCCTGTTGACCAATCGGACAGTGGTACAATACACCAAGGAGGAAACTGTTCCTCAAGAGGCTCCCCACGAGAAACCCGATGCTAAGCCCCCAGCTGACTGGCCTCGCAAAGGTGCCATCGAATTCAAGAATGTGCAGATGAGCTATAGGCCTGGACTGCCGAACGTCCTCCATGGGATCTCGCTTTCTATTCAAGGAGGCGAGAAGATCGGTATAGTTGGAAGGTGCGCGAGTCCGTACAGAGGTACCTATGATAGGATGGAACTAACGGTATATAGGACGGGCGCAGGGAAGTCGTCTTTGATGCTGGTACTGTACAGAATCGTGGAGTTGTCGGGTGGATCTGTCATTCTGGACGGGTAATATTCCCTTTTAGGGGATAGGTCCGATGTGTTCACGTGTTTTGTTTGTAGCATCGATATATCGACTTTGGGATTGAAGGATCTTCGTACCAAGATATCTATCATACCGCAGGATGTGCGTCTTCGGGGCTGCTTGCAGTGATGATGATGATGACTGATAGCTAGCATATCCAGCCTCTTCTTTTCAGTGGTATGTATGCGCCCGATGTGATGTGTGTCGGTTGGCCATGACCTCTGAACGCAGGTACAATCCGGTCAAACTTGGATCCTTTCAATCTATACGACGATGCCAAGTTATGGGATGCACTTTACAGGTCGTGCCTTGTCGACCAACCGTCTGTTAAAGACGAGCGCGGCGAAGAGACGCACACCAACAGGTATACGCTGGACACCGTGATCGAGAGCGAAGGAGCCAACTTGAGCGTTGGCGAGCGGTCGTTGCTCAGTCTTGCGCGCGCACTTGTGAAGGATTGTAAGGTTGTCGTTCTCGACGAAGCTACGTGAGTTTCAAATGACTCCTTTCTTTTGTTTGTTTTTCGTATCACGAGTGTTGGGTTGATCTGTTATGCAGTGCATCTGTCGACCTGGAGACGGATAACAAGATCCAGCGAACTATCACGACCGAGTTCCGAGATCGTACCTTGCTTTGCATCGCGCGTGCGTATCTCCGTCAGTAATAGTGTGTGGGGTTGCACTTACAATATTATTATTATTGCGGCGTTGCGCGATTTCGCAGACCGATTACGTACGATTATTTCTTACGACCGCGTTCTCGTTATGGACGCTGGTAAAGTTGCTGTGGGTTTACATTTTATCTCTGTGTTCCGTGTTTTCCGTGCTTGCCTTGACGGCGACGAATCTTTCTTTTCGTCACAGGAATTTGATACGCCCTATAGTCTATACCAGAAGGAGGGAGGGTTGTTCCGAGGGATGTGTGAGAGGAGTAATATCACGTTGAAAGATATCGAGACGGGTTGATATGTGGTACCTAGTTAGATCCAGAACCGCTATATACTCTCGTCCGACTGGTTTCGCGAAATTTTTCAGTAGTACAAGAATGATCACATGTCGGCCCTTCTACAGGAGCGAGTTCAGTCTTTCAGACCCAAATTTGTCTTACGATGCGGCATGGCAACCACGTTTTTAGTTCCGGTTGGGATCCGGTGTTATTGGGCATAGTCCGCCGGGAACGGAGTTCCAATTATCGCTACGACCACGATTGCCTTTTGCAGGGCTGCAGTCACGCGCACCTCTGGTATCTTGCTATCATTCGCTCGAATTGGCAGCTGGAATGCACCTCGAAGGACATGCCAGTGAGAGATATCTGCGGTGATAATGCTAGCTTTCCAATTTGCGTATGTCCTTTACTCCGGGATCTCTTGGATCTTGGGTATCTTGTGTGTGCCATGTTTTTGACATATTTGTACACATTGTAGCGATTCAAGGGGTTCAACTCAATCTGTGAGTCTCGGTTATGCCAACGACACGCAGGCGGGCATGAGCCATGCATTGCACTGCCAGCTTGTGGAGTGTCTCTTGGAGCGCAATCGTATGATTAAGAACCAACGTTGAAACGCATTTTCCCTGCCACTTGATATATGATAGTTGGTACACATATTGCAAGTCGAGATCGACTTCTCCCGAAAGACGCGGGGAAGGCGTCTGGAAGCCTTCGTGTGGCGAGTGTACAGGTTACATGGAAATAGATATTGATAGACTACGATTTATGAGTACTCGCATGCCGACATCGTGTGTATGTGTTGGAATAATCGGGTTCGGATATGGTGCCAGGGACGGAAGAACGAGCTCGCCGCGGGTCTGTAACAGGCAACCACGGGCCATCAAAGTAGACACGTGGGCCATACATGAAACAAGGGTGATGGCACTGCCTTTTGGCCATACATGCGTCGGATGCCTAAGCCACCTGACGGGCGGAGAGCTTGGCTGGCGCCTATTGGTGGGGGAAGACAGGGAGGCCGACGATGGAAAGTTAGTGATAGGATTGCGGATTGATCCTATTCTTTTTGACGTACGATAAGGATTTGTTAGCCGGGGAGGGCGGAGTCGCAGGCGCCAATCGATCCGTGTGTTCGGGTCGGGTCGGTCTAGTGTGCGTGGATTGATATCTAGTGTGTACCGCGATCTAGGCCCGATCGAGGGGGGGAGGGAGGGAAGGCGCGTGTGAGGGTGCGTGCGTGCGCCTAGATGATATGAGGCTGCGCTGGACATGCGGCGTGTCGATGGTGCGGATCAAAGGAACGATGAGGAGCGTCGCTGGTGGTGAGGGGGTCCAGATGGGCGTTGAATGAATATCGGAGAGTGAGATAAAGGGGAGAGAGGAGAGTGTGCTGATCGATCACTCCCATGAAGGTGCAGCACGTGTGTTCGGTGCGTTGATCTGAGGTGTTTCTGGGCTTTGGGACTATGAAGGACGGACATGATAGTTGAGGAGGATGGCGGTCCCGAGACGACTGAGCTGATCGAGATCTGATGTTGCATTGCACGTGGAGTCAGTGAGTGGCCTGGACTCCGTGGGTAGAGGGCTGGCCGCTGCTTTGATACTTATCAACCTCGATTCCAACTTGGCTCGCAAACTGTTCCTTGTCCTTCAGTCTTTCTCTCTCCTTCTTTCGCATTTCTTCCCACTGTCTGGATCGGATCTGGGATTTGTTTGGTGCTGTTTGTCTCAGATTGCATCGTGGCGTGGATTGGATTGGATTGGATTGGATTGGATTGGATCGGGAGATTACACTACACTTCTCCATTTTCATCCAAACGCGTGCACTGACCACCTGAGGACTCCTCCGTTCGCCGTCCTCCCCGTCGCTGTCTCTGCTGTCGTCGCCATCGTCGTCGCCGTTCTCGACGATGTCCTCGTCCCACCAGCAACGCCATCCACACCACCAGCACCAGCAACAGCAGCAGCAACACGTGTCATCCCACAGCGACTTCCGACTGCCACCGCTCAAGTCGCTCAACTTCCAGTACAAATCACAGCCCCAGGACCAGGAGTATCAGCTCAACCAGGACACCCCCGTCAACGGAGCACCAGCTCCTTATCCTTACCGCTACGAACACGACCCCGCAGCTTCATGGCCAAACTCTGTCGGCCAGCCTGTCCCTCGCCAAGCACCGGTTGCAGCACCAGATGCCGCCCAGTCTGCTCGCACGTATCCAAATGCATCTTATCACCAAAAACACAGGGCCCCTCCTCCGCCTTCTTCCTTCCCCCACCCGTATCCTCCCCCTTCCTACCAGCAGCCATCTCACACCCCCTCCGCGTCCAACTCCACCTCCTACACGTCCTACAACACTCCCCCGTCCTACCCCTCCAGCACAACCTCCCCTACCTACTCGAACACTACCAGCCCAACGTACCCCACTTATGCCTCCCACCAGTACAGCACACCCACATCTGCTTATCCTCCCCCGCCCTCTCCGACACCGACACCGACACAGCCAGTACACACCCACTCCCCGGCTCACTATGTCCCTGCCTACCCGTTTGAAGACGCCAGGTCAGTACAGCCCCATCCACCGCCTGACCCACGGTATGCATTTCCGTCTATCTTTACACCACTCACTTACGCGTGATTCGTAAGTGATGCGCGCCCACCCGTCACTCAGCCAGAGCCAAGACAACGATATCCACACCCACATGCAGATGCGCGCACCCCAGACGTCGTTCGACAACCATATGCACCTCCGTCTGCACCCGCAGACCCTCGCTCAACATATTCCTCCGATGTCCGACCGTATCCTTCCCAGCACGACTCCCGTCCAGTATACCACCACCACATGGATGCATCTCGTCCTGGCGCGGCGTACACGCAGCCTCAGCCCGCGCCCGCTCCCCGCACTTCTTACGTCCAAGAGACCCCTCCACGACACACATATACCCAAGATCCTCGGCCACCACAATATCCTCCAGAGAGTCGCGCCGCTCCAGGAACAGGTACGTACCCAGACACTGGTGCACCGTCGTATACCACGGCCGACCAGGGCCGCCCCTCGTATATCCCGAGTGAGGCTCAGAGACCCGGGCCGTCATATGCCCCTCCTGAACAGCACCGCATCACTTCTTACGGTGCTGGCGAGCAACGGACATCATATACCGATGTGCGGGCCCCCACCTATGCTGCCAAGCCCCCCGACAACGGCAGCGCCCAGTACAAGCGGTGGCAGACCAGCATACGCTTCCGATCCCGGTCCTGTCGCGATAACTGCTCCTCCTCCCACGGCGGCTCCCCCTGCCCGTCCACCTGCAGTACCACACTCCGCGATGCATTATCCACCCTCGCACATACTGGCATACGCCGTTGCTCCATCAGCTGGCGAATCCCACGATGCAGGGCGTGCCGCAGGAATGCCGCCCTCGCCCGCTGCACACGGGCATGCGCACTCACATGCATACGGCCCTCCGCAAGTTCCCAGCACTCACCCTTCCCATTCCTCAGCACCCCCGCCGCACCCCCATCCGCAAAGTCATCCACATCTACAACCGCCCGTTTCTGGTTCTGCTCACCCTTCGTCCGCTCATCCACCTAGTTCCCAGCCTCCACACCAACAGCAGCAGCAGCAGCCTCCGCCACAGACTCAACCGCCCTCGCACCCACAGGTGGCACCACCATCCATGCACCCTCATGCACCTCCCCACCCCCAACCACAGCCGACGGTGCCCATGGTAGAACCACCACGCCCAGCCTACGTTTCCCCTGCAGATACGATGCATTCGAGACCGACGCGTTACGTGCATGGGCACGGTCATTCGATCGGGAGCCACGTGCCACCTTCTGGGTCAACTCACGCGGGACAAGTTGTAGATCAGGGTTTGGCAACGCCACAGGGTCAAGCGCAAGCGTATGCACCACCAGTCGCGAGCGTCGAGGACCGTGAACGTGCCGAACGCGAACGAGCGAGGGAACGCGACAGAGAACGCGCGATACGGGAGAGGGAGGAGCAGCGGGAGCGAGAACGCGAGCGGGAGGAACAGAAGGAACGGGAACAGAGGGAGCGGGAAAAGGCACGTGAGGCCGCGGAGAAGGTGCGTGAGATGGAGATGCAGCAACAACGAGAGAGGGAGGAGAAAGCGAGAGATACCGAGAAGGAGCAGGTGATGTTAGAGGTGTTGGAACACTGCAAGGTTCTGTACGACTTTGCCTGTCGATACGGTACGTGTTCTGCCTCCTCCACATCGTCATACGTACGTTTTGACGAGTGGGCTGACCTGCCCATTCAGCACAACTGCAATCGTCTTCCCCACATGTGCAGCCCGCGCCCCAGGAACTCGAAGAAATGAGCCGTCGAGCATCAGAGGTATTCCGTCTTCTCGAGTGTCTCAGGTCTCCCTCGGGTCTGGTTTCGTCGACACCGACATCCACGACGCTGACCGGCGGTGAGTATTCTCTCGTCGATACTCGTACGCCACGCCCTTAATTCTTCATAGGTGCTGGTCCATCCTCTGCGTCTATGGACGCCGATACCCGCCCACCCAAGCGACCTTGGGAGGAGACCCAATCTCAACAGCAAGCGACCCACTCTGGCTCGTTCCCGTCTGCTCCTGCAGGCAACATATCGGGGCCATCGACGAGTGCTGAGCAGACGGCAGCAGAGAAAGACATGGAATTAATTCGCACAAAACGCGCGATGACGACGAACCTTGCAGCAACAGCCGCTGGTGGTAGTGGAGGCGGAGGTTCGATCGGAGGTGGGACACCCATGGGATCTGGGAACTCTGCATCGAAAAACAAATATCGAAAGCGAAGCGTAAGTCGAGCATCGGTTTGTTGGCCTGTGTTCATGGTCTGAGTGCGAGCTGAATTGGGAATATTCCTGTAGCGCGCTACGCCTCCCGGCAAGTGTCATTCGTGTAATATCAGGGAGACACCCGAGTGGCGACGTGGTCCGGATGGGGCGCGGACCCTTTGTAATGCATGTGGCCTACGTGAGTGTCGTCTTCTCTTCTCATTTGTCCGTCTTTTCTCCGTCTTCGTTCTACTGTTCGGCTCCGTATGCTCTTTCATTTGAGGTCGCATGTGTTTCCCCGCGCCCGCGCCTTTTCCCTAGGTGCCGACTTGCCTGCGACTCATAGATCTGACTGTATAACACCAGACTATGCGAAACTCGTTCGGAAGCGCGAGAAGGCAGCCGCTGAGGGTGGCGGTGGTAGTGGCATGCAGATAGATATTGATATGTTGCGAGCGAGCGCGCGCGCAGTCGAAAACGACAAATCTCGACCGTCGGGGAGCAGTAGTACTTCTGGTGGAGGAAATGGTGGTGCCTCAGGATCCGACACGACCGGGATGACGGCGGTACATACAGGCTCGTTTCAGATTATGAACGTTACGATGACTTCAACCTCGGACAACAATCCGTCATCGTCCACGTCCACGACACAGACGCAAACATCGACTCCAACACATGCTTCTTCCTCTGTTCAGCACTCTTCTCCGTCGCATCAACCACGAACCACTGCATCTGGGGCTCCTCCGTCGCAACAACAACAACAACATCAGCCGTCCCAGCCGACGACGCACACGCATACGCCCCAAATCTCCCATACGCCAGTACCTCACTCTGCTGCACACGCGATCGGTCTCCCACCGTCATCATCCCATGCACTGCCATCTCCACATGGACAGCACTCCTCCCCGCACGTGCACCATCCCCAAGTTCCATCACAGCAACATGGCCATGCTCATGGTCGGGTGCACAACCCTCGGCATGCGACATGGCCTACTGCGAAGGGGTATCCTCCGCCGGATATGGTACAGCAGCAGCATCCACACCAGTCGTTCATGCGGACGTCGCATTCGGTGTCTAGTGGTGCTTCTCCACCTTAGGGTTGGATCGTAGTTGAGGATAAAAAAATCGGGGACGGGGAAATTTTAAATCCTCCCTCCTCAGTGAGCAAAAGTAACAAAGGGTTTCGCTCTTGAAAATATCCAATTCTTTCGCCCTTCTTCCTGCTCTTTTTTGTGGTCGTCTTTGTGCGATCAATGATGCACGTTACGTTTCCCCAATCATTTCAAATAATGTCGACGTCCTCTCACCCACTCAATAGTACTCATTCGTATACATATGGACCCTCATAGCAACTTCAACCTTTTCCCCCCCCTTTTTTCGCGTTTCAATGTCGTTCGGTACATAAGATGTACAAGTTATATCACACCCACCACCTGCTCGTAATACTTTCATGCTCCCTCCCTCATGCCTCCGCCTCTTTTTCCCTCGTCACTGGTTCAAACCCTCAGGACTTGGTACCAACAAGTTCTCGGTTCATTCGGTTCCTGATTTCTTTCTCTTTTTCGGTCGACTTCATGCTAACCTACACATTTATAGCTTGTATTTCCCTTACATAATACCCTCTTTCTTTTTTTAGGCGCTTGTCTGTATCCTCAATGATCCGCTAGTTTAAAAACAAACCAGCCAGGCTTGGCTAAGATCTAGATACTGTACTGTGTGAAACCGAAGTTTGTCTTTTGGGCTTCCACGATTGCACAGTGCGAGGTCTGGATGACGTGGGGTAGCTCGACATCCACGGCCTCGCATTGTGAGTTCGACGTCGAGTGCCCCCCATCATGCATCATGGACGACTCACCGGTAAATCCGCCGTCACCAAATCGGAAATGTTAGTATGTATCCCATGTGTGTGAGTAGGCGCAGATGCAGAATCTGTTCGCACCCAAAGGACTCTATCATTGGAGATCGAGAATGATGGCGATTCCATCGGCGCAAAAGGTACGTCTGACTAGTAGGACACGTGTTGTTGCTTGCCAAGTTCGAACACACAGGCAGGCTCACCGCTCACCATGATGCATCCGCTCGAACAACGAACAGCCACGAACAGTGCCAACGACGAACGACGCGATAATTAAACATTTACGTTACTGGCCAGTGTGTGTGGACCCCTGCGGGTTGGTTGGCAGTCATATTAGTGCTGGTCGATCACACGACGGTCCTTGTAAACGATTCACATGTGGTGGCCAATACGAAACGTTTTTTCTGAAAGGTACTGGTTTTCATCCGACGGAGGCCCAGCGGGCGTGTGTGCCTTGTCTTAATACCATCCACCGGCTTCGACATCTCTAGGCTGACACCAAAACAATACATATGTACACGACACGTGGTGCAAGTGCAAGTCAACCCATCCCCTGCCCGCTCCCATGATGCAGACCGTATCGCCATCTCCATTATAAATTGCCAAGTAGCGTGCGTGGGCCTGCAGGGAGGCAGCGTTATTGGCAAACGATCATCTTCCCGATCGTTATTTCGAGGCTTAAATGAACTCATAGTACCTGCTGCACAGCACGGCCCGCGCATAACATGACTATGATATGACGATCGACTCATGGATGCGGTAAGTAGCGCAATATTATCCACCGTGCATTGTGACACGCGTATCCAACGATGGCAGTCCAAGTTTCTGAACCTTGCTCATTTATTCTAAATTTTCATTTCAGCCTCTCACGTTATTCGCAGAGGGCTCGTATCGAATGGTCCGTCGCCTGAATTTGCCCGTCCGCCGGCTTGCACCCGTCCGCGGAGTTAATCGACTCCTGGTTGTCGTCGCTCTAACATTATTTGAGCGTGTCGAATCCCGCAGCTGTCATAGACATTTCGAAGTTTAACACGTTTTGGCCGCAGAATGATATGCCACAGACTCATCACTCAAATACACAGAACCAGGAGATTGCATGCGCAAGGACATATGAAAGTCTCTCACTGACCTCGGCCCCCGCGAACATGAAGTTCCGAGGATAAAACATTATTCCGTTTGGGTTCTCGAGCCCACTTAGTATCGGCGGAGTTCTTGAAGCACGTGGCCAGCGATCTACCTGTTCCCTTGCTATGTCGCGGGATGATAGTGGCGCCGCACGCGGCAGGCTGGCCGTCCGTGGAGAGACAATACGTGAATTGATTGGTTGATCATATTATTACACCAAGCTAGCGAAGATAACATGTGGCCCGCCAAAGCAGGACACCTCAATCTGAAGTGAACCAGAGGGAAATTCGTACGTAGAAAGAAAAGATGTGACACAGGTCATGTACTGATTTGAGCTCCTCTCGCACAGAGTCTCAGAGCTCCAAAAGCCGCCACTGCGGTAATGGGCTGCAGGGGCAATGGGAATCTTTAGAGTTGGACAAGTCTTGCTACTTTAGGTCTATCTACCAATGGTGTTATGTAGCTTGGCACCCATCACTGCACCCTTGTAGTGAAGTCCTCCCAGAACAGAAAAACCAATTACTTGAAAGGTACATTTTAGGATTATGTGAGAAGTTTTTTTTATTTATTTAAAAGATATTTGCTTTAAGTGCATGAGGGTCTAGTGACCCTATGTTGCACTATACAAATGCAGCTTTAAGCTAGCCTAGTATGGGCCCCCTGTGGCCCACCTATCCTCACAAGTGAGTGAATGCCCTGATGGCAGGCCATTGCCCCCCCATCAGTCTGCTGTTCCCACTGGCCATTTTAGACACTATGCCTTCTAGTGGGGTAAGCTTAGGACATCTCTAGATGCTAACCTGTATCTATGCTATCTTGGCTACTGTTAGGCAAGCAGATGGAAAGAGGCAACATGTTCTTATGGCTCTGCTGTTTGGAGGCTGTTTTTCAAGGTCACACAACACCCCTGACTTCCTCTTAGGGTGGAGTAGGAGTGGGTTGGGCTGTGGAGTACAGTGGTCAAAGTCTGAAGTGAATCTGACCACTGGGTGGTGAAATATTCAATGAACAGTGAGCAGAGGGGTATGGAGGAAAGTTTTGGAGGCTGAGGTCAGAGTCAGAGTTGGAGGTCAGAGGTCAGAGGTTGGATGAGAGGGTGTTGGGTTCAGCTAGTGCACTGCATGAGCTCAGCCCTCATATTTCAGAGGTGGAGCATACTCAGAGGGAGTGGAGATGAAACTCTGGAGGGAACTGAGAGGGAGTCAAACATGGGGACTTTATTCAATATTTGTACTGATTACATTAGAGTACTATGTGGCCTTATATACAATATAGGTCAAGGGTCATCAAGAAAATAACACTTCACTATTTTTGACTTTTTGTGACTAATGTGACTTTTTGGGAAGGAATCTACTATCATTACCCATGTCCTGCAGGCATGGCTGCACTTTTCTTGCTGATTTTGGTCTTGTTCAAACCACCTAATTCATGGCTTTCAGTAGATACCACATACATTCAAATTGATGGAGGTTCCAAAGAGATATTGTGATTTTTCTCTCAGACAGTGTGCATCACACCAATGGCTCAATATCTCTGAATTTTCAGACATTTTCTAGTCTTCTTGGCTTAGATATATCATCACTTAGTTGTCTCAATAGATTCTGTTCTCTTTTCATTCTTCAAAATGCTGTATATGGTCAAAAAAAAAGTACAGATAGTAGGTTCCTTCCCAAAAAGTCACAAATAGTCACAATAGTCACAAAAAAGTCAAAAAAAAGTCACAAAAAGGTCAAAAATAGTAAAGTGTTAATTTCCTGATGGTGGTGCAGCATAGAATGCAAACCAATAAGCATATAACAGGTTAGCAGTCCCTCTGACACAAGGGATAGAGGGTAGGGACAACAGAGACCTTAACTGAGACAAGGAAACTACTACAATGAGGGAGAGAGGTTAAACACTGAAGGAGTGGAAGAATGGAGAAAAACTGACATGAGGGCAGAACCCTATCTGGAATGCAGGGCCACAAGTCTGACAGCCCACTGGGCTGACCAAGGCCTCAGAGGAGGCACAGATGAAGGTCTGGCCTCCATGTGACCAGCCTGAGGGTGGAGTTGAGCAGAGTTGGTTGGGACATGGACAGGGGACCTTGGAGAGGTGTGGAGATGTGTTGGGAGGGTCAGAGGAGCATAGGAATGTGTCAGAAGAGGGCAGAGTAGGTGTTAGGGGCTTGTGTTGGTGTCATGGTCATGACACTGTTGTTGTGGCACATAATGTAGTTGTGCTTAGTCACAACATATGGGTAGCCTGCATGCCAAATTACCATTACTGATATAGAACCTGATGCAGGCCTGTCAAGTTAATTAAGCTGTGACACATGAACAGGCCTGAGGGTGCAGGGCAACAGTAATATATGAGCAGGCCCATGAGTCAACTGTCACAACTTATGGAATAGGCTGATAGGGATAAGGATAGCACAACATATAGGGGGGGCCTGCAACAAGGGGAGATTACTGGTGAACTGTAAGAATATAGACAGGCCCATTCATGGTACAATGGGTGAAGAGATAATGCATGGGCAGGCTCATGCACAAGGGTTTGAATGATGCCACAACATAAGTGCAGGCCCATTTACTGTCTGGCAGATGGCATTGCAACAAATGGGTGGGCCCATCCATCATATCATGGAAATGCCCAATCATATGCATGGGACTGTCTATCATATGGCAGATGGAGTCATGACAAATAGAGAAGCCCAATGTCATACCATGGATGATGCCACATCATATAGATGGGCCCATGTGTTGCATGGAAAATGAGGTTGAAACAAATGGATGGGCCTGTCAACCATTTCATCAATAATGACTCAATGAATTGACAGGCCCATCCATGGTGTGAATGGCAAGATCACAGCATAAATGTGGGCCCATCTTTCATATGATGGATTGTGCTGCATCAGATGGACAGGCATGTCCAATGGCCCCCTCTGTTATGGAGTGGGTAGTGGTCACACTGCATGTATTGGCCAGCCAATGGTATGATTTCCTGGCTCAAAACATGAAAGCAGGCCCATCTGTCAGAATGCAGATAACATTGTATCATGTGGACAGGCAGGTCATGAATATCATGTTTCAGGTCACATCAAATGAATGGGCCCATCCTCCATTGTATAGCTAATGATGCATCACATGGACAGGCCCATCAATGGTATGATCTGGGAGGCTTTTGGGGCTTTGTAATGGGGTCATTGTGTGGCATACATGCAGCAGATTGTTGGACCAAAAGTCTGAGATCATTGGTATGGGCAGACAATAAGATGAATTGGTATTCAACTTATGGAAACACTGGGCACCTGATGTATTCTCAAGTGTCTGTAAGGAAATCCAAGCTATCAAAGGTCAATGATATTGCACATTTGAATTGTTTCTATTGTCTAGCATCATGGATGTGTCTGCATGACAATTCATCTTTACAATGGTTGTATATGCCCAAGTTGATATATGATGTGATGCAGGTGGCCTTGTTCACAATATTATGAAAGCCAAGATGATGGGGATCCACTTGTTAACAAAACCAGTGCAGATACCAGTCCCAGTGTTCATGGCATCAGTTGGTATGCATCACTGAACCTTTGATATTCAGCTCATTGTCAGGTTAGCCATGTATGTGAGGGGATGCTACTTTCAATCTGCCCACCAGCCACCATGCCCACAATGTTGCCAGAATGGCATTCAGCCACATTGTCACTTGGACCTTCACAATCAATA